CATCCGATCACGTCGCCAACGCTTCCGGTTACCCGGGAGGGTAGGGTCTAGGGTTAGCCATGCAGGTATGCGATGGGCATACGATACGCCATGCTGAACACGAGCGACACTTCTGACTAACACCGCAAGGGAGTCATTACAAGTCGAGTCCACGAGGGGACCGCTCTCTTCCCACGTCATTCCCAGCCCCCCCCCCCCCCTCCCCGTAAGTAGCGTGCGTGTTTCCATCGGGCGTAGTTCGTCCCTGCCTGCCCAAGCAACGTGCTCGCCGTCAGCAACGTGGCCCCGTGCGACCCCCATAACCCACCATCCGACACCAATCATTACCCTCGCCAGACCACCAACCCAACCATCCAACCATCCAATCAAATCGCATGAAACCAAAACAAGGGGTCCTAGAGTAGACTTTTGGGGGGAACGCTGACCGGGTCTACCCGTACCAGGAAAGTCGCCCCCGCAGGAATCCCGTTTTGCGTCCAGAGCGACAACAACGAACGAACGAACGCGCCTGGTTTCACATGCACTCCGCGTACTCGTTCATGTGCTTGACGCCCTCGATCACCTCGTCGGGCACCTTGTTCTTGAACTTCAGCTCGAGGTTGGTGTTGAGGCCAGACTCCTCGAGGAGGACCTTGGACGCCAGTACCGCCAGGCTGGGCGGAGATCCCCTCACCTGTTTGTTGGACGGCGATGGACGGACGGCGCAGGGACGGTTAAAAAAAGTGTTAGGGGTATGAGTGATGGGGTCGTCGAGGAAGGGCTCAGAAAACTGACAGCGGGAACGTAAAACATGCCAAGCGACGGGATCGCGGTGGAGAGAGCTTGGAAACATAAAAGCTTGAGTAAGGATAGCGCAACCAGAGGAGGCGAGAAACAAACAATAAAAAAAATCACAGCAACGAAAAGGGATAATCGCGTTTGGGCTACACCTGCGATGGTAGGGAGTAGCGGTATTCCAATGGGCATGAAAACAGACTTGTATTTTTCGACAGGCCTCAGCATTTTCAGTAGGCTGGCCTGGTGGGCAATCGAACAAGAAGCGAGACGCATCCCAAATTTCCAACTGATACCGTTGATACCAGTCGCATTTGTGTGGTTGGGGGAGTGTGATGGACGAAAGGGCTTGAGTGGTCAGCACACGTGGGCGTGTGTACGAAACACCGAAGAATAACGTCAACCCCCGAGTTTCGGTCGTGGGCTGTTAAGGTTGCGTTTCAAACCCGCAGCCTGCATGGCGCACACCGACAACGCGGGTGGACGCACAACATGGGTGACATCTCCGCACAGCCTTTCAGGGAGTAGCTCTAATAGGCACACGCATCACACCCAGAGCAACAGCAACAACAACAACAACAACAACAACGCCATACACCACACCACACCACCAACAACAGTAACAACAGCAACACACCAGCAACAACTCGTGCGTCGTACCTGATACCGCCACACGTCGTTGTAGCGGATGTCGCCGTTCGCGCCGCTGAACAGATACAACGCCCCGTCATGGAACACCGCAGAGTGAAAGGCCCGGGCGGGTGGGCTGGCGTCGCCCCCTTCCATCACCAGACGCCTCCAGCACGCGGACTTGCAGTTGTACACGTAAAAGTCCGCGAGTCGGCTGAGCTCGCCCGTGAAGCCTCCCCACAGGTAGATGTCCCCGCCAACCGGGTCGAAGCTGCAGCTGTGGGCCACTCGCGCCTTCGGGAGGTCTCCCTGTAGTGGATTGCAAGGGGCGGGAGGGGGGGAGGAAATGGTATTGATATGAGGGAGTACCACCAAAGGTTTTGGATATTTTGACGCAGGAGCAGAAGCAGTTGTTCATGCAGCCCAGGGAGAATACGATATTTTTTGTTCATGGAAGATCAATACAGCCGTTCCTTGTGACAGCAGCAGCGGTGAAAGCAGCCGCAGAGATAGAAGCGGCCCTGAAACCGTGACGGTGGTCCGCACACGCCATAAGAGAGAAAAAGAAAAAACAATTCATCTATGCTACTACTATTGCACACAAACTCTAGTACCGGTGTGAAATCGGCAAAAATTTAACGGCGAAATAATCAAAATCGTTTTACCAAAGGTTTGTTTTTCTTCAGGTTCAACGGTATTGTTTCCAAACAAACAAACAGAATGACACGCGCTCACCTTCATCTCCGTCTCGTCCATCTCCCACACCAGGGTCTTGAGGTCCAAGCAGTAGAGGTCGATGCTGCTCTGCTCGGGCTTGAAGCAGCCCCCGCCGATGACGTACATCTTGTCGCCGACGGCGACGGCCTGGTGCTTGTACCTGGGGGAAGGCTTCCTCCCCGTGGTGGTCAGCTTCCTCCAGCGGTTGCTGCACACGTTGTACTCGAAGAGGTCGTTCGAGTAGTGCAGCCCGGTCGACCCGCCGAACAGGAGCAGGTTGTCCCCGTAGGTGCACACACTCTGGCCGTAGAACTTGCACGGGGTCTCCTCCGAGTCCGTCAGGACGCTCGTCCACGTGCGCGTCCGAGTGTTGTACTCCACAACGTCCGCCCTCAAGCTGTCCATCTCGACCCCCGTCCCCCCGGCGACGATGACCGTGCCGGGGGTAGGGCCCTGGCACATGCCGAAGGACGCGCGGGCGTGGATAGAGTCGCCCTTCGGGACCGCTCGCTCCCAGCGGTGCAGCTGCAGGTCGAAGACATACATGTCGTTGAGACACGTGATCTGGTCCTCGTCTCCCCCGCACCCTCCGAAGAGGTAGGCCTGGAAAATCGCAGCAGCACCGGAAGGACGGCAATCTCTGAGAAAAAAAGGGGGGCTGCACACGTGTTCGAGGTTTTGTTGTTGCTCGGGAACAATTCGCTAAAAACTATCACGCTTACCTAATCAATGCTTACCTACAAGTGCTGTGTATTGGTTTCGAATTTGTTGTTGTTGTTGTTGTTGTTGTTGTTGTTGTTGTGTTGTTGTTATCACGAAAAGAACTCGTGGGCAAATAAATAAAAAAACATTGAGGCAAGCACCGCAGAAGACAGGTAAGGAATGAAAATTTGAAGAACAGACATGTTAAAAAATGTCTTGTGCGACCATCTTCCCCGTGACCACGGCCGGCTAATGCGCTCAAAATAACACAGAGAGGTTCAAAGATCCACGTGCAGAACAAGCGAGATGACACACACAGAAGAAAAGTGCCGAACAGAACACAGGACAGCGAAGGGAAAAATACTCCCCAAACGGGCGTATGTACGTCCATTGCTCCACCTGGAAGCTGAAAAATGAACACCTACATTGCTTGGCACCTGCAAAACCGCGAAGGTCCCACTCAATACAACAAACCGACGTGGGATAAATGATGACGGTGAACTTTACCTCCTTGTGGTGTACATTTCTCACAAAGCCTACCGCGGCAACCCATGTTTTTTTTACCACGGCTGGAAAGTGGGGATCAACCCGCTTGCTACGGTAGAAGGAGATAGATCGCTGTTCTCCGAATCTGCTCTGCCCCTCCTCCGCTTCATCGGAAAGGCGTGCTCTAGATACAAACCAACGGCGACCAAGGCGTGCGACAGCACTCGTACAAGTCTACAAGAAGGTCCTTATTACATCGCTCGAGTTCGGCGGGATCACCGTTTGGGGGCTTGCGGAGAACCTTTCTTCATCTCCACAGTTGACATCGTATTCGAGTGGCGTTCCCGTTAATTCCACATTTACCTCGCTGTTTTCTCTCGGAGTTGAATCTGATGAGAACCGAACCTGACTATTGTACCCCTTGTCAAAATGAGTTGCGGTGAAAGCAGTTCTGGTGAGGCCATGTGTATGCACATGCTATTTCATGCATTGATATTTCCGCCTCGCGCACCTTGTTTCCTATTACCGCAACGTCGTGGCCGGAGCGCGGTGAGGGCGGTCGTCCGCTTGTCTGAAGCCTCACCCACCGTCCCATTGTCGTCGTCTTACACTTCTTGTGCTTTCCGGCGCATTCTGCGCATGTCATTGTCGAGCATTTCCCCCCCATGCTATTACCCATGAGGGTCCGTCCACCTCCTGGTGGTTCTTCGAACGTGGACTGAGCGTTAATGAAGAATACAACGGCGAGGTTGTGGTTTTGTCAGAAGAAGCAGGGAGAGTTTTCTAGTGTAGCCTCACCTAGAGAAAGAACAACATAGCAGCTTCTACCGGTTAGTTCAAGGCTGACATTATCGTGCTACTTCTCGCCGCGGCGGTGCCCTCAAGGGTTTTAGGTCGCCTTCCGGGACCGCATGAGTCGTTCTTTCTTATAAGTGGGATAGACGCCCCATCTTTAAAAATATTGATTTTTCCATCTTTGATGTTTTGCTGTAACACGACGCGTGAGTTGCAGCGAGGTCAACTCTGGGAAAAAGGACGAACTACTTCGGACGCCCGCTTGGGGGAGACAGTCACGGGTAGAGCCTTGGAGGTGCCCACACTCTATCATCTACTGAGGGCGCGAGTGGGTAGACAGCTGTGGAGTCTGTGTGGCGATCCCGGTAGGACTCGACAGTCGGTTCAACGAAGGTTACGTACGTGGCGTCAAAAAAACCATGCAGCACCCATGCGGTGGTGGCTCGCAGTACCCTCGCCCCACCAAACTGCGACGACGCCCGTGGTTGGCAAACACCTCGACGACACTCCTAGAAGACCCAAACATCAAGCGATTCGACTGGAGGTGGAGCATACCGTCTTGCTTTCGGTGTCAATTAGACTAGTGCCTCCGCAAGGACCCCTGCTGTGTGTTGACGTCCTCTCACCTAACAGCTGGAGCGAGCTCCACAGCGTCCACTCCGTAGTATTCCAGTATACCTCCTCGAGAAAGTGTCAGCCACAAGCGCCAAAAGTTGTTATCTATGTCGAGGTGCGCGGTACGCTCGTGCAGCGTGTGTTGTACGTATGGTGTGGAGAAAGCTCTGAAGAGCGGAGAGGACCAGCTTTGGGTACGTGAACCCCTCGGGGAAATGCGGCGTGATTGGTGCCGGTTCGCGTCCAAGAGCCCATGACCATTTCAAGGTCAGCAGCCGGGCCGGTAACCTATCGATTGTCGCGAAACAGGAAATCAAACACCTACCCGAAGAAACAGCAGGGCACAGAGCACCATAGACTACACGCATGAACTCATGCTTCTGTCTCTGTCGCTGTCTCCCTATTGGTAGCCCCTATTTCTACGTAGCACCAAGGAGGGACCGTCACTAGATACATACGTGCTGTAGACCAACACATGACTGCTGCTGTCGTTAACCGAAGGTATCTCATACGTATCATCGCCTACGGCGAACATCGTTCCATCTGCCTCTGACCGACAACACATAAACAGCTAGGATGTGGCCTATCAGTGTCGCAATACATTACGTGTGGGTTCTCTGTGCCCCGGTAGTTCATGGGGGGTGTAGGCTTCACCGCATGTGTAGCCCCACGGCGGCCGCTGCACGTGATCACACATATCTAGTCACATAGTCTAAGCTACTTGAAAAGCGCACGAATCTTTTTGTATCACATGTAGAAGAGTTGATTGGATTAATTTGTTCTTTTTAAGTACAGTAGTTGATTCTTCCCCATGGGCGTAGATAGTCGGTCACGTCAACGAATATCCGGCTACATCACGGTGCATCCATCCGTGCATCCCCTTCAAACGCAAGAAGCGACTCACATGGCCAAATACGAAATCGGTACTGGAACGGCATGCTTGGGGCACAGGAACACTTTTAGCGAAGGTCCACGGGTGGCAAAACACAATGCACGAGAATTGTTGCCATCTGCGCTTAACAATTTTAGAATACGAACTTTCCTTTTTCACCGTGAGTGCGACATGCTTGGGTGCGCAGCAGAGTGTATTGTCATAAATCAAGCTCGTACACCTGTAAGTAGGGACGTCTTAAAAACAAAATGCCACTGGAAATAGCACACAGGATACAGGCAAGAGGGCAAAAGCCTCTAAGGGTGCCAACCATGCTTCAGGTGTGTGGCCACGCGGACTAATATAGACTGCGTCCTACGAACACTTCTCACTTTGGCTATACAGAGGGGAGGAGAGCCCGACGTGGGCGCGCGTTCGAATGAAGTGAATCCGGCGAGGAAACAAGTGGGACGACGAGAGGGAATAATACCAGTGGCAACGAAGCAAATAAAAGGTCCATATGCATATACATCTTACCATGCCGCTATATGAACAGTGGGGTGAACAGCGTGAGCGTTCACGAGTCTCGGACTCGGCCGGGGAAAAAAAGAAAAATAGTCCGCTGGAAGATGCAGGGTGCAAAGCACACGGGGACTAAGAAATATTGCTCCGCGGGGGGATGCATGGCTGGCCTGTCACCTCCATCCCTCTGATGCAGGTCACCGACTATCAAACACAATAAATACGTGGTTCCGAGCAAAGAGGGCAAAAAATCACACACACACACCCGTCCCAACAAACAGAATGCGGGAACCCTGACCTGCCAGCTTCGCGGGTCTGGTGGCACCACGAAAACCACCGATCTGGAAATGAACTTATTGGAAGCGATTGTTGTAGAGCAGTGGAATAAATCCAGCACGCGCCGCCACTTGACCACATAGTAGTTCGCACACAACTTCAGGCTCAATTGGCCATAAGAAGAGTAGGTACTCAGTTGAGAATCCTACTGTATGCATGCAGTACAGGAACAAAAATCACTGTTTGGGCACCTCACGGAGGAACTACAGTAGGTAACAGTCCCATACCAATACCAATATCATCGCTGTTGAGTTTTCCCAAGGAGGAAGCAAGAAACGAGCCTTAAGGCAAAGGTAAGAGGTTCCAATGTTAAGTGGTGGGGCCTCCTCCAAGAACTCCTCCAACAGCCACGCTCGCTCAGCAGTTATAAGTATACGAAAGCCCCGTAATAAGCTATTTTACAGGGGCGTGATCCCTCCAAAATTCAACACTCTGCATGTATTTCTCCCGCTCCAAAGGCACTCCAGACCCCCCCTCTTCCTTCCCAAGCGCGTTGCGCATCATGGTGATGGGCTGCATCGGGATCTCGTGGTCCACGTCCTGCGACTTGACCGAGATTATCCCCCACGGGGCCTCCGAGTCTTCCTTCTCCTTCCCCATCGCAGCGGTTTCCTTACGGATCTGTTCTCGGCTGGATACACGAGTCATCGAAAAGCAAGCAGGAGGGACATACAGAACTAAGGGGAGAACCTACATGTAGGAGTTACGACCTTCAGTCGCGGGAAGACAGAAGAAAAAAAAACTGATAACAAGAACAGGCGCAACAGTCGATTAAAGCTACACGGAAAATAACAGAATAATCGATGTTGGGTTACCCGACAGAAAAAATAAGAAACAAGCCTCGGACAAATGAAGCGTACCTATGTCGGGGTACGTTCTGTAAGCGCACTCGGGAGCACGAATGGCGCATACTTTGAGACCGGGAGACTCGGGATAGTGGCAAGATTTGAAGGAGTGCAAACTCTGCCCTTGGGCGAAGTTCACAGAGGTGCCAGAACGTTAATGGGGAGCTCCGCCCAGGTTTACAATACGGTACTATGATACACAACAATGCCGACACTCGAGGTGCGCGTACGACCAGAACACAAAAAACAACGGCCAGACAGCAGTGCACGATGGAGTTTGACCTACATCACGACGGCGGCTTCGTGCTTTGGGCGGCCAACACACCGGGCTGCCACCGCCTTACGCTACGTATCGTTGCTGTTGTGGTGCACCAACATCAAATCTACCGCACGTAAAAGTACAATCAGGAGGTTTGTACGTTCCGTCCTTCAGTAGGCAGCGCCGTACCGTCCATGGTTTACATACTGGTTATTCCATCCCAAGACAGGTTGTGCGCCATAACCACACGCTCAACACAACGTCATATGGCAGAAAAAAAGTCGATAACACATGCGTCGCCGGAAGGACACACAATACTGTCGGCAACACATGCATCATGGCACCCTAGTCCCCAAAAGTGACGTCTACAGAACCCGAAATCAACGCATTGGACTACTACATGTACGTCGCACCTACCCAACATGAGCACGAGATGCTCCCTAGCAGCTATACATCCGGTTACGAGAGAGAACAAATCCCACGAACATACCTGTACAAGATGATGTCGAGGAATTTCGCCTCTGGCGTTTCCACCGTGCCGGACTCGAACCATCGCGACAGAATCGGTAGTTCCTGCCGCGGGCCGAGTTTCCGTCCCAACATCATCAGCTAAAAGAAAAAAAACACGATAGAAAATCTTCAGAACATACACAGAACGTCGCAAGAAAGCCTATCAGTTCGAGAAAATTCTCAGCGGGAGGTATTGAAGTTTCTCAGAGGTGGCACCCTTTGAGAATTTGCTTTTTTCGTATGGCTTTTCTTGTCCCTCTTCTTGAGGGACCATCACCCTGTACAATCATTGGGGAAAAAAACATCGGAGCGCTTTCACCTCTCCTTCTGTACACCTAAAGGGCGGCTTGATGTGCGACGCTGCCCAAGGCCGTACGAACACGACCATTGCAAGCATACTAAGGTGTAAAATGAAGACGACGACAGTAATTACGGCAGACGCCTGCATCGGGGGTCCCGTAGAGGAAACCCTCGCAAAACGGAGGTAGTAGCCAGGAGGCTAAGAGGGTAAACACAGGGAAGGCCGGCGGAAATGAAATATCTTTGCTGTAGCTTTGCATTAGTCGCCCTGCGTCGAATCACTGCGACAAAGGTCAGGAACACGCAAGAGCGCGCTCTGATGGTGGAGGTATTACCATGACAAGCAGCCCCACCACTGGATCCATGCTTTCGACAGACACACACGTGGCAAAAAACACTCTGGAACGGAGGCAGGCGTGGAGCTGCAGAACCTTTACAGTACACACGTTGCACCACACAGAGCAGATTACAATACCTTCGCTGTTCGGGCCTCGTATCCAGCGACCAACAGCTTTTCGTTCTCCGGTGTGATCTTGACCGTGCTCGTCTTAACGCCCGCAAAGTTAGGAACGAACACGTGCTTGCAGAACGGGGCGTATCTGCAATTAATAAAACACGGAGGAGCACGGACGACGAACGACAACAGGAATGGAGTATTAGTTTTTTCGTTTTGGGGCGATGCTTGTTTCAGAGGAATTTCGACGTGCTGTTTGTTGTCGTCGTTGAGCCACCCTACACACACCCCGGACGCCCGACACACCCCATACTGCCACGCGAACCGGATTCCCGACATAGTACCCCCATACACGACACCCCCCAACGATACGCGATACCTTCAAAATACACGACAGCCCTGAATGATAAACGACAGCCCCCTGAATTATATAATACACCCCCCAGAGATACACAACAACACCCGGTGACGCAACAACAGCAGTAGCAGTCCGTCCCCCGCGGCGACCCGCGGACCTAAACGTAGGGTACCCCCATACCCCACGAAGTGATATCGCGGTGCGGTTACGAAGGTGGGCGCGGCACAACCATCTCACCCTTCCTCCAGCTTCCCTCCAGCGGCCCTGAAAATTTCGTTCACCTAGGCTTCCGTCAAGGCGTGTTGGGGGAGTCGCGTGTTGTCGTGCCGTGTCCAGGTAGGGGGGTTCGCAAACGAGAAAAAGGAAAATCGGTGGGGGGTCGCAAGCAGCACCGTTACACGACGACGAAGCGCACATGACTCAAACGCTGCTGTTTCCGTTGTACCACGAAAAGTTGTCGCCCGAAAGCCAAAGCTACCACATGATATCTACGAAGAAGGCACGTTCAAGCACGCTCAGCAGTATGTATTCCATATCGCCATATCGAAAAAAAGCACTACAAGCGCCAGCGCACAACTGTTTATTCTTCTGGCGTTTTGTCTGCTTCCGTGTGCTCCATTTCTGTATGTTTCAGGCAGGCGTGGTTTCCGCCCAAGAACCCAAACAAAACAGACGAAACCACTACATAGGAGTTGTTTAGGAGACGGTTTCACTTTCATCCACAAACAAAATAACTCATCTCTATCATACTTGCACATAAAATGAGAGACGATGTATTTGTTTGCATGCGTATGGCCAAAAAAAAGAGGAAAATTACGAAGACGCTGTGTGATGTCGTATGCATACACACCTTATCCTCGAACTCCTGTGGGTCGTAGGCCACCTTGGTCCCTGTGTAGCTCTCGTCAGTAAATTGTCGCATCGCGAAGGCGTCTGGTTTATCGTTTATCGCACCATTTGCCAGCGTGAGGGGGGAGGGGGGCAAGGTCTCATTTAACGTTTGCAGCATTGATGAAGTAGAGGCATCAGATGTTGGAACACTAGAGTCGTAAACGTACATGCATAGTCGACAGCGCTCGATTCCTATAGTAGTACAAGGTCTCCCTTCGGGACGTGGGTGTCAAGCCTCCCGCGGGCGACGCAAGACCACGTGCGCATTGCCCGAAATAGGCTGTGCTATGTTTAGGATGGGCAGATGCATAACGCTCGAGACCCAATTCCCTACAGTAGTATTCCAAGACATGGTGTTGAACTCAGATACACACAGTCGGTAAGTGACTTGGTTTTATCCAAAGGCCGTAAGGGCCGATCCTGCGGCGGCCGTCGCCTGCTGCTCTCACCCATGACGAGCTCGTTGCCCCCTGGAGCCGACATTGCCGTTGTTGTGCTCTGGCCAGAACAAGTGGGCACGAGCGGGGGGAGGGGGGGCTGGGATCATGACGCGCTGACATCATCATCGCAAACAATGGAGTGCGCGGCGTGTTGGCACTACAGCAGTACACCTTGAAAACGCGTGAAAATAGTACCGTCCATACGGCAGTGCACCATACGCAACAGCGTTGATATGACGCAAGAAAGCACACCCCACATCAGAGGTACAGCAGTACTGCTGTAGCAATGGTAATGCTTTCTGCAACGGCCGGGCCAACCGCCTTGGTGTCTGTACGGCAGTGCAGGGATCAAACATGACAGCAGCAGGTACTCATACATAAATTTATCACAGGCATACCCAGCACCGAGATGGATATGACGCAAGAGAGCACACCCCACAAGAGGAGTAAGGCGGTAGCAATGTTGCCCGCAATCACGGGGCCAACAGCTAAATCGTGATTCAGTCCCTTCAACGACAAGGCTGAATGCTGAATGCAGTACGTGCAGCCAACGGCGTCCCCCTCTAGAGAGAGACGCTGTGTGTAGGCGCCGACCTCTCTCATCAGCTCGTTGCCGTCGCAACGCAACAACCTACTGGATGAACACCGAACACACCTTGTATCCTCTGCGGGATGCTGCTGCTGGGAATCCGAGAGGGCACGGCCGCGCCGCTGCTTGGATCCGGAAAGCGCAAGCAGTTGAGGCGCGAGCAGCAAACAACAGAGAGCACGCGGCTGCTCGAATCCCCATCGACTTATGTGTCCCCTTGCCTCTCTCTCTCATGAACGGCGGGCTGACTCTCATGGACACACAGACAAAAAACAGGGGATGACAGGGAAGCGTCCCCTTTCTCCGGTGCCTGCCTCCATGGGACCAGCGGGCAACAGCTGCAGGCCGGGGTCTCCCACACACTCCTTCTCCGCATTAACCCGTAACATCAGGTGAGAGCTCGTCCTGCCGTGTGCGTGAGTGTGGTGCTAGGAGGTAGGGGTGGAGCTGTTCTGTGTACCGCGTGCCGGTATGGAGCTTGGTTATGCCCTCTCGCCGTCTATCTCCGCAGTTGTTTTCGCGCTGAGAAAGAGACACGTATGCATGCATATGCATTTGCACCTGGAGACAAGGACGGAGGGAGAGACGAACAGCAAAAGCGGGATGCGTATGCGTACGCAGCAGGTATTTTGATCAGCATCGCTTTTGGAGCTGGACGCTTTACCACGGCAACTACCGCCTCTTCGCTTGACCCGCTCGCCCTCCCACCCCTCCCCCCCCTCCCGTCAGATCCAATCATGTTCGCAGCAGCAGCATCGGCAGCTAAGGCCCCCGCGGCCCAGGTCGCGCGTGGGTTCACCTCCAGCGCTTCCCGCATGTCTGGCCGCAAGTTCTTCGTCGGCGGGAACTGGAAGTGCAACGGATCCGTCTCGAAGGTAGGGGGGGGTGGAATACTCTTGCACGTCCCCACGGGAAGAGCAAAGCGTTCGGGCTCGCGTTGCCGCGCCCATCATTGTGTTTTTTTGCGGTGTGTGCACCGCCCGCGAACGACAACAGGCGCTTGCCGGTAGTGCACCGTTTCTTCCCCCGTAGTGCCATGCTTGTGCGACGCCGACTTCCTGTCTGCCAAACCAACCCTCGAACATGTAGTGGGGAGAGAGAGAGAGCGCCTGCAGCCGGCCTCTGGCGCCTACTCCCGCGATGGCTCTGCGTCCGCTTGCATCAACCGCAGCCGCCGCCGTAAACGAATTGCACAAACGAATTGCACGGAAGAACGGCACTATGCCAGCCCGGCGACTCCCCGGCTGTTCCGCGTTGGAGCGGTTCTTGGATATGATCTGTATGAGGCGCACCGGGTGAAGTTTTCTTGCCAACACGACGTTCCGAGGTTTTGGCGAAAAGGGTCCACGTCGGACATGCAGGCACTGCTGTTGTGCTGGTCGCATCCAGTTATAGACAGACCCACAGACCCTCTTGTTGCAAGCCCCCAACAACAATGACGTTTGTGTGGCCCGCGCGTGTGCATGACGTCGACGCTGTCACCAACTGACAGGTTGACGAGCTCGTGGGCGTGCTCAACGCCTCCAACATCACTTCCAACACGGAGGTGGTTGTGGCCCCTCCCTCCGTCTACCTCCACGGCGTCTCTCAGAAGCTCCGCGGTGACGTCAAGGTATTGTAGAACAGACAGTAGTACATAGGTTCGTGACGTTGTCTTGCGTGCCCGTTGGTTGTGTGTTGGGCCGTTTGTACCGCTATAATGCGTGTCTTCACGCGAACTTTTTGACGATCACGAAGTGGCAGTATTTATTTCGTGATGATAGTGTGTCCATCCACCATGACATCATCATGCTGTGACGATAATACAAACAAAGCAGATTTTCCGATTGACGTTCTTGTGCGTGTGCGTGTTGTCTGAGAGGCAAGCTCTCGCGTGATTTTGATGCCTACAACAGCAGTACGCCGCTACGTACGCACGCGATCTGCAACCCTAATCCCCTTTAATCATGGTGTGCCCAGTCCGTGCCTCCCGAGAGGTTCTATATAGCCAGTGCACGAGAGCGAGTGGCGCGCATAGACGTCATTCGGGTGGTCCCATGTAGAAGTACGTGCGTTGCGGACGCATGGGGTGTGAGCTACAATGTGGGTGTAACAAGTGCAGAGCCACAGTTCCTCACGGTGTTGTGTGTATGTCTCGGAAAGACAAGAGGGCGGAGGTGGGAGCGGCTTGTGCCGTGCATTCTGCTGCATGATGCGAGTTATTCAACTAAAACGGGAGGCGAGTTGTAAGCAAAATGGGCGTTTTGAATCTAGCTTTCAAGGTTGATTCGTTACCCCAGCACGAGACGAAATTCGTGGACGAAATTCGTGGGATTGTTCAATTACACAGCCGGTGCAACTTGCCAGGTTGTCAATAATACTTTTCTTGTAGGACGGAGGAAAGTGATACTTTCGAGCAAACGTGACGACGAGAGCGTAGCACATGCCTGGAACTCTTTCCCACCATCGCCGTGACGTTGGGCTGCTGTCCCGAATAGCTCACCCAGTCCTGACGAACTCACTTCAACACACGGTGTAAATACATGCGGCCGACCCGCCCAGAGTCCCAACGAGGTAGCGCTGCCGGTTGAGGGCTCATTTTTTCGCACTTTTTCTTCTCAGGGGTTGCAGTTTGTTTTAACGCCGTATGCTACATTTTTTTTTTTTTGTACACCGTTGTTTTGTGCTTGTCTTCTTTCCGGCGAATCGTATCTGACGTGTCTGGTGTGGCGCCGAAAGCCACTAGACCATTCGGCGTGACTGGTCGCTGACTGGTCTAACGGCTTGGTTTGAGCGTTGTTTTTCCCGGGAGACCTTGGATTCTCTCTGAGAGGACAACTGGAATCACACCATTAGACTAGTTGCAGTCGATTGGGTCACTCAGTTAGCAGCCGCCTGCAAACAGACTGGTCTAATGGTTTGCTTTTTGTTGACGGTAAAAAAAAAAATCATAAGTTATCCCAGACTTTATTCATTTGTGGACAGAGCTGACACAAAAAGAAACTCGAGACGCAAGTTCATCTTCCTTCTGTTTCTCGTGTGCTGCCGCGTGTTGATAACGAACTGAATGGCCCAATCGTCCGTCTTCCGACCGCCATTACCTTTCCTGCCTGCAACGTAAACGCAGGTGTCCGCGCAAGACTGCTGGACCGGCGGCAATGGCGCCTACACGGGGGAGACCTCTGCCGACATGCTCAAGGACATGGGCGTCGGATGGTGCATCATCGGACACTCGGAGCGAAGGCAGAAGGTACGGGGGGACTGCGGACAGGCTGAATCAACACGGGGGGTACCGAGCGGGGCTTTCGAAACAACAACTCAGTCGGAGGAGGAGCCCAACGCAGTCTGAGGTTCCTGGAAATTCAACTTCACCGACACATTGCCTTGTAGATTGCACGCAAAACAGCAGTAGAAACAGCGGCGTGGCATATGGGTCATTATAGTATGTGGTAGACACGCTGGTATGTGTGCATCCGCAGGTCATCTTCACTAGTGAACATACATGGTCCTGGACTGGTTAAGTCGATGGGTGCAGCTTGACTTGACTTGTTGGTTCTTGTGTTTGTAAGAAAAAAATCTCAGGAAAAAACTAAGAACTTCCAACTTCAACTCCGCCTGCCAAACGGCCGGTCATGCTGGTGTCGGCTTTTGCGTTACGCAATTTCCGTCTGCACGTTAAAGTGTAGTCTACACACTGAAGAGTATCTCACCACGAAAAATGGGGGGATTGCTGTCGCCATAATCAATAGGACGAAAACAAACAAAAAAAACACGTTGGGCTAGGTTAACGGCACTTCCTAACGGTGCGGGTTTGTCCTTGCCCCTGCTGGTGGCGATGTCACGAAACAATGCGATACTCTGCTCTGCTGTTGTAACTGTAGGGCGAGACGAACGAGGAGTGTGCCGTGAAGGCTGCCTACGCTCAGGAGCACGGCCTCTCCGTGATGGGGTGCATCGGAGAGAGCAAGGAGGAGAGGGAGTCGGGGTAAGAAGAGTTGAATTGATCCATACGTCAATAGTTAACATTACTTGTGCGTCGTCGTCCTTGTTTTTGTTGTTTAACCTATAACCGTATGTGGTGTGTTTGTCAAATTTGGATACCGATGGACTTCGTGAAGACGTGGAATCGTTTGTTGTCGACGCATGCGTGGCGCGTGTGTCCGCGCCCAGCTTCATGTTGAGAGCTACCGCACTAGGTTCCACGGTACCAAACAGGTAGGTCCATTTTCCAATATCTTCTCTGGTCGTCATTTCCCCCCCCTTGTCCTTTTCAAGACACATTTTGCCTCTCGTCGTCTTCTGTTGGATGGAGTATGGTTGAAGCTGATTTATTGTTTTGTTCTCTTTCGTGGCTATGCTTGAACGAACAAAACTCGACGATGTTCCCCCTTTTTCCTTTTCAGGACACGTGTTGTTGCTTCTTCCTCACGGTCTTCTGTTGGAGTACGGTCAAAGCTGTTTTTTTTTTCTTAATATGAGACATCGCATCCATCTCTATCCTGAAGAAAAGAGTGTAAGACAGATTGGCAATTAATTCAAAGCGTCAGCGGAAACTGCCTGATTTTTGTTTTGTCTTCTTTTTGTGCCCGTGCCTTAGCGAAAAAAAGCTCGGACGATGGTCGCCCCTTTCCTCTTCGGGACACGTTTATTGCCTTCTCACCACCTCTTGTTAAAATTCATGATTTGACTGTGATTAATTTTTTCATTTTTTTTTTATTCTCGTGTCCGTGCTTTGCCGAAACAAGGTCGACGATGGACGTTGTGATCGGGCAGCTGAAGGCGTACGCCGCCTCAGTGAAGGACTGGGACAAGTTCGTCATCGCCTACGAGCCCGTCTGGGCCATCGGCACCGGCCTCACCGCCTCGCCCGAGCAAGCTCAGGAGGTACGTACGCGTGTGCTGCCTACCAATGTGTTGTTGCTTGTATTTGTTGGGACCGCGCCTTCGCGAGATGTAGCGTTGATGAGGAAATAGAACAGGAAAGGGGTACGCTGGCCTAATCCCAACCCAAGTTATCTCATTGCGTGCTTTTATCCGACATGTTTACTTGATAGAAAATCCTTGCAAAGGCTGCTGATTTGTTGGGCGTGTTTGGACCACTGGCTCGGGAGATGCACGCCGCGTTGTAGTTCCTGCTGTTGGATTGATATTTGCTGATTGTACAAGGTGCCCGTGATATTTTGATACCGCCTACGGCTGATATGTACGTACGTAATGGCATGGCTGCTGCCGTCGGAAATGTGCTCGTGTTTGCTTGAGTCATGGTTGCACTCGATTCCGTTGTTTTCTCTCTAACGGGAGTCCTTGCTACGGTCCGCCCATGATCTGTCCTCTGCGGTAAATACGACATGTCCTTGAGCCTAGAAAAACAACGAGAACGAGTTGATCCTTTACTTCCTGTCTCACATTTGTGTTGGATGCTGTTGCTTCGTTTCTGCCATTTTTGTAAACTTTTTTTTTTTGTCAGGTGCACGAGGGGCTCCGCAAGTGGGTCGCCGAGAACGTCTCCGCCTCTGTGGCTGACAAGGTCAGTGGCTTTGTTCCGTTCTACTTCATTTTTGCATGGTTACTAGGCACGTGTGCTAGATTTGTTTTCAGTTCTTGATTTAGCATGCAAAATATGTAGAAAATGTACATGCCACGAACATAAAACGTGTATGTCTGCCAGATCTGTTGTTCGCACGACACATCATGCCAGCCTTTCTTGCGTTGGCACTCAGTATAACCGTTTAGTTTAGCATGCCGCGGTAGAGCCTTTTTTTCGCACCCGGTACTCCTGCTATTGATCTCGGCACCCTGAACTGAGTCTGTTGTTCCGCGCTCCTTTGGCGTGCTTGCCTGCCTTCGTTCGTTCGTTCGTCCGTTCGTTCGTGTCGCAGGTGCGAATCATCTACGGCGGCAGCGTGAACGCTGGATCCGCACCCACCCTCGGGTCCAAGCCCGACATCGACGGCTTCCTCGTCGGTGGAGCTAGCCTCAAGCCTGAGTTCGTGGAGATCGTGAACGCTAAGGACGGCTCGAAGGTGTGCGGGGTTAGGAGTTACTGCATAGGGTTGCAGAGATTGTACGTGAACGTTGGGAGATGTAGGGTTAAAAGAGATGATCAACGTTAAGGCTTAGGAAGGCTCCAGGGTGTGTGGGTTTAGTTATAGGAGGAAGGGTTCAAGGTCTGAAGTTCGGAGGTGCAGGGGTAAAGGTATCGTGAGCGCTAAGGACGGCTCCAAAGGTGTGAGATTGGGAGTTGTATGGATAGCGAGATTGTCAACACTAGGGATGGATGGGTTCAAGGGGTGGGAAAGTTGTAGGGTTTAAGGTGGCGTTTGGACGACGGTTCGTAACAGTTTCATTAGGTCACGCCGACGGGACGCACGACGGCAGTGACGAGCGCATGCATGTGTGGATTGCAGGGCAATTCGATGTTCCACCAGTGACGATGTGTGTGTGACCGTATGTCGTGGGACGCTTCTCTCTCTCTCTCCGGTACATATCTTGTACGACTGGTGCTAAGCAGTCAGTAGAGTCTGATGGTATCGGTCGTAGTCTCTGATACATGCGTATGATGTACCTCCACGCCCCTGATCCATGCTGTTCTCGCTCTCCCCCATCGCCCACTCTGAGGCGTGCTGTTTTCTAAACCCCGCTCCTTGTGGCGATAGATATTTCCCCGTGTGAATCAGTTTTCTTGCAGCCTGTCGCAAACTCCCGCCTGACTTTTTGTGTCTTGTTTTTTTTTTGTGTTTTGTCGTGTGGTCGATCGTGCGATAGTCGGTGGGCCCGGTGTCCGTCGGCATCAACGGCTTCGGCCGCATCGGCCGTCTGGTCCTCCGCGCCTCCCTCAAGAACCCCATGGTGAACGTTGTCTCCATCAACGACCCCTTCATCGACACCACCTACATGGAGTACATGTTCAAGTGAGTCGACCGGCAGTGGTGTTGGTTGCACGCAAGGTGGTGGTATTGGTTGCCGAGAGAAAGAGACAAGAGTACATCTTTGCGCAAAATAAGACCGATCTGTACTGCTGTAGGAGACAAGATACAGTAAGAGAAAATCGCCGAGGGTCAATCCATGATGTAATCAAGCCTTTCCGTTCGCTGTTTTGTGCTGTCGGCTGGGCGCGCGCTTTGGGTAAAAAAAGGTACGACACGGTGCACGGCGTGTACGACGGAGAGGTGACCCACGACGGGGAGCACCTTATCGTAGACGGCACCAAGATCAAGGTACAGTGTAAAAAAATATGAAAAACAAACACTGGTATTATATTGTAAGTGCTCCGCTAATGCTGTTGTATGGGTTTATTGCGAATGTATCCTGGACTTTCATCTGTGAAGAGATGAATTCGCGGTTTCATTCCTACTCCGTATTTCATTTGTCCTGGACTCTCTTCCATGGATAGAGATGGATTTGCTGTGACACATTTTGAAAATGAAAAACTGGCCTGTGTACGATTGCATGCCAGGGCAAGTAAGCTGAGGCGTAGTCGTGCCGCGTGTGTATCGCGTACAGTAGTGCACACGGACTGTTAAGCGCCGAAAGCCTGGAGTCGTGGGTCGATCCGTGTATTGTCTGACATCGCACACGGTAGCCGTCTGGCGGTCTCTGGTGCGGTCTCGAAAACCGCCGTCAAAAAGATTCATGTCGAACGCCGACAGAGATATCCGAGCACTTCTAGCGTCTAGCCTAGCCTAAAGCAACATTCCATATCTGCTCATAAATGTACTGTGCCGTGCAGCAGCAATCCACGTCTCCTCATCATGTCCAGTGCAGTTTAGCAGCGGTACATACACGCTCACCATTTAACGTGCCCCTTGTTGAAACTGTTACCGAAACCGAACCGGCACGAACGAATAACAAGGTGTTCGGCGAGATGGACCCCGCTAACATCAAGTGGGGCGACGCGGGCGCGGACTACGTCGTGGAGTCCACTGGCGCCTTCACCGGCATCGACACCGCCGGAAAGCACATGTCGGGTGAGAGAAGCCGCGCCGAGCGCAGGGGGCAAGCATTAGTTGCCCCGTGCTTGTTCCATCCTACAGTCGGGTGCCCTCTATCATGCAGTCAAACGCCCTACATAGCGGTACGTTATGTGCCAATCGCTTTCAGCCGGCCTATAGCGAGTACCCGCACTTTTCAATGCGTCAGTCGTCTCGATTATTCCATCTGTGCCAGCCAATTTCAGCGGCACTTCGAGAGGGCACCACACTGTTTTTTGCTGCTTTTGTCCCGCAAAGTTGGAACCTCGGTCGGTATTGGTTTTGACGGTATGATGTATCCAATCGCAGGTTATGACCCGCTCCATCGGAGTTACGATTTTATTGCGAACAAGCAGGTAGGTCCGCTGCTGTGATGAGCTTTCGTTGTTTGCTTTGCTGCGCATCATCTCAACCGATCGCGCCAGCGAGTATGTGCCCTTCCATATCGGTCCGGCCGTTGATATCAACCTTGCCAATTTTGTGTTTTATCGTGGGACCCCGCGGATGGTATTGTAATGCAGGCGGCGCGAAGAAGGTGGTCATCTCGGCACCCTCGGGCGACGCCCCGATGTTCGTGATGGGCGTCAACCACGAGAAGTACACTCCGGACATGACCGTCGTGTCCAACGCCTCGTGCACCACCAACTGTCTCGCTCCCGTCGCCAAGGTGAGGTTTGGCCATTACCGGTAGTGCTTTAGGCTTTGGAACGACCCTTTTCAGAGGCTTTTGCCTGTTGTGTTTTCTCGTTTATCTTTTTCTAAGATGCTTGACCTGGTACAGCAGTATGTTCTTGAGTGGGTTGTGCGTCGTCTCCTGTATGGCGTCATTTCGTTCTCCTGTGTTGGTCGAAGCATTGCGATTGGCCACAATCTCTCGAGTTAATCGAACGCTGCGAGCGGCCACAAGTTATGCCGCGCTGGCACTACAAGGGAAGCAAGCGGCCACCGCCACCCGCAGCACACACTTCCGCCTGCCTGCCTGCACTTTTAAGTGCTTCGTTCTCGTTGGTGTATGCTGTGTCGTTCGCACTCGTGGTTTGATGTGTGATGGTTGCTCATGTTCCTGCTGTATTGCATGTCGCTCTATGAAGTCTCCATTTTTTTCGTCTTTTCTCGCACCCTTTTTTTTTTTCTTCGTCTCACGCCTCGGTTTGTTTGTCCCACGCGCGTCGTGTTTGTTTTTCTCTCTGCCGTTCAGGTGATCAACGACACCTTCGGGCTGAAGGAGGGTCTCATGACCACCGTTCACGCCGTAACCGCCACCCAGAAGACCGTAGACGGACCGTCCAAGAAGGACTGGCGCGGCGGCCGCGGTGCCGGGTTCAACATCATCCCTTCCTCCACCGGTAAGGCCGCCTAGCCCTGCCTACCCCTCCATATGCTTGTTGTCCATCTATGATACAGTCACGTAGTGCTAGGCCGCATGTTTGTTGCTCATTTTTGATGTGATGTAGCATAGCCGTCGGTTAGTCTTGCGTTTAAGCCTTTATTTAGCCCAAGATACCATCTTGGTGTGAACATCTTCCAGGAATACACCAACTTGCCTGCCTTGATTTTGTTCGTGCTCATTCAAGCGATGGACCAATGGCTGCTTAGAAGCAGCAGTCATAATGTTTCGAGCTTCTAACGGATAAAAAACAATGCCCTCCGCCGCTCAACAACAGGTGCCGCCAAGGCTGTCGGCAAGGTCATCCCCGAGCTTAACGGTAAGCTGACCGGTATGAGCTTCCGAGTACCCACCGCCGATGTGTCGGTCGTCGACCTTACGTGCCGCCTGGACAAGGCCGCGAGCTACGACGACATCAAGGGCGCCATTAGGGAGGTAATCTTGACTGAACAGAACAACGCGATTTAACCGGGGCAATATGGGACGGGAACGTGGTTTTTCCATCCGAGAGGCGGAGAATGCATATATCCCGTGGGAAAAACTGGGAACAAAACCGGGCAAGGGGGTCATTTCAGTTTCAAAAAAAAGGTTTGGCAAGTATTAGAGGAACGGTGATTGGGCGGGAAGAAGGAGGGCATGGTGGAGGAGAAGGGCCCCCCGCTGTATGGTAGTCTGGGCGTCTCCTGGTTGAAGATGGGCTAGGTGACATGACTGTTGTTGGCGCATTTGAGTTGCTCTTTTAACGAATATAGTTATTGAACATGTGCCTCCATTTCTTTTACTTTTATTTTTTCACGCGGCGCTTGCACAGGCATCCGAGGGTTCGATGGCGGGTGTGCTCGGCTACACGGAAGAACAGGTGGTGTCGTCGGACTTCCTGTCCAACCCCTACAGCTCCGTCTTCGACGCTGGCGCGGGAATCGCTCTCAGCGACGACTTCGTCAAGGTGCGTTTTTCTTTCTCGCCATACAACACGGTATTCCGTATTCCCCCAATATTGTATATCCCTCCCTCATGTTTTGACTTCGTCAAAGTGCGTGGTTCTTTCTCGCCTTACAACACGGTATTCCATATTCCCTCAATATTGTTTATCCCTCCCTCATGTTTTGACTTCCGTCAAGGTGCGTGGTTCTCTCTCGCCTTACAACACGGTGTTCCATATTCCCTCAATATTGTGTATCCCTCCCTCATGTTTAGACTTCGTCAAGGTGCGTGGTTCTCGCCTTTCAACACGGTATTCCATATTTCCTCGATATTCCATATTCCCTTACCCGTTATCTCGTCGACGTGCGTAATTCTTTCTCGCCGTATGCGTGAAGTGTTCCATATTCTCCCATGCTTTCTCTCTCATCTATCCGTGTGTTTCCTGTCGATCGTCTCGCCATATGCGTTATATGTTTCATATTCTTTCATGGTTTCTCTCTCGTCTATCCGTGTGTTTCCTGTGGCAGTCATGACCCATCCATCTCTTGCGGGCGGTAGTCGGAATGCCACGTACCATACAACATCCCGTATTCCCTTCCGTGTTCCATATTCCCTCATGATTTCGCTCTCATACACCCATGTGTTTCCTGTGGCAGTCATGACCCGCCCACCTCTCGCGGACGGTAGTCGGAATGCCACGCTAAACTTGTTGTCCAGTAAATCTTGTGTGAGAACGTCGCGTGCGTGCTTTCCCCCTCTCACTGGAAATGTGTCTTGCTTGTATTCCGGTTTCGTCCCGTCCCATCCCATCCCATCCCATCCCGCAGGTGGTTTCGTGGTACGACAACGAAATGGGTTACTCCACCCGCGTCGTAGATTTGATCGCTCACATGGCCAAGGAGGACTCGTAAGCTTTCCTCAGGGAGTGAAGGAAGCCGAGGCGTCTGTTCATCATGCCCCTTTAGGTAGTCGATTTCATGATTGGGGGGGAGTCGTGGACTGAGACGACCGACTGCCGTAGGGGGGGGGGGGGGACAGGAGCAAACCATGATGCGTGTGAGCGAAAAGTCGTGGGAGGCATGTTGGTTATTTTCGGCCGTTTCTTGTTGCGGACCACCATGTCCGCCGGCGGTCCTCAGGCGAGGTCCTTTTTTTTTTGGTTTCTTGTCGGTGCCATGCGCAGCTCGCTGTAGGGCGCATTGGTTGTCTACAGCAGAGGTTCGGAATTTTGTTGTTGGGAGGGAGGAGGGAGGGGGGCGGGGGGGTTGCTGTCCTACATGCTTGTCCGTTCTAAATGATGAGCCTGGGTGGCGTTGGCGATAGAATTTGGCGATACACTTTTAGAGCTCAACAGGGGCGAATGGGGGGCATGGTTCGGCCGAGCTCCGCGCTGCAGTGGGATTGTGTAGGGTAACTCGCCCATTGTCTAGATACAAGTTTCATACAGCCACACGGTGCAAAGCACTAGTCGTCTCGTCCTTTTTTAGATTTTTGAGCATCATACTCCACCTTCCCATGACGGCGCGGCGGGGGGGGGGGGGGGTTGAGAAGTTTTGGTAACTGTTGTGGCGGTACTCTTTACTGTTGCCACGCAGACGTTTTGGATAATATACTTTTTTTCTTGGCACAGGTACAATACGAAGAGCCGCGTTGCTGACGTGCTCAACATTTTCAGCGAGAAAAAAAAATATAAAACCATTACAATTCTCAACATTTTGTTTAGTGGTTCAAGAAGCTTGAGATCGAAGTGACTGTGTGAGCTTCGAGAATCGGTATCAGCAGGAGAGCGATGACGGGTCACAGACCGTTGCTGACGATGCACGACCCTCGGAGTCGTACTCCCTCTGGGAAAAAAATTGTAATCGCGTTATCGGGCAGGAGTTGGGTGTGTTGTCCTTGCTTGCTGCCCGATCCACCCACGCCTTGGGAAGGTACATGAGCCAACGACGCGATCTGCCAGTAGCGAAGTCTGCCACATGGTCAGCACGAAAAACGAAATAGATAGCTGTTCATCCCGCGCACCTTGACGACACTCACTCGAAGGCGACGTTATGCTATGCTCACGACTTCTAGAACGACTTCTAGAACGCACACGACAAATATTTGAAGCGTTGGTGTCCTGTCCAAACTCCCGGTTTGAACCAAGGAAAACGAGTGGAGTTGAGTGAAAATGGGGGGCGAACCAAGGTCGAATCCGTGGAGACATGAGGGAACATTAACATTCTACATCTTCCGGCTGGTCGTACACCTTCTTCGCAGCGAACGAGGGCGCGAAATTAATCTGCTCGGTCTCTCTCCCTGTCGAACTTGATGATGCAATAACGGCAGTCGTCCTCATTTATTGGTGTGTGAACCCACGGCAAAAAGATTCGACTCATTGTGCGAGTGTGTTCATGGACTCCTAGTCGCCAGGTCGTCGGTGTATATCAACTGTATGTATGCATATAACGCCATTTCGGCGGAATTATAGAGAGGAATATTTTCGCTATGCATTGAGCCGACGGCTTGTCTACATGAACATGCCGCGTAGCTCACGTCGTTGTCAGCTTCGGAAACGCAACAACCAACACACGCAAGCCCCAATGAACGGCTGCGACATATTCACCACAGAGGGACGAGGGCGGCGGCGGGGGAGACGGGGGAGAAAGGAAAGCACCAAAAAGTTCCTCTTCGCACCTTTGACGGTTTTCTTATTTTTTTTACAGGAATTGACAGCTTGACAGTCCCGTCGCTCGTCGAGGAGAGGAGGAGTAAGCAGACGTGCTGCAGACTACAGTATTATACAACACAGCGCATGCCAGCACTCGCACGTAGTATTGCTACGGCCGCAACAGGCCCAGTGAAGTAATGCCGATCCAAATCATCAACAGCGGGGTGAAATTAACCCCTGAACCCAACACGATCAGCACCGTCGTTGCCCGGAATGAAACCGGAGTCATCTGCCGAGTTTCCGCCAGTCTTCCAACCCGAAGGACCAGGCGATTTAGCCACCAAGGCTTGGTACATGGGTCCGATGGAGGCGGAGGCATCGATCGACAGGCGGATGGTGGGGATGGTGGGCAGGCATCAGCCGGACAAGCTTCTTCACCGTACGACATGACGAGTGTCTTCGGGCTAAAGGTAGGACACAGCCGTGTAGACTGTGTAATAATGTACTCACAATGTGGTGAAGGTACTCTGCAAGTCAAGTGTGTGTGTTCGTCCGATCAGTCTGGCGCCAGTCCACACGCCTTCACGCCTTTCGATGCTACGTTGACGTGTGAACCGAGTTGTAAGCTTCTCGTATTTTGACGTTGTGCTTTCTACGCAGCGGGTTATAAAAATGCGATGCTTTCGCGGGAACCACGTTGAAGCCATATTGCATGGCGGGTGCGTGTAATCCACAGAGGATCACTCGAGATAACGTGTAGATGGCATCAATTCGCAACTCGTCTCCGTCACCCAACCACTGCCTCTTCCGTTCTTCGTTTTGCGAAGAAGCGCGAGGCAGATGGCAGCCAGCCGCTGTCGATTGCTTGTTTCCTATATCCTACTATACGTCATGTGACCATACGTACGTCGCGCGGAACATAATCCTGCGGGTGGTTCTGAAGGTACAGAGGATGAAAGCGGAGGAGCTTGCCGCCGAGGAGCAAAGCAAACGCAAGATCAACAGCAGCTCTACTCCTCAGTCGTCAGCGGTCAGTGATGTAGTATATCCTGCTGCTGTAGTACATAACTTACATAGACGAAGAAGATAGATGCACCGGCCATGGTCACCAACGAAAGGGAGGTAATACAGGAGGGTTGTTTTACACCAGGAGGGTTGTTTTACCCCACCTCCCTTCTGCGGTGCTCAACTTTTCTTTTTCCTCCTCAACCGTGAAGTCAATTTTTTTACCCCCAGGAACGAGCCCTTCTCCATGTACGGGCAACACCCAGCAGCTTTCGGCTGAGGTAGTCATGCGAACCGCCGGATTCCCTCGTGCGTCTCTTTCCACGTGATACGACGACGCGCCAGAAACAACCCGAGCAGGAAGAAGGCGGCGAAGATCCATCAGGCGAACCAGGAACGGAGAACGGCGGGGAGGAGGCTGGTCCAGCTGATGTATGGATCAAACGATCTAGGGGCGGCGCTCATAAGCGGCTGCCAGCGCACACGGCGCTGACGGACCGTGTCAGACAAGGCAACGACCTAGTAAGCGCTCGTCGTGCGATGGACGCATCACTGTATCCGTATGGCTGAACTTCGACATGATGTCAGCGCAAGACGAAAGCACCTCAAAATGCAGCAACAGACGGTCATGAACGCCACGAAGTAGCTCTGGAGTTGTCTGTCGTCGTCTCGTGCACCCTCCACCGAATAGAGGAAAACGGGTGCGTGCCCCGTACGATTTTCTTTGCCCGGTCGCGTCGACAGGTAGGTAACACGTGGACCGCTACGAGTTAGAGCGGCTATTCCCCAGGCCGACGTACTGTAGTAGTCAGCGAGAAGGGTTGCTTTCCGTAGACCAAAGTGGTCAGCGGTGGCTGATTACTTTAGTCTCGAGGGGATAGCCCCTCTAACAAAATAGGACGCGCACAATCGCCGACAGAGACCCCGAGAAAGTATCGCCCGGCGTATTCAATGAGCAACTTGTATATGCAAGCAAATGGTTTAGGTGCTCAGACAGCTAGGCATTGCCATCCTCCGTGTGTCGCTCGGTACCTCGCCCCGACGCCGCGGGTTAACTACTTTTGATTTCTTGCAGTTGAAGGGGCTGCGGGCAGGAAGGAGCTTGCGGCAGGCCGCCGTTGGCTCTGCGAAGGGAGCTCTCGAGCTCGGGCTGTGGGCGGCGAGTAGACCGGAGGAGTTCGTAAAGAAAAACCAGGCATGTGTACGTTACGCGATGCTGCTTCTTGTTCCAATCGCGACATCGTTTGATGGTGGTGTAGTTACATGGGAGCACGCACACGCCGCATGACCATCCCGGAAACAACAAAAGTAGAAAATGGCACACGATGGCGTCGAAACTTTGCAAGCGAGTGACGACGTTGGTCCGGGTGTGGCGAGAAAACCCCCTAACCTTTGGTACTTTCACCTTCGTGTGTTTCGTGTTGAATCGAGCAAAAAATCCGACGAATCTGTCATCTGATGGTACCACTTATTCCCCCATGCCCACATGCGCATGCCTGCGGGTCGAGAAGAAGAAGCCGCACAGTCACGGTTCGGGAGGTTAATTCCTTTCCTAATGCTTGCTGTCGCCCCCACTTTCGGTCGACCGACAATGTAGGGGTTCCAACCTCGCGACAAACCTCCGGCGGGAAAAGGCGGAACCTCCGCTGGCCAGGTGCCGAGCAAGGCACACCTTGTGGGAGACGGCAGTACAGACGACGCTTCCACTACCAGCCGGAATAGCGGTGCTGCTGGTGCCGGTGCTGCTGGCGAGCTTGGACAGTGGGCAAACAGGGACAACGAGCGAGTCAGAGCGCTGGAGGCCAAGGTCGGTCAGCGCTTTGTACTTTTGTGCGCTCTCGAAAGACAGCGGTGAGGCAGGCTCAATTTCTGAAGAGTTTCTTGCGTGGGATGCCGTGCTAGGGGAGAGCCGATCGCTTCCTACAGTTCGCCATGTCTCTCCTGATCAATAAGATAGCGGCACGATTGTTGCCGTCTCGTTATAGAAAGCTTGTGCTGCCGCAGTTGAGGTTCCGTTTACCTCGACTGGCGAATCGGCAGTGGACACGGCGGTCCATGACACGATGCCCAATCCTTGGCAGCGCTCATGCCGATGGGTTTTCACTCACAGCATGTACGGAGTGATTCAGCCCGCAACGCAGTTACTGCACGTTGCAAGCTTGCCCCGGACGGAGCCCTTTCCTTCGAAACGGCTGCACCTCAATTTGAGGTTGTGAGCGACTCGTTGCTGTTGGGATGACGAACATGGAGTAGTAGATTTCCAAGTATTGTAACGTGGCCTTCGTCGCAAAGTATGTGCCCGACTTCTGGAGCTGTTGATGCAAAGTCTGGCTCATGGTTTTGTCGGTAGCTTGGGCCCAAGGGATCGCCACTGGGTATTCCCGTTTGGAGGATCGATGGTGACGTTTTTGGGCGGCGGGTTGCAAAGTTTGGTGAATTTTCTTCTGTTGGTCCGACGGCAAGGACCAACGATGACTCGCTGTCGCCGTTGATTTCAGCCGCGGAGTTGAGAGCGGTGAAGCGGCGCATTTTCATGCTACAAGGGCCACTTGAAACTGGACTGTTGACCCCCTTCCTCCTTTTCCCGGAACAGTTCTATCCCTCCCTCCCGCGTTGCTCCATCCTGTCGATCACGCGCGGTCAATGGTCTAACAGCTAAGGAGTGCTAAACACGAGCACGCCCCCCCACCACCACCACCCCCCACCAAGCAGCTGCGAGATATGGACAGGAAGCTGGTGCGACGTCCTCGAAAGCCTTCCAGCGACGGGGCGGTTCGTGGATCGAAACGAGTACGAAACAGCAGCAACTCTTCCATTTCCCACCTCGGCCACCGCACCATAGTCGCGGTATCGACGGTCGACGTATTCGCGCACGGCGGCATGCCACACAGCAGCGGCAGCGGCAGCGTAAGCGGCAGCGGCAGTGGCCCGGCGACAATGGCGGGGTCAGTGGCGGTGCCACGGATAGCAGGGCTTGGAGGGAAGTCAAACGATGGGCGCGGGGGGGCGAGGCAGCAGCAACAGCAGAAGAAGAAAAACCAGGGTGCCGGTTCGGGAATCGCGTCCGAGGGGTCGCAGCAAGGGGTAACAGCGACAGCAGCGGCGGCGGCAGCGGCGGTGGCAGCGGCGGCGTTGGCGGTGTCTCAGACCGGAGAGGGTAACGCGCCGGGCGCAAGCGGTCATCGCTCACCGCAGAGAGGAACGCTGACAGCCAGGTGAGTGATTTGTTTCTTCCCGACCCGTACAAAAGCTTGGAATCCTAATCAACGCACCGATTTGTTGGGCAGTCGGCAACCGTGAAACTGCGGCTGGAGTCATATCAAAATGATCGTGATCACAGTGCCCGCGACGAGGTCAACGTTTCGAAAGAGAAGGCATGAAGGACAGTTTTGCATGGGTTCCCACGTAATAAGTGTCGTCTCCGCATGACTGCGAACTTCTCCCTCGCCCTCGAGTACGTACAGCTACACCGGCACGACGGCCTTCTGTCTCCCCATCTGGGTGGGGTGCATCGAGCCTGCATCGCCCTGCACAACAGTAGGGCACCACAAAATCAGTCCTCATTCAGTGGCCGCGTGCGCGCCGCGCATGTTGCACACACCGCTAGGTCTGCTCCGGCCGCCACTGGGGGGGGCGTTCGCTTCTCACGGCCACACGGCGGTCGCGGTAGCGGGGCGACGTCTGGATCGATGAGCGCCAGGAGAGCGGGACCTGGGTCCCCGGTCATGGTGTCCGCATCGGTGAGGAAGGCAGTCAGTCCCGGTTCGGCCGCCGAGCTGCCCGCAGAACAGCACTGTTCGGTGCCGTGGGTTCGCAGCAGTGGGGGTAGCCGCTTCCCCTTTCTCGACTCACTAACACCGGAGAGAAGGTGGGAAAAGGTGGCTCTGGGACCATTGCGTCGAGGACCATCTTTCGAAACAATACCCACGCTCTTGCTCCGACGCTCTCCGTGCGGCGATGGGGAGTTAGAAGAAAGATCCAACTTCTCCGTTGCGTACGAGGGTGCACATCACTGGATGAAACAGGACCGATGTGCTGTGTTTTTTCTAGGGTACATGGATTTGCCCTGTTCCCTCTTCGCCACCGACGATGTCGGGTACTTCTTATAGCATAAACCTTGGTTCGGTCAACCGTCGTTGTGGGGTCATTACACCCCTTGTGCACCACGTATCTATGCATACCTCAGGTGGGCCGACTGTTGAGTCTAACTGCGACGATAAGCCTTGCAATGTGGTTCAATGCCGCCGCGTAGTACGCACGTGTCCCAGTGTGCTCTGCCATTTTCTTGCGACCCGTTCGTTCAGGCGAAGAAGGAGTTGAAGGCAGCCGTCAAGGCGTACGTTCTGCGGCAGGTCAGCCTGGACAAGGACTTGTCAGAATCCATCAGCCGGAGAGACTTCGACTGGGACGAGGACATGAGGAGAATGATGGACACTGTCAAGGTACGGTTTCATGCAGCCCTACGCCCTCTACCCTAAAACCTCTGCCCCCAACTGTGACAACACCCCTTGGAGGCTACATTGCCGGTACAAGTCCTTCGTGTTTCGTTTGAACTGCTGTACCTCGTGTACGCTTGTTGGAGTTTGGCAGTCACCGAAATAGTCCGCGGGAATGACCAGTCATACGCATTAAAAACGAAAGGAAACAAATCGGACGTAACGAGCGCCAGCAGGCGAGTTTACTCCGTAGATACACCGTTGCCCGTTGGCGAACGCCTTTGCTCATACTTCTATGTTGTCCCTCTGGGAAAAGCTCAAGCAGCAGCGTGCAACACTCTGCCTCTTCCTAATCTCCCAAAAAGAAACCCGTCGCAGTACTAATGCCTGCCCCCCCGGCTATCACCACTTTTCCGGCCCGTTCTGCGTGGCAACCTATCCATCAGATTGCGGCAGCCGGAGAAGGAAAACGGACGTTCGAGAGCGTGCCCAAGGTCATGCGTCGGCAGGTGAAAAAGAAGCGCATGTAGGCGCTTGTAACCTGCACATTATTTTCTAGCTAATGTGCCCCCCACTCCCAAAAGGCGGTAGAATCTAGCGGTGAACGACATACACCAATTCACAGCCAGCCTTCAATTTATCTTACAGAGAGACAGCTGTTTATTGTAGCGCATAGCGAAAAATACTCAGGAACAGGAATCTCAGTCGCTTCTAACGTCAAATTTGTTGCGAAGATGCGATCGAGACACATGATGCTCTTGTGCCTAGAATAACCACCACCACCACCAACGGGATGCTTTACACTTCGTGGATGCGGGTAGTTGCGGACCTACAGTAGCACCAAACGCCATAACACATCGAAAGCCACCCATCACCAACAAAACTCACGGCGCTTCGTGGCTGACTCAGGTGGCTGCGAAACAACGCGCTGATGAGGCGACTAGTCTGGAGGGGTCTTGGTTTCCGTCCGTGATGAGACGGATGCTAATCATGGTACAGGGCAAGGAAGGGGGCGAGGTACCGCGGTGCATGACCAAGCTTGCGGCTGCCTTGCATAAGGTACTGCTGTGCCACGAATCGGCGGCACGCTTGAGATGCTGGGACAGTACTCGGCTCTTTGCACGCACGGTTTCGGTTTGGTGTTTCTTGTTCTGTTTATGTTTTGTTCATCAGTGGAACGAGCGAACTGACGGAAATAGCCTCTTGTTTTGCTCAACTGAGTCATCCGCCGAATGTCAAGTGGTATTGGATGTGATGGGACGGGGCGGAACAAGCAAGAAGCACAAGCACGGTATTTCTGTGCAGATGCTTTAGCGTTCAAAAGCACCGTTGGCCGTTGTGGTGTAGCGAGCGGCGGGCGACCAACAAACGTCCCCCTTGCACCACACTATACTCCGACAGGTGCTCACGAGCGGACACGCGGTGACGCCGTACATCTTCTGGTCGCTGGTGGGCGCCTCGTTCCTGCCGGAGGATCACCAGAACCCCCCCGCCCAGAAAATGATCCTCACCTGCTTGACCTTCGTCCACCAGCGGCGAGAAAACTACCACGATTTCCTGGTCGAACACTCCATAAAGGTACCCAGCTCGCTGAAACAGGCCGTGCAGAGGGCGAACCAAAAACGGGCCCACAAGAAAGGAGTCTCGAAGAAGTCGCACCTTGGTGGCGGCGGTGGCGGCGGCGGTAGTTCTCGTCGGCTAGTCGGGGCGGAGGAAGGCGGTGGTGCGCTAGAAGGCGGTCACGGTCATGGAAGCTCAGCCGTAAGCATCAAGTATATTGGCGGCGCGGGCGTGGGGAACGTCAGCGACGCCGGGAGCGACGACATGAGCGATACCATGTCCGTGTTCAGCGTCTCGACACAGCTCGGCGGTGGCCAAGCTACGTGAAGGGAGTCAGCCGGTTTTTCGGGTGTCCGGTTTCGAGATTCCGCGTTACTTAGTAGGTCGTTTGAGTGCGGAGCAACGCCCCAGCGGCTCGTGGCGGGCGGACTTTTCTTGAAAGAGAGCCGAAAACAACTGAACAGGGTCCACGGTGGCTAATCTCGGCATTAGGCTGTACACGCCCGAAGCGTACCCCCAAAGCTGATCGGAGGAGTTGTATTGCACCCGTATCAGTGGGGTACCTGTAACGTCCTCAGGCATTGTCAGGGGCGTCTCTGACGTTGACTCGGTCTGGTTAGTGGCATATTTTCAAGAGCAAACGCTTTTTAATCCGACAGCAACCGCCTCGGGAACATTGTTACCACCGCAAGCGGTAGAAAACGCCAACCGATCCGTGCCGCTTATTGTTAGCCACAAAGCCACTGAGTCTCCCACACGCCAACGCCTCGAATTTGTGGCAAACTTCCATCGGAAGGACGAGCTGCTCCCGAAGAAAACCGTCGTACAAAATGCCGACTTAAAACGAACAGCGTAAAATCAATGCTGATGAAGGATTCGTCCTGCCTGTGAGGCCCCGGGTGGTGCGTCAAACATACAGTGTACGGTGTTGAGTGGCGCCCAAAATAGACGACACGGAAAAACAAACAATGTGCCGTTTCCCCTCAAAGCTACCCGTCTCCAGCTCTGGTGTGGGTCGAAGTCCCTTTCCAGAATGTGCACACCTTACCAAACCTTAAAGTTACTGTTTGTGTCTATCATGCACATGGAATAAACCGCGAAGAAGGCTCGCGTACAACTACTTGCGTAGTTTACTTCCTGTGCTGTTGTAGGTGGCGTTGGAATGCGAGCATGCTAGGATCAGTTTCACGAAAAAGAGCTCACTACCCGATGCTCTCCATTCGAACCCCGGGAGTACCCACCCACAGTCAGTTAAATGCTACCACGCAATGCCACCCTCCTCGTCCCTGCCCACAGCTCCACGTATGTATGCATGTCTCGCCACCGACGTCGCTAGGACACGAGACACGCTCCCGCTGCATTCAAGATCAAGTTTCTGAACATTCACGCCTGAGCTCAGCGCTATGCACCAACGTCACTCAACTTCCACCAGCATGGCCCCGAACAGCTTACATGATAGTCATGTGCCGTTCCGATGTTTCCGGGACAAATACAATGTACATGTCTCCGTATACCCTTCCAGCCCTGCGCCCCTGCCCCTTTGGCACCTTGGTCCTCTGCCACTCACAGCCGTAAAACTGGGTTCTACGGTGTACATACCTCTTGTCAATTACAGTATAGTTTTCCCCTTATCCTTGCTTTACGCACTACTACTAGACGTACAGCGAGCCAACAATGCGACAACGCAAAAAAATCTAACAACAATAAACTGCCTCAAGGTTGGTTCGGTTGCGGTGGCCGATCCCCCAGGAACAAAAAAACGGCCGTGGGCCAAAACTCATTATGGCGCAAGGAGCGCCCACGCTGGGTGTGCTGTTTGGTATCTTCACGGTAAAAAGCCAGTCTGTCACCTATCCAACAGTACCTCCTCCTTCCACCTCTTCAAAGGAACAGAAAAGAATGTTGTTCGTGACCACGAGGAAACCCACACGTATCATGGCTCAAGAACACATGTTCTACCTCGTCTAGATAATGTATCTAGAAAAATCCAAACCATTCGTGAAACAATCGTTACACGTCTTAGGTCAACAAGCCTAAAGAGAGCAAATCCGGGCCATAAAAAGCCCAAAAAGTAAGAGGAACAAGAGTCCTGCTCCACCCAGAAGAAGCAGAGTCCCGAACAAGGCATTCTGAAGCATACCAATGTATTCTGAAGAGTAAACCTGAAGAGGCCACCCTCGCGCCCTTACGAAGCCACCCGGGGAATTGTCACGGCCGTGTTCTGTCTTCGCCGACCACACCAATCCCGTTCCACGCACCTTAGAGGCGCGAGAGGGACCTTCGCGCATAAAATTAAAAGCAGATGCCCAAAAGCAACCACACGCATTGTGCGAGACAGCGGTGAAAGTACGTGTCGCCCTAGGCTTTTTGTACGCACGCCCCCACGCCCCCTGCCGTGCTGGGTATCTATCTGTCAGGTTACCACCAACCAGGAAAACCTCCCCTTGCTTCTAGGAATTATGGTATGGGGTAGAGTCAGGCAAGATGAACCGCCCCTAGGATTGCAACTACTGGCGTCCCAGGTAGATCAATACTATCCGTGGACAACGGGAACGAAACTTTTGTTTTTGAAACAACCGACATCATCAGCGGTGAAAGCCGTTGTTGAGGGCAAGAAACAAGTCCCGGAGATGAATCGAGACGACCAAAAACAATCGGGCAAGAAGAACAAAAAAATCGACGCTATCCAATAATTTGAATAGGCTCCTTACTACCGTAGTACCTGCTGACGGTAACGCCTCTTGCTCACCCCCCACCCCTCCCCTTCGTGGTTCTTGTCTTCAGCAGATAATTGGCCGGTGGCTTGTGTTCCATCCCGCAGGCTTCAAGTCTTATCTACTGTAGGCTCTTGTGTGCCCCGATACCATTAACTGGTCCGCCACCGACAGGTGCACGACGGGCACTCCGTCCTCCCTGCACGCGCTGCTGACACTGTCCTTTCACGAGCCTGTTTCTTTCGAACGTGCGCCGTTTGGCAGCGTAGCGAAACAATATCCGTCCCCTTCAAAGCGCCAAAGTACGTGAATGCACGGCACCCCTACGAAACGAGGAGCTTTGGTTGACATCTAGCTGATGAGACGCGCCACTAGCATAATTGTGGTGTACTAGCGTACTGCACTAGTCGATGTGGTGCGATAAGCTCGCCTTGACTCGCATACGTCCGAAAAAGCCCCCAAGTCGAAGGGGTCACTACATGGGCTCCTATTGTGTACGCAATTCACCGCACCATCCTGCGCGTAGGAACTGTACCATCGAATGCTGCTTCCCCCGCACGTGCGTATTTGAAGTCCCAGCCGATTACGGGCAAGAGATTGTCCCATTCTCGCCATTTTGTTTTGAAACAACAATGAACAAAAAGTACCAGTTCTGCACCGTCCCGACCTGGACTTTGCCACCAAGTCTAAAAAAAGCAGCATGAAGGCCAGCATTTTCCGCAACGCCGCTCGTTGCTGCGGATTTTATTAGACTTACCCCGGAAATTCGCCCCAATAGTAAATAATTCATATCTTTGACATATCAACTGCCGTTACACAGGAGATATCGTAAATGTTCTGAAAATACACACCCCGTCACTTTTCAGCGGTGCATCGCTCTAGAGAGCGCGCTGGTCTTGAACCTTAGGGCCGTCTTCGGTGTGATCTGACCGTCCCCAGCCCCTCCGCCGGCCACCCAGTTCATCGCCGCCCCCGTGTTGGCTGTTTCACCCCTGCCCCACGACGACATCCTCGCAGTCTCCTCCTCAAGGTTGCTGAGGCGGTTCTTCGTCCCGCCCGTGTACGCGCCGATCGTAAACCCGCCGCCGCCGCCGCCGCCGCCACCCTCGCCGCCAAAGTTACCGTCGCCTTCGTCTTGGCCGCTCTGGGACATCGCGGCTGAAGTCGGGGAGCCCAGCCTGCTCATCTCAATGTCCGTGCCTCCCGTCGGGTCCAGCGCGGCAAACTCCACCGGTGGCGTGACCCTGCCGCCGCCGACCTCGGCCGTGGCGACCGGCTTTCGGGGGTAACCACGAGTCGGGGATTCGAACGACGGCGCTATGGCGGGGGCGCCACCGCGGCCGCGGGAGCTCGACGTCTCGGCGGGATTTAGCAGCAGCGTCGAGCCACCGGCGTGGCTGTTATCGTCGGCGCCGCCGGTCCTTCGGGTGCTTGGCGGACGTGCACCGGAGAGACTGCCCGCGTAGCTGCCGCCTCCGTAGACCTCTTGCTCCCAGAGCTGCTGGCGGCGCCGCCGGGAGCGGTTGGCGGCGCGGATGGCTTTGGCGGCCTCCTTACGCCGGCGTTCGCAGTCCAAGAGGGTCTGTTTTCGTTTCATGCGTAATGCCCCCGGTGGGGACGGTGAGTGGCGTTTAGTCGAGCTATCGTGGCATCACAAACTTACTGGTAGGTGCTGCACGGGGTGGGGAAAATGGCGGCAGGATCACGTGGTCGAAAGATCTTTCATCGGTCCGCTTTGTGTGGGTCTGGCGCGGGCATCATTTGGAAGGGTCTTATCGCGGGGCGTGTAGAGCATCGCAATTTTTTTCCGAGCGGGTGCCAGTCACCACTGCGGTCGGCCCTAGTTTGGTTGTCGGGTTCACTTGATGAAACTCGGACGCGGTCGATGCCACCCAAAATTATTTTTCTCTCACCAGAACCTCCAACCCTGGATAATCCCGTGCCTGTGTCCCATACTATCCTCAAGCGAATGTACCCCCGGACGTCTATTGTATTGCCACGGGGACGCCATCTGACACTCGTAAATACATTTGATGATGCCCTACATACATGCAATTCTTATTTCAGGTGTCTATGGCAGCAAGGTGTCACAGCCGTATCGTACTGAAACTGCGGGGAGCAGATTATTCCGTGCTCATGGTATGTCCACGTCGACGATACTGCAACTTCATGTTCTGTGACTGGATGCACGGCGATGATTTTGCTTCCGCGGCGCCATGACACTCGGTCGGTGTGTTTTCTCCGAAAGTGACGGGTTCCTGTCGGTTGGGAGCTTACTGCCTCCTCTATTGGACTATTCGACTGCAGAGCGTGTTCTGAGTTCTGTGTGTGTGAGCCGTGTGGGGCTCGCTCCTCTCTCTGTCTTGCTTTCTTTGTTGTTACCGTGTCTGCCACATCCACCCTTTTCGACCTCCTCGATGTCCACCAGATTTTCCATGACCCTTGGCCCGACCACGTCCGTCAGCGACGGGAGCATGCTGATCTGCTTGGGAACGCTGTTCTTTGTCTTGCTGAGGAGGTCATGTTGCGTCTGTACCAGATTGACGATCTCTTTGAGATCCAACGCCTGTTTCCGATTCAACTCTGGAATTGTTTGCGATTCACCTCTAATTGAACTCGAGAGTAGAATCAGAAATTATGCGAGAGGTGGATTAGCAAACAGATTTTGGATCGCCATGAGATCATTAGCCTGGTACAGGCTGAGCAATGACCTTCTCAGCAAGAGCAAGAAGGACTTCCCAGCAAATCATAAATCATAATGCGCTCGTCGCTGACGGACGTGGTCGGGCCGGGGATCGTGGAAAATTGGTGGGAATCGTGGAGGTCGAGGAGGTGGACGCGGCAGAGACGGTAACAACGACACGTCCGAGGATTCCGACAGGGAAAACAAAGCAGCCGGGGACGATGATCAGTCGGCTAAGGGATCAACTTGCTGGAACTGCCATGGCCGAGGTCGCTTCGATCGAGATTGCACCGTGGAGCTGTGCAAGAGGTGCGATGGAAGAGGAAGTGTCCGTCCGCGCCGGCAATGAAGATTGGTGGTGTCGTGATGGACCTGCCCGATTCTGAGTCGACTACAGCGTGTTCTGGGCTGTGTGTATGTGTGAGCCGTGTGAGGTTCACTCCGCTCTCTGGTTTAGAAGCCTTCGTAGTTTTTTTCTATGAAGTACACATGTTGGATAAAGCATGCAATCGGGGAAGTTGGGTTAGGGTTAGGGAATACAGTCTGCGTACCCCCTTTTCCTGTTCTATTTCCTCATTAACGTCATTTCTCGCGAAGGTAGTCCCTCTATTTTTCCTTGCTTTCCCCTCCCTTGCCCTCGAGGGCAGAGGGCATCCGATAATACATGAACACCACAAATATCAAGCCATTCGACTTCGAATGCATGAGATCGACGTTAACAGATTCCGTTGCACCAACACACCGCCACATCTAGCGTCTCGACACTCTTATACCATATCGAGACGCGAACCGAGGCGGTGTTGTGTGTCCGTGTACGCGGACAAGGTACATCGTCTGGAATGTGCTGCCGACAGCAGGTAGGTACGCTGAAGGGAGACCAGACCAGGGTGTCTGTCGGCAGCTTGTCCAAGGAAGGGAGAGAACAATCACTACTGTGCAGTTGACACGGCGGCAAAGGTGCAACACATCAAACATCTCTAGCTTGTACAATGTAGTGCGAGGTTTCCTCTCTCAATACAGAGTGACTGAAGAGAGGCGCGATGGTACTGTACGCTTTTAGACTTCCAACTCGTCGGGTATTACGATGTTGATAAGCGTACCTTGTGATGTAGGGCGACCGAGTTGACAAGCAATACGATGGAGGTCATAGCCAAGAGGATTCCCCCGTAGTAGCACCACAGGGACCACTTCGTTTCCATGCAGAGCTCTAGGGTCGTATGGCAGAAGCTATCGTCCAGCGGGGAGATGTCGGCCGCGCCCAAGACGCACAATTCTTCCGCACAGCAGCATCTGCCGGCCAAGTCCACAGGGTTGGCGGTCGCGCAAGAGATGGACATTGTAACGGAGCTGATTACCACCCCACACCAGGTGCACAGACCACTTGGACGGTTCTAACAACTAAATATTAATAACTGCTGCTGCTGTAGTTCTGCTCCCGATCAGAGAGAGGTAGAAACAACTAATCTCGACCACCAATATGGTACGGCAACAAAAAAACAGAGAGAGGCAAAAAATAAAAGCGGTAATAACTGGTGGAGGCTACTTGGACTAGCTGAACAAGATTCCAGCTTTCACTCGACCTGTTGTAAACGGTGTACAGAGGAAATCGTACGGGGCAAACAGAGCTTTTCTTCCACATGATCACCCGGGACTCTCTCTCGTGAGTTCACCACAACAAAACAATCATCCTCGTTGCCAACGAAAGTTCGTACAGTATGTGCGCAACCAGCACGACCGATCTCTGTGGTGTACAATAAAGATAATATATTCGGAAACAGCAGCACCGTACAAATGACATTGACATAGACTATATAGGTACCCACTCAGCTAATTAGTTTTGCATTCTATGCTCACATTGTGGCCACTGCCGGTAGCATCGCGAAACTTCCCATCAAGAAAGTGACCACGATGCCGCCAGCGCCCCAAATGAGCAGCATGATGCTCAGAGTGCTTCGCCGAAACCACAGAGAAAATACGCTCATGGCCCCGATCAAAAGGTCGATGGCCAACACGACGAACCACGCGACCGACTTGGGGGAGTCCCCAGCCTTGGATGCCGAGGGCTGCTCCAGCAACCACGGGAAGCAGAGGCCAGCAGAGATGATGATCCATATCACCGATGAGACAACGCCACAAGTTCCGTTCGAGAGCACCCTCGACGCGGAGAACTCTTGGCTCGAATTGAAGCTGCTTGTGGGGCTCGCCCTTGACGATGCCTCAGCAGGTCCAGCCATGATTCAATATCAGCCGAACACGCAGCTTGAATACACCGAAGACTCGAACGAGTGGAGGGAGACAACAATAACAGCGCAACCCCGTTGACGACCAGGCTCGAGCCTAGTCTCCACCTCCAGTTCGTATACCGAAAGGTTTGGACGATTTTCGGAGTCTGCGCTGTTATCGGTGTGGGGCTACTGCGATCTTTCATCACGAAGCGGGAAGATCGTGTCTCCGTTGCGCACATGATGTAGTTGTAGGCGAACCGTAACGTAGAAACGGCGAAAACCTCACCAATAGCCCACGCACACGCCGCGCGGGCTGGCTGAACACCCCAATATTTCCTTCCACGGTGCCCCCTCGACCAACGCCAAAGCAGCACACAGCAGCCAAACCAAACCAGCCAGCAAGCACCATCATCATGTCATCACCACGGGAGTACTCCGTTGCGCGGCTACACCCGAGAGTGCCAGGGACTTTGGTCGTCGCGTTGTGGCTGTTGGGGACAGCTCAGTGCCTTGTGGCTCCTCCTTCGGCCAGCCTCACTGGTGGTGTCCCCGGAGCAAGGATTGTCGGCAGCCGCTCATGGCTCGATTCTTCACCCTGCTGCGTGCGGCAGAGTAGTAGAGGTGAGCTTGGGTAGCAAGAGGACCCGCCTGTCGGTGAGCTGCTATGGTGGTGCCATGTAGAATGGCACTTTTCCCGCATCTACTCTGCAGAGTGGTATGTACAACGGGTTGCTGCAACAGCAGAAGGTGTGTGTAAAGCAGTACTGCTGTAGCTGCCACGACAGCAGTCACCGGTTGCACTTGAAGTCCATCGAGTCGTGCAGTCTCCCCCCCTACACGCACGCACGAGAGCACCCACACAGGAGATGGTTGCAACATGACTGTCGTTCGTGCTGGTCTACGATATCTGTACTGGTTTGGGAATGGTGAGATGTGTTTCTGGGAGAGTCATGCAACACATGACACAACATGCTGTGCCTGTTTCCCTCTCCTCTCCTAGGCACACACAGCTTATAGGCTGCACTTGCCCAAACAATTGCGTTCTCTATTGCCCACACTTTTCTCACCAGTTCTGATGCACCAAGCCCCCATTACAAGCCGGTTACGGTGATGGCAATAGCATGTACCAGAGAGTTGGACTACATGTAGAACTCCATGTTCGTCGACAAGTGCACCGCAACCAAACGGCATCGAGTATCGACAAGAGGCTGAGCTCAAGCCAACATGTAGGGCTGCCGACCCTTTTCCCACCCGACGTGACAAAAAAATGCAGGCTCCAGAGCAAGAACCCATGTCATGGTGATGCCCGGGGGCGGGCGGGGCGGGGGGGGGCGCGGCGGAAGGGGAAGAGGGAGGGGGAGAGGAAGCCCCCCCGATGCGTTCGCGCTAGGCGGAGAGGAGCGGCTTCAGAAATTCTTGAGTCACGCGGGCTTGGACTCACGGCGGCAATGCGAGCAGATGATCTTGGATGGGCGAGTGAGGGTAAATGGGAAGATGGTCAAGGAGCTCGGGGTTAAGGTACGCTTTGGGGCAGGGGGGGCAGGCGGGATGGAACAGCTGTGGTGTTGTTGCGGCGGAACATGGGCGGTGTCGGTTGACCACGGTATCTGCTTGCCATACAGTAGTTCGAACACGGAGCCACTCTGGGATGTGTGTGTTGGGGTGCTCGTGTTGAACGTGTGCTCGATTTTGATTTTTGGGCACCATATCGTGGGGTCTCGATGTGCACGTTAACGGCCTTTCTCAGTGCACCAGAGGGAGAAGAAATAAGAACACGACGCCTGCTGCCAGTGCCTGTTCCTTTCTCGCGGCCGGCGTTGTTGTGCTGTACAATTGAAGAGGACAGCCGTCGTGGAGAGCTCACTTTGTTGGGTCGAGGTTTTGGCTCTTTGTCAATTTGTCATGAGTGTTTAGGTCGATTTCTCACGTTTTCGTCGAGTTGTCACGTGTCGGTCGTTTTTCAGTGTATTGGTCAATTTCTAACACCTATCTTTGATCGGTTTCTCATGGCATTTTTTGCTCTACACATATTTTGCTGTACGGTAGGTGAACCCCCGAAGGGACCAGGTGCACGTGGACGGCAATCGCGTGTCCATGCGCCCCGACTCCGAGATCAAGTGGGTCGCGCTCAACAAGCCCAAGGGTGTCATCTGCACCGTGTCGGACGAGCTCGGGAGGCCCACCGCGGTCGCCTCCATCCCCCGGGGCTTGGAGATGAGGCTGGTGCCGGTGGGCCGGCTCGATCGAGATAGCTGCGGCCTCCTGCTGCTGACCAACGAGAACTCTTGGGTGAGTGGGTGGGCGGGCGGCCCTCATCCCGTGCTTTGTGTGTCAAGCCGTTTTACTACGAGGCTGGTACGTGTCGCGCCTTCTCGTCTTCGATGATTGCCCGCTATTTAGTGCAGTTCGACGGCCGTAGTGTTCGACGGGCGGTCTTCCGACTTAACTGCTGCCGCTGCCGCTGCCGCTTTGCTACTATTGCTGCTGCTGATGCTGCTGCTGCCGCCGGCGCTGTTGTTCAGATCAACCCGCTGACGCACCCCTCGTACGGACACGAGAAGACCTATCGCGTTGCCCTCACGTCCGGATACCCTACCACTGAGGAGTGGGATGTTCTAACCCAGGGCATGCTTCTGGACGGTGATCCGAATCCGTGAGTACTATCTCCTTCACCCAAGGCTGCCGTATAGGTGGAAAGAGCGGTGCCGCTGCCAATTTTGTGCATATCGCTGTGGTTGGCTCGAGATTATGATACAAAAATATATTCTGCGGAAATGTGGAACCAGGAGTAGCACTGAGTGGGTTGATGGATTGCCAGAAGTGATACGATCTTGATTAGATGCCTCAATCCAAAGTGTTTTTGATACAAGTATGATGTACATCCATCTTCCTGCCATATTGTTGCGTCACCCCCTCCCCCGATATTGAGTTTGTGCTGAAATCCATCTTGCTGTCATTTTTTTTCGTTCCCCCGCCATTCGATTTGTGCTGACTGCGTGCTGTGTTCGATGTTCACGGGCCCCTCTTTTCCTGTGGCGCTAAATTATCTCCTTGGACAATCCCCGTTCACCTCCTCCCAGCACTCGGCCGTGCATAGTGGAGGTGGTGAACTACGATCGCCGGACGAGGGTGACGACCGTGGACATCATCATCCGAGAGGGCAAGAACAGGCAGATCCGCCGCATGTTCGAGGGCATTGGACACGAGGTCAAGTCCATCACGCGCGTGTCTCACGGCCCGATCAGGCTCAAGAACTTGAGACCGGGGGAGTGGCGAGAACTCGAACAGGTACGGCGCAGTGCTCGTCGCAGAGTCGTCACTGGGTCGACGGCAATCATCCTTGCTTCCGGAGGTAGTAATTTTCTTGCGGGATAGTCGCTTGGGTACTCGAGAATGGTTCTCTCTTTCACCCGTGTAACCCTTCGCACAGGAGATTAATTCTGTGCCATCGGTGCAAGCTACGCTCTCGTAAGGTCCCCCATTTCCTCCCGACGTTTGGTGCTATAACCTACCATGGGTATGTATGCTCTACCACGTTTGTTATCCTCGTTTGATCGAAGCCTCAAGAATTGATCGGCCGCGTGAATGATGGAGCTCAGCGCTACATCACACTCTATTTTGACGGTAGCCATTTCTGCGCATTGACTCCGAGGTGACAGCCGCCGCGGTGCTGCCACCTCGCAACTCTCCAGTCAAGTTCCCTGGCTCCTGCTCACTCTACAAACCGGACATACTTTTTGATTCGTATGCATACCTTCCTTGCCGAAAATACACCAACCGACATACCCGAATGCGACGAACCAAAATGAAAACCAGTGGGAGATCGAGAAGCTGAAGAACTTGACGACCAAGACACTCAAGAGCCCCGCGAAGCAGCTGGCCCCTACCCCTACAAGGGCGGAGGGTCGACATCGGCAGGCCGCGGCGGCGGGAAGAATGTCGTCGCGGATGACGTCACAGCAGCAGTACCACGGCTCGGAGTACCGCAGAGACGCGTTGGACGAGGAGGAGGACGAGTGGAATCAGGTGAGAACGATTCCGAAGGCATACCCGAAGAGATGTTTTGGAAGAAACGGGGGGATGAGTGGAAGCGGGTGAACGTGGTCTAGAGTACCGCAGAGATGCGTTAGACGAAGAGGGGGATGAGTGGAATCGGACGAACGTGGTCTAGAGTACCGCAGAGATGCGTTAGACGAAGAGGGGGATGAGTGGAATCGGACGAACGTGGTCTAGAGTACCGCAGATGTTTTATAATAGACGAAGAGGAGGATGTGTGGAATCAGGTGAATATGGGGTACCGTACCGCAGAGATATTTTGGACGAAGAGGAGGCCGAGTGGAACCTGGTAAATGTGGTTTTAGAGTACCGCAGACATGCGTTAGACTAAGAGGGGGATGAGTGGAAATTAGGTAAATGTGGTTTCGAGGACGGCAAAGATGCGTTGAGGCTAGCCGTTGTGGTGCAGTTTATCGCAAACTCGGTACGGGGAAAAATGGGCGGCAAGAGTCCAGGTCCCTTGACGGCAGCAGCAGCATACCATTGGATACGTTTCCCTTTTTCGTCACCACACGCGCGCGGTCTTTTTCTCGCAGGTGGGAGCGTGGGATAGAAGCGGGGTCCGAAAGGCGGTCGCGCCGTCCGCTCGGGCGGGGGCTCCGGCAACGACGGCGTCAGCAAGGGGGGGGGGTACCCCGCCGCAAGGAGAACCCGCCTTCTTTGACGACGACGATCACGAGTGGCAGACGGCCTCCTGGGCACGAAAGGACGAGAAGGAGCCGACTCGGCAAGGCACGGGGAAGGGCAGCAGGTCGAGTAGCGGGAAGCGCAAGGCGAGGGTGAACGAGGGGGACCGCATACTGGAGAGGATCAAGAAGGGGGACGTGAAGCTGGAGGCTCCCGCGTGGGAGGGCGGCGGGAGGGTGGACAGGGACAACAGGTCGAACGCGTCGAGGAAGAAGGGCTGGCCCTCCTCGCGGAATCGTTGATCCGTTGTTGTTGGCGCTGTTTGTCGCGGTCGGGAGCTGTGTCAATGGTGGTCGGGGTGTTTTGGTTCTTTCGTCGAAAGCTTTTGAATGGAGACCAGATTTCTGACTTTTTAGGGAGGAACATTTTGAAGAATGCATGTTGGAAATTTCCGAAATGTGTTTTAAAAGTGTATTTTCGAAGGGTTTTCGAGAGTTGTGCTGCATTTGAATCGATGCTTACGGCCGTTTTGTACACAACGATTTTGCTTCCAAATTTCCAATTTTTTTCGTCGGCCTCAAATCGAGGTTCAACGGTCTACGGATTTGGAATTTTGAAATCAAGTGTGTATATAACGGCCCTTGCTCTTGTCTCCTTGGTTGTTGCCGGGTCGTGGAGATATATATACATGCTCCCTGCCGGTGTGGGGTATCGTATCGCTGTGTTTGGTTTGTTGTCGCGTGCCAATTGCTAGGTCTTGCTCTACTGAGATTGGAGACACGGGTGCCGGCCTTTGTACCCTACTTTGTCCTTCACGTCCCTTCTAGTCTTCATTGTGGTTACGATACCGAGCTTTGGCAACCAATGTTGGTCGACGGGGAGCTGTGGCCGCCTGCTGCTCTAGATCTCGTACGTTGTTTTTTGGCAGCTTGTTGTGTCCTGTGGCTGTTTCACCCGTGGGGATTCTAAGAATACAAACATCAGAAGCAAACCAAAACCGCACTTGTTTGAGCGGGTCGGGCGTTTCGTGGAGATACATGCGTGCTTAGTTTGCACAGCTGGTTGCACGGAGATTTGAAGGTCGCGCGATCATGTGCATACATCCGCATGTGATTCTTTGACAAACGTTCCCCGCATTCGATTGGGTTGCATTTGCGTGCTGCTTTTTATATCGCGCCTTATTTTTGTTCGTCCCCCGCCAAATGCATCCTCCCTCGCGGTGATTCGGAAAAAAGAAGGCGTTTTTGGTATGTCAGTCGACTGTGTAAAAGCGGGAAGAACACTGTCCGAGAAATTGCGTCGGTTACGCCCTGTCAAATACATCCTCCCTCGCTGTGTTTTTGGTATGCCCAGTCGACTGTATAAAAGCGGATAGAAGATTTCATATGTAGAACATGGGTCGTTTATCCCCTTGGCCATGTCCCAAAAATAGAAGGAGAAGCGACCAGCTTATTGAGTTTTCGAGGCAAACGTGTCCTCTCGGCCATCGGTGTGGGGGCAGGGTATCCCACGGACAGACGTCCTCGGCACGCCCTAACCCATAATTAAATTGCCGATGCGTAGTCAACGTGATCAAACACGCTGGCATGTGATGGACCACAAGAGTCACAGGCGACACACGTTTGTATTAGTTGGGGATGGTATTAAACGCCTAACTTGACGGAACATGAACCTTTTTCTGAGTTTCTATGCATAATACCCCACCGTAGAGCCCATGGCAGCATTAACACTCGTGCCGGTCATACCCCCGAAGATAATGTCAAAGTCCTTGTGATTCCTTCCTCCTGTGTGACCCCGGCTGATCGGTCAAAACATACGCCGAAAGGTGCAGACTCGCTAGAGTACATGAATGGGACGAACTCGCTAGAGTACATCAAAGAGCCAATTTTTGCTTTGGTCCGTTCAATCAAAAGGCCACGAGCCTGGTCGGCATTAACCCAACACGCTCCGCCACGATTTAAACGGAGATACAAGGATCTACGGTCTTACTTTTTACGGTACGACCGCCACCACGCGGGCACCCTTCTATCATTTTGGTATCTCTTTCCGGTTTGTAACCTTTTTTTCTCTTTTTTTTTTCTTAAGATGACACAACGAATCCATCTCTATCGTAGAAAAGAGTCTGAGACAGATTAGCAATGAATTCACCCTTTTTTGTTTTCTTCCCGCGGCGTCGTATGTGCCGGGTTTTTGCGACCAGGGGCTCCCCATTTTTGTGGACTTTAGAGCTAATGTGAGAAAAAAGAAAGAAAACAAGGTTTTTAGCACTTCCGCGAACGCCCCCCGACTGGAAGGGGTGTGTGCCGTATTGCCGTGCGGCATGCGGACACAAAACGGGGGGATTCGGTCCACCTACGTGACGAGACGAGACGACCACCGACCCCAAAGGCAGACAAAATAACACAGGAATGACGAAAAGACGAGCATCACTCAAAACCTCGAGAAAAACGAAAGAGCCCCGAATAACGTCGGGAATAACCCTATCGGGAAATGGGAACGGTGGCCCGCCTCTACTCAGGCCTTAATAAGTACGAGAACGAGAAGGGACAATCGCTCAACAGCAAATACGATCCTGCTCCATTTCTGCTGAGCGGAGCGATACACATGTAACATGCCCAGAATGAACAGGGAACACATTCTTGAGCCACGTTCGGCAACGTAGTTAAGAACGATTGGCCATCGGTGATCGGTCCTGTGGGAACAATGCTCCATCCTCTCGAGGACACGTGGTCAATGGTCTAACCGCTAAGGCATGCAACACATAAGAGTACGCCCCCCCCACCCCCCTACTGACTTCACAAAATGAAGACGTCTGTCTTCGCTACGTCGTGTATCATCGTTACTGTGCTTGAAAACGTCCCACTCAACATAGCACACAACCCCGCTTCTCGACCGACCACGTCGTACGGGACTGGCCGCAATACCGACTAATAACAACGCGAGAAATCGCTCCCAGAGGTATATGGAATAATAGCGCCCAGTCACCGTGCTGCGTGCCAGGCGATTTTTTGTGGAAGAACAACTGACTGGGTTAGAGGTGCACCCTCTCCACATGCACCCAACGTGTCGGAAAAGCTGCACCGCGAGCTCCAGAGCGACTTGGAACCAACTCCAAAATATTGTTTCATCGCGGGACAGCGCAACAGCCCACCATGTGGCAGTCGTGTGGCGATGAAGAGAAGAATCGAAAATCTATCGCGGATCGACGAGCGATGGCTTGAGCAGAAGGGAAGACCGTGTTCGAATCTGCACAAGCCATAACTGGGCAATCTACGGGAAACTTGGTCGATCCCCCCCCCCGCCAACCAATGGTCGATCACACTTGAAGCGCTCGCAGAGAAAGCAGACCAACGAAACGCTTGAAGGACCAAATAGCGAATGCTTGACTGCTTGTTGTCTATCGGTAAACTAATTCATACACTTGTACTCTCCCACACCGACGGGTGGCACACTCGCGCGCCAGTGGGGGCACGATGAAAAGGGGTTACGCTTCTACTTTTTGTAGACATGATGAAACCGTGCAAACCAAAACCTCCGACCTCCGACAACGCCGAGTTAATACCCTTCTAAACTACAGACCGAACTCGGCATGCATACCTGGCAAAGCAAGCACCTCGCGTGGCTGCATGGATTTCGGGGGTCGCAATCAAAGCCCTCGAGATAGAAGTATATGACCACCTATGCCACGGAGGCACCGCATTAAAAATCACGAAATAATATTGAAACGGAGCAATCAGGAATGCAGGTCAGGGCTGTGTCAACTACCCGGCTGGTGCAGATAAACCACTTCAAAGACCGGGTAAACACCGACGACACCGACGAGAAGCAAACATGACGAGAGTCACGACCCGAGCCCGAGCCTGGCGTAGCTTAGCGCGATCTTCGCCCGCCTTTGCTCTGTAGTCTCCTCAGCAGGGGGGGGATCCGTCGAGCCATCCCCGTGCCCAACACCGATGCCTCCGAGGCTCCGTCCTCCGCCGACGTCCTCGTCTCCCTCGGCCTCGGGAGGAGGACCCTGGCTTTCTTCTTGCCGGTTGTCGTTCTCGCCGACGTGCTGCGTATCGTCGTCGCCGAAAGCGGGAGCCTTGGTTTTTCTCGAGGCCGGTGCCTCCCTGTCTCGGCGCAGGGCCTCTTCGAACGCCTCATCCTGGGCATCACGAGCCAAATATCAGCATAATTATGCCACCACATTTGAGTGGGGGGGGGCGCAGGTTACACGCGATGAATGGCTCGAATACTGAGAGCGGTGTGGAGCTAAGTCTTCACAACCATCTGTGCCTGTAACGTCGAGGGGAGGCCACGGCATGCACGCGGGTTGGGGTGATGGTATGAGACCGTCAAGCTTCCCCGAGAAGGCGTAAATACGGATCATGGAAAGGGTTCACCGCATGCTTGTGCCCAACAGTCCCGAGGGTCCTGCCACCCATACGTCCAGGCATCGATACATTGGTTGTACATGTACTCGCCTTGAACGTCACAGTTCGCAATACAGACACGTCGGTCATGATTCTAAACGTTTTGGTTGTTTCTCGAGACGAAAACCACAAGGTCTTCACTCGGCCTTCTCGTGAGTCATGGCGCGGGAAGGCTAAGTCTAAGAGGCCGAAGGTGAAGGGCTAGCGTCACGGGGTGCTTTCTGCTGGAAACCGCTGTCAAACCAACCCCTTTTGATGCCAACGCCACCACAAGCCTCTAGAAAACATCGCTTGTCTACAAGAGGAGTTGCCCTTCTTTGGGTGAAAACCAGCTAATACCAACACAAAACGACCTCATACAGAGTATTGAGAAACGCAATGCCGCCGTAGCAAATCAGTTTTCATCGTTATGACAGTGCCACGAGTACCTGCTCCCGCCGGACGCGAGAAAAGTCGTCGTCCGCTTCCACGGCCGGGCTCAGACGCAGCGGAGGTGGAAGAGCCGCGCGAGATCCTGTCGCCGCGAAAGCGTACCACCCCGTCCTGGCCAGAGGTTCACCGGGGTCCTGACGGGCAGAGGGCGGCGGCGGCCGCCATCCTGTCACGGACAAGGTTGGAAGTCGGAATTTCAGCGGCGGTGTAAGTACACATCCGGACCGGTGACGATGAGTGCTTCCAGCACCTCCAAGAACAAAGCGGTTCCGACAAATTTCGGTACAAGTGCTTCAGTAGCCTGGAATGGTTCTAGTGGAATCAACGGGTAGATGCGTCAAAGAACAGACGAAGTCATTGAAGCCCTGAGAAGCTTTCACCCAAGGTCGCTCAACAATGATGTTGGAGAGGTTGGTTTTCACGCTTCGCTGAACGAGCGACCTCAGCTGCCTTAGACTACTGCTACTTCCGTAGCGTGCAGCGTTTTGGTACAAGGTGCTTGACGATAGGCATCCCTGCGTGTATGCCCAAACAAACATATTCCTATTCATGGACAGGACATTCCGCGCCCTCGGTTGCCGATTCCCCCCTTGGCAACGCGCCAAACCCTCCCGGCCAGCACCCCGCTTTCACCCTGACCTGCTGCTGCTGCTGCTGCTGCTTCGTCATCTTCTGCTGCTCTTCCACGCCTGTCGTCTTCCGTGGCCGTCGTACCCTGGCCCTCCAATGCTTCCACCAGCCCCTGAACCATGGCGAGGCGCCCTCTCGACCTACGCTCGCGCGCGACCCACACGTAGGACCCCCTCTGCTCGTTGACTCCCCAATCCGCGTCGCCACCATCATCCCGGGAAGAAGACTCCCGTTCCATGGTAAAGCCCGCCATGCGCATCAGCTGGCGGCCACAGGCCCACCTTTTGCGAGGGGGCACAAAAAATGTAAGGGAATTATTCATGTATTAGTTGAGAGTGCATCGCCGTACATCAGAGCGATGTACCGCCAAACAAGAATGCCACTCTTGTGCGGACAGAGTGCAATTGCGTTCGGCTAGGCAAGATGCGCGCAAAACAAGTGCGTGAAAACTGTCTTAATCTTGCCGGCGAACATGCGAAACTCAGCAGGACAATCTCTGAAAAGGGCGGCGTTTGCTGTCGCTCAAGGGCGGGAAGCTGCAACGTTTACCGTTCGGTCAAGGGGGTGGCGAACACCCCTCCCTACCTGCCGATGTTTTCTTGAAATACGACGTTATCGTTCCGCACCCTCCTGCGGCGTTCGTTTCCTGCCAGAATGTTTCGTAGCAGCACGATGAGGGTGCGGCGGAACTCCTCCCGGTTCGCCCCGGCCGGGATTTCGTCAGACACATCGAACTCCACAACCGAAAGCGCCTCCGCCAGAACGGCGTCCCACTCACGGTTCTCCGCCCCCGCATCGGCGGCAACGCCGGCGTTGTCGGTGAGTCCGGCCGGGATGGGCCCGTCAAGGACTGGATCCCAATACTCGGCGATTTCTCGGTTGCCAAAGGCACGGGGTGTCCCGTGGAGGGTTTCGACATGAGGAGGCGTCTGAATCGCGTATGCGGGTGTTGCACGAGGAAGAGCGGCGGGGGGGGCGGGGGGGGCGCCCCCTTCTCCGTTCTCCAGGTCGGCGAGGCTCTTTCGCACGGCCGCCTCGAACTGCCGCGACTCGAAATCGCTGTCGGCGACGTCACCGTTCGCGTTGTCGGTGTCGGTGCCGCCCAAGGGTTTGTCGTTGTTATTGTCAAGCGAACGCTGCTGCCACGAGGAGCGCACGGTCTGTGCAGAGACACGTTGTTACGGCACACGAACACGAGTGCAAGAGACGGGATGACATGAACGGGTAGTATTTAGTCATCAGCCAAGGCTTGTCCTTGGGGAAGGCCAGACGTAGCTTACAAATCGGGTTAGAAGAGAGCAATGCCAATCACTATTATGTACAGGTCTCCTGTGGTAAGGCTTTCGACAATAAATCTTGTTGGTCTTCTGATCACTCTTCGCTGAGCCCCACAGACGACTCAACGCACCTGCTTGAGCTTCGTCGCTTGCCGACTCTCCTTCGCCTCGAGCTTTTCCTGGGCTCTGCCGGTACGTACGTATGTGGCAAGCGCGTCTTTGTCGTTCGTCGCGGGAATTTCATCCGACAGAATGATACTTAAAGCAGGCAGAAGAGCGGTCGTACCTTCTGACTGATTTCGTGGTGCCTCTAGATCGAAGAACACGTGGCACGGAGAAAATATTAATAGGTGAGGGCGAAATTGTGCTACATACCGAGGTGTTATTTTGGTAGTTTACGAGCGTTTCCAGCAACCTTTTCACTCATCGTGTAGCCGAGAGCTGCTGCAGCGTGAACACAGCTACCCAGAGACCACCATCGCCCGTCACACCTGCGAGCCCTCTCTAGCTTCCGCTGGATGGGAGCGTCCCTCTCCGCTTTCGCCCGACGCTCGGCCTCCTCCCTGGGCGTGCGGCGCATGCGAGCATAGTTCGTCAGCAACGAAACCCACCGACGTGACGGACCAGAAAATGATCAACGGTAGGACTCGAAAGCAACCATCACTGGCACCCTGATTGTAAGAAGTGAAAGAGCTGCGGCCCACATGTCATAATACCTCGCGAGCTTCCGCTCGTACTTGTCGGTCCTATCGCGACGGATCCGGGCTCCGCGCAGCTCATCTTCGGTGAGAGGCGCGGCCGCTACCGCCGATCGCGCGCCGTTCGTCACAACGGCTTGGCCCTGGCGGGGGGTCGTGTATGTCCTCCCGCTGCAGCATTACACGAGAGAAAGGGGAGGGGCGCGAAGGACGGCAGAGGGAGCGATGCGGAGGTTCAAGGACTCACACGGCAGCATGTGACGAAAAATCCGTGCGTAAGTGTTTCCGCGCATTTTCCATGCCAAAACTACAACACTAATTATTATTATGTAGACATCCACTTATTATGTAGAAAGCGATTTGCTGGCGAACGTATACGTGTTCTTTATCCCGCTACAAATACATATCTTACAAAAAGATGGCGTCTCTTCGTTGGCCAGCTGTTAGTGCGGTCGATACAGCGATTAATAAATGCCGCAAAACCGCGCCGTAAAACGAAAAAGAAACATACCCACAGGTTGTCGCACAGACTGACATCTCGCGCTGGAACCCACAACTTTCATGCACGCTGAACCAGTCGTAATTCCATCTCTGGCGATGATCCTGGGTCAGTCTATTGTACAAATTTCAAACCACGTACGTATCTACGTAGACGAGGAACACCGGCGGAATCGGTGTCTGCGCAACGTGACGAGACGCGTAGAGAAAACAACCAATCGCATTGCACTGGGAATTATTTATGTTGGCACTCACCGGTGCGCCCTGCGCTCTTGTTCACGTTCGCGCTCTACCCGCTCTGCAGCGTGCAATCCACGGACCACCTTCACGCACAACAAAGAGTAGTTTCACGAGGGATCGATGACCATCTTCTCGCTCTACACTCTTTGTCATCTGGTCTCTCCCGCTCGCTTCTTACTCATGTATCAAGACTCGAGATCGATCATGATCGACAACAGTAAGTCTCGTTGAAACATTGGCCGGTGAAGTTATCCACATCAACAAACAAGCATATACAGAGCACATACCGTATATGGACTCGCAGACGATAGCTACTGTTGTTGCACTGCTTGCTGTTGTAGCAAACTACTGTGCAAACCCGGAACAACGGACGGTTATTTTTTACTCCGGAGTGATAATAAAAAGTATGTAAGCCGTAGATTATACGCCGAAGACTATTATCTGAATCTCAAACAAGCACGCAAGACCCCCGACGCAGCATGTGCCAGAAACATGCCTGTGTGAGCGCGTACCTGCTGCCTCTTTTTCTGCGTGGGTGCTTTCATGCGCCACCCGTCGCCGTCCACCCAACCCCCATCAGGTTCCGCGCCTCCTCGTTCTTCAAGCTGACTAGGATACTCTCCTTGGTATGGAGATCCAGCACCGCTATCGCCAGCACCGCCAAGGACATCGTGGCGAACCCCGCCGTTGTTGTGACGGGTGTGTGTGCGATAGTAAGGGTGCGTGGAGGGTGCGGCATCGTCGTCGCTCCCCTGCTGCTGCTGCTGCTGCTGCTCATTTCCGCTCATGTAGCAGCGGCGCGAGGAAGAACACGCTGGCTCCATTTTTCCACACACAACCACGCGCGCCCACCACAAGGAAGATTGGATCGGAAATCGAACGTTGAGAGGATTGCAGCAAAAGGGAATCAGGGTAGCCCCTATTGCGAGATACCATGAGTAGAAATAGATACGCCTGGCCGCCTGAGTTAGGACCACAGCTACGGCAGTATCTAGCCGTGTGCATTCCCCATCGTTCCTTGGCAATCTCTTCGGCATCCTTCAGAACAAGATCAGAACAATTTTGTTCAACTCAGTTTCACCTCGTACACCCCGCGTAGGCCGAAGCGCTCTGGTCTTTGGTCAGTCGTAGTCGTTGGATGGCAGACGTGTGTACGTGCTGTGTGTACCATATAGTTGTTGGGTGGAGGGCGAGGAACATGCACGGGAGGACAGGAAATGGAACACACGACACGAACACGCCGCTGGGAAGATCTACTGCAGCCCTGCAGAAAAAAAAAAACGGATCTTTCATTGGCGCGAGTTTCACTAGACTACGGTACTGCTGTTTCACTTCCCGCCTATGATACCATCACTCCCGTGTACAAAAGAGATCACCCCTCTGGATTGTCAAATCGTTTTAGTTGCAGCAGTTTGCATATGAGCCAGCGAGGTTTGACCTCCAACAGCGTGATCGTTTTCAAGGTTTACATACGCCATTGGAACATTACGTTGATTTGTGCTTCGGGGTGGCTTCGGTAAACATGTGCAAGTAGAGAATCTGCAACCTGCTGAAGATATGGCTCAATACAGGATGGTCCTCCTGTGAGACTAAATAGAGTTAACTAGGTAAGCCCGCGTACTGCTGGTAACAGGAAGTCTTTTGTGCTGTACTGCCTATTGTTCTGCTACGAGTGAGTTCAGTTGGATGGTCACAACAAACCAAAAGGGAAAGAAATTAATGTTGTATTGTACCTGCTGTTCAGTTGTGCCGTAGGAGGGAATCCAGGGTCGGCTTGAATGCAAAGAAGGACATTTATATCGGCGGGGTACGCACGTGAACGATGCATTCACATTCAACCAAGGTCTTCAGCAACGGAATGAAACCATTAGACTATTCATCGTGCTTGCAGTCAACCGCTGGCTGTTCTCTAATGGTTTGATTTCGGCCGCTCAAGGGCACGGACGTGCACGGTGTAGAAGACATGCGGTGGCAGTAGGCGGCACCGACGCCGTAGTAGATGTCGTTTCCCAATTATTGGCTCATCATGCTATTATTAAGGCCAGGCCGGTTGCTGAATTCATAGGGAAATGTGTTTAACGGTCATCATGCGCATGAACATCAACACCCCCGGGCACCCTGAGCTTTCCTTTCAAAGCAGGTATCACGCAGGCAGGAACATAGCAGAGCCGCCCTTGAAGGCGTGCACCGAGTTTGGGCGCACACGATTGCCGTGGGCCACAGATGCTTCCCCAATGGAGGAAAATGTAAACTACTCGACGAGGCGAGCCGTAGGTTTCGTGCCCCTGTGTCAGGTGTTCACACGCTACATTTTTTTAACTACATTTTCTTAAAAGGCTTCGAAAAGATTGCGCACACACCAATAATAGGAAACCAACAGAGTCACAGGCTCGCTATCTAGTCCTGCCGTGCCGTTCGATACCCATCCAAAACTTGGAGCGCACTAACCAAAACCATACACTACAAAAAGCTTTTTTTGACAACATTTCGCTCTATCGCATTTCCATACGATCAAATTCTTACCAACAGCAAGGAACGCCTTTCTTCTCTGAAGCAAAAGACACAACAACACTATTTATTCTCAAAATATCAACTTTGCTATTATTGCACCAGGTTAGCAGTAGCCACCTCGTGGAATACGTTGTACACTGCATACGTAATATTGTCGTTTGCTCTCGAGGACAACATGTTTGGGAAAGGTTGCCTTCAGAGGAGATCCACGCGTCCTATGCTCGCTATCTCGTCCTGCCAAGCCATTCGATATCCATACAAAACGTGGGCCACTCCCCGGAAAGCATCAAGTCCACGCAGCTAAAATACGTTTTCGCCAACATTTCGCTCTCATTGCATATTCCACACGATCAGATCCTTGCCAACAGTAAGGAATGCAACCTTTCTCTCAAACGAAAGACTCAACAACTAATGTACACTTAAAAAGTCAGCTTTGCGATCATTGCACCAGGTTAGCAGTAGCCATCTGTCAGAAATACCTTGTACACGGCATAGGTAATCTTGTCGTTTGCTCTCGAGGACAACATGCTTGCGAAAGGTTGCCTTGAGAGGGTATCTCCAGGCGTCACATGCTCGTTATCTCATCCTGCCGAGCCATTCGATATCCATGCAAAACCCGAGCCTCACTCACCAGAAAGCATGAAGTCCACGCACGCTACCAATTACGTTTTCGACAACATTTCGCTCTCATCGCGTTGTCCATGCGATCAAATCCTTGCCAACAGTAAGGAATGCCACCTTTCTCTCAAACGAAAGACTCAACAACTAGTCTACACTTAAAGTTCAACTTTGCTATTATTACAGCAGGTTAGCTGTAGCCATCTATTGGAAACACGTTGTACACGGGACAGGTGATCTTGTCGTTTGCTCTCTAGGACAAGATGCTTGCGAAAGGGTTTACTTAAGAAGGCATCAGGGCGTCCCTCTTCTCACTTCTCCCTCCTCATGAGGGTATTCTTTCTAATGTATCTACCGTGAGAACACGGTACACCGAAGCGGCCTGGCAGTTCTTCTAGGCCGAGCCGCAATCAGTACTTCGTTGGAACGCCCTCGGGATGGGTTGTCGGTCAGTCATTGTTGATGTCACCTAGTCCAGCGCAGATCAAGAGACTTTCCAGTTGCTCGATGTTCTCGGCTTGAAGCTCCTCTCCGTCACAGTTGTGCCCAATAACATCCGCAGCGGTAGATCCAGCCGCCGACGTAGTCGCCGTGTCTGCCCCGAATCTTAGCAGAAGCTCCACTACTTGAGCATCTGCGTTGGACGCGGCCGAGTGAAGAGGCGTGCATCCGTTCTCGTCCGCAGTCTGGACGTTTGCCCCGTGGGCCAAGAGCGCCCGTGTGGCCTCGCGTTTCCGGAACCGACACGCCAGGTGGAGAGGCGTATACAATTCTTCCCCCACCGCTTCGATGTTGGCGCCAGCCCGGACGAGAAGGTCGACCGCGCCGGATTGGTCAAAGGTTGCTGCGTGGTGGAGGGCTGTTTCTGCATCAGTGTCGACAGCGTCCAAATTCGCTCCGTGATCTATCAACACTTTTAGCACATCCACGTGGCCTCCATCGGCAGCTCGGTGCAGCGCCGGCTGGTAGGGACAGTCCGTGCTGTCCACGTCCGCGCCGTGGCGGAGCATGGTCCTCACGACGTGTGCGTGGCCGTGGCAGGCAGCCAGTTCGAGCGGCGAGGGCTCCCCTCCGAAGCGAAGGTTAACAACGTCGTTTTCGATTATGGGGTTGCGATGGTTCGCCGCCAGAATCGCGAGAACGGCCTGCAGGCGGCCACCCTTGCAAGCTAAACCGAGGGGAGAAAGACCGTCGCCGTTGAATTCGCAGGGACGAGCTCCGAGTGCTAACAGGACCTTAACTGCGGCCGCCGCGCCTTTTTCGGCGGCGATGTGGAGGGCCGTCGATCCGTGCGTGTCCCGCGATTCCAGGCTAGCCCCCCCTGCTACGAGGCACTGCAGTAGGTCCACCATGTCTTCACTGGCAGCAAGGTGCAAAAGTGTCAGGCCAGTAGAAGCTGCGGCATCCATGTCCGCTCCATGCTTGGCAAGGACCGCTACAACGTCAACATGCCCGTGGCGAACGGCTAGCTCTAGCGGAGAGCAGCTCTCCGAGTCGAGAAAGGGGCTCACCCACGCCCCTCCCGAAAGCAAAGCGCCCGCCGTTTCCGCGTGGCCATACCTTTGTTTTTAGCATTCAAAGTGCACCAGACGCGGATGCCTTGAACGGTTTTATCTCCTGAACGGTGGAAGGGTTCTACGTTAGGTCTTACCTTGGAGACTTCTACACGTGTCTTTGAACTCCTACTTTCCACGCATAAGAGCCCTTACAATATTTTACCTTGAATTTGATGTGTCGGTGTGTGTTGCATGTCTGTCGAATGTCGTTGGTATTTGAGGCGTCAAACAACGCACCTGGCTGCGACGTGGAGAGGGGTGCGTTGCTTCCTGTCTGGCAGATTGGGGTCAGCCCCGCTTGACAGTAGCAAGCGTACCAGGTCTACGTCCCCTCGCGCTCCAGCGATATGAAGAGGAGCATCGCCGTTTCCATCCCTGTGCCGGACGTGCGTGTGTGGACCGTGAGAAATAACTCGGGACAATTAAAGGGCGCCTAAATGATTGTGAGCGTGAGTCGGATGTCACCCTCTGTACATGGCCTGCCGTCTACACGACATAACAACGCGACGTTCGCACAGGAGGCGTGAACGCGGCGTTCGTCTGCAAGGATTTTATCGGAAACGTTTTTCTCCTAACCTTTTCTTACTACGGCAGTTCGTGGGAGTAAGGAGTTGAAGGTGTAGCATTCTGCTACCGCCACACGATGAACCGCTTACCGTAGGTTGCATAATATATCACACTTACATAAGATACCACACACACGTCGAAAAGCTACAGAACACCACGCCCGAGTGCTATTTTTATTAGCCGCGAAAAAAACATCATTTTATGATACGGTGACATAAGATACCACACCCCCTGAGGTTGGGTCGTATATTATCGACGGAGCACCCGCTTATCACACGGTGGGACAACATGACAACACGTGATGACACGCACACAAGCGAAGCAACCTGCGCGCAAAAGCTATAGAGGTGCAGTTTACAACCCTACCACGAGCCCAGCGGCTCAGACTGTAGTGAGTCAGACGCCAAGCGGTGGCTCCGCGTTCCATAACGTCCCTTTTAAAACTTGCCGCGGGGGAACGTGCGGCTCCTGCTGACACGATTCCTCAGCAGCCGGGCACGACACCGCATACTGCTGAGTAGTGTTGGATGTCGATATCGAATGCCTTGGTGTTTTTATTGCGATAACCACGAATGGTGGTCGAGTAGATTATGTTGTGCGGGGTCGAGAACCCTCACTCCGCGCACAGGGGATAATCGCTCCACGTTGTCTTAAATTGGTCAAGCACCCTCGAGGCAGCTACACGTGCTTACAACTGTCTCTGGAAGTGAAAGCACCAGAAAATAAATAAAGTCATAACGCAGCTGTCATCCATACGCAAGGAAGTAAGCACAAGATGCCGAACACCCTTTTAGCGGGATGCAGCGCACCCTTCATGCGACTCGCCGAATACCTCATGGCACTTCGCGCTTGGTGGTGTGAGAGCCTGGTCCGGTGAGAACCCGGCGTGCCCCGTCCCGGCTTTGTGGGGATGCGAGGTCAATGGTCTAACGACTACGGCATGCACGACTATGAGAACACCCCCCCAGTTAGGGCATGGCTGAGCCCAGTTCTTTCGCCACCTCGTGCTCCTCACACAGACCTCGCCGTACCACCAAAGTACACGGGCACCTCAAGCAGGTCACACCCTCCACCGCAAAGCTGTTGTTTAGCCTTTGACCTTGCTTTGGACGCAAGAAATGCCTCACGATCACATCTGAGTTGAACCAGCTTTCTGCTGCTGCGCGCAACCTTTTCAGCTCTTGTGAGGCAACTTTCACCTAGGTTTGCTGAAACGCTACGGTCCCCCGATTCGGCCGATACTTGGCCTGTAGTAGAGAGAAAAGACCATAGACCGAATACATGATGCGCACGATTAGGGATCTCCACTGCAGCGACCGCAGCTGGCCTGCGAAAGTCGGCCCAAATTCAAGTCTAAACTCACGTAGTCAGCAGAGAGGCCCCCAGAACGATCATTCGTCTACCTCCGAAAACATCATAGAAGTCCAAGCCATGAAAGCACGCAACGGAACTAAAACGTGTTTGCTGAATACCTAACCCTAACCAAAGCTAACAAAAAATGGTGTGTGTGCGTCTTTACATGTGGGCAACGCATAGATGATGTGCACGATTTGGGATCAGCACCACAGCGAGAGTTGCAGCAAAATAACTAAAAGTCCCTCGCGGAAAGACTGCCGCGGGATGTGGTTTGTAGTAACTGCATAAACAATAATATGGCAATTTTTCCACAGGCGGCAACACGTGTGGTGCGGTGCGGTGGCATCTGTGGGGGTTCCGTGTGGAACATGGGGGGTTCCGTGGAGTGTTTATCGATTTCGATTTGTCGTATCGATATCGAAAGATCGAAATAAAAATATCGAAAAATTCAAATGTTTTCGTTATCGTGTATCGATATTGTACAAATGTACGATAAGTCGACATGTACACGATAATCGAAAAAACCGATACGGTATCCAACACTACTGAGGCCCGTACAAGAGAATCTACTGATAACTGATAACCTATACCGCGTTCATCACACCCTGTAGGTGGGCTCCTGCTTTGAGCGCCCTTAACCACAAAAGCGACGTCATCACATCCCATCATCATCATTGGGGTTCTGTGAGTGCACTTTATCACCCGGGAGACACAAGATATCACACCCCCTACAGTACAGAACACCGTATAGGATGGTATCTACAGCAATGCAACCTACGGTACAATGATAACATGTAAACTTCTACAGCAGTGTCAGTTACCATAATGATGAGTTAAACTATATGCACAGCTTTCGTACGCCACTGCTGTACGACGATAATGGTAAGTCAAACCATGTGCACAGCTTTCGTACGCGGATCTACGGTGTGGAGTGCACGCACCTGGCATCAGGTGACTCCCCACGCTTGATTGTGTCGGCCACCAGCATCCCGTTCCCTTGCCTCACGGCTAGGTGAAACCTGCTGCCCACCGCTCCCGCGTTTTCAAGTCTTGATATCAGCTCGAGGTGTTTGTTGTCTGCTGCCAGCTCCAACGACAGCCGGAGCCACGCCTCTAATTGCTCGGCGGTGGCAGTATCGAACATCAGTTTCACGAGCTCAGGTTCAAACCCCCTCAGAAAAGCATGTTGCTGATCTCGGCCAATCATCCTGGTTCGCCCTCTGTGTGTCGAAGGTGTGTGCATCGATGCTTGGAGAAATGCCTGTCTCGTTGTGTCTCTGCCTGTTTCTGTCGGTCTCTAGGCCTGTTTCTCGACCAACTACTCTCTCCCGCGCCTGGTCGCACGCGCTCGCTCGACCTGCCTTTGCTTTGTCTCCCCTCCCCCCCTCTCCCTCTCTGTCTCGGGTCAGGCTTTGCGGTCTCCGTTTTGGAGGTGGTCCTCGTCTTCTCTGTATAGCCGGTCCTCCTTGTCCGCACCTGTAGGCCTGCCTGTACACGTGCATGCAACGTGTGGTGCTGTGTGGTGCATGCAGCGTGCAGCCTACTGGAGGACAGCGTGCGGCGGTGCAGCGGACACGGGACGGGACACTTGAGACTGGGACTGAGATGTGAGACACGAAGAAAAAAAACTGTTCGGTTTTGAAAGCTCTGAAAACAAATAAAAAAACTCATCAAGTGACAGTCTTGTGCGCGCGGGTCACCGCGTCACCGCGTTCTGGTACAGGGGATCGAACATGATCCTCCCCGCTGCACGTTTCTGTTGTCTGGTGTATGCGTACAGCCGCAGTGCGTTAGCGTAGCGTGCTGGATGCCACCTGAGGCTTGAGGCAGGATGGATGAGCCACAGGCTGGCCAGAAACCGGTGGTAGTCGCCATCGGAGGCTTCCTGTGCGGAGGCGGCGACTTGAACGGACGCGTGTACTCGTTTTGGAGGTGAGCGAGCGAGAACACAGCGTATGTATGTGCGTATGTATGTTCGGACCTCTTGATTCTTCTGTCTGCCGGAACTGCCAAACCGCCTTTGGGTATTGGGTTCGGATGGTACGACCGACCTCCCGCGTGCATCATCCCTTACTCTATAGTAGTTTCTCTCTACGTTTTCTCTGACGGCATTCTTCAAGGAGTTACGAGAGTGGCCTACAGCTATTTACTGTTGTAGACCAGTATTGTTGAAAGGTCAGCAAGAGCGGGACATCGAGTCAGCAGTCAGCAGTGAGAGGAGTGTCGCCACCGAGGAACAGCAGCACTACTGCAGCAGTACATGCACTGCTGTACTACTGCTGTAGAGTGAAGACCTCCGCGACGAACCACATGTACAGCAGTCTAGAGCAACCAATGCGATGCACCGCGTCAGTTGACCCAGTATCCGTCTTCCCTCATACTCAGTGCGTTCCTGTCGCTAGTTGTCTTCACATTAAAAACCCTTCCGATCTCTCTCTACCCAGTACCTCCGTATCTCCGTACTGATCCAACGCTTGACGCGTGGAGATTGAGCAATTCTATAAGTAGTGAGGGCACCACGGACTTAATGTAGTGAAAATTGCACCCCAAGCAAGATGACAGGGGTGGAAAAAAATAAAAAAATGAACCAAGTGATTTTAATTCGACTAGACTACCCGAGTATCGCGTAGAGATATCCTGGGAGTCTTCGCACAGCACACGACAACTCGCACCGGCATCTTCGGCCAGACAAGAGACAGAGAGGGACTCCCTCCCCTACAACAGTACGCATCAATCCGAGCGCTCGGTTAGCTTTTCCGCATCAAGTCGGTCAGTTGAGGAGCCCCTGTTAGTTTCCCAACCTCAGAGATGTTAAGACCGTTGGTTCCTATAACACACAGTAGTTATTTCATTTACTCAGGACTGGCCTCGACGAGGCATCCATGTGTCATCGTCGAAGTCACGCCGCATTTCTCTATATATACACGTTACACCTTAACCGACACTTGCCGACCTGACAGCGCCCTTGAAAACTGCCTCAAAAGTTCTGTTATTGTTGTTGTTGTTGTCTTTAGCGTTGGCAAACCGTTCCGGTCTCCGATCAGTACCTACTGTTTGCTGCATGCAGTGCTAGTGACAGCTTCCAGCGGTTCAGAGCGGCGACGGTGGCTTTTCTATGCTCTCTTTTGCCACCTCCCTAAAGCCTGTCGCGTCTGGCTCACTTATCTTTGTTCTCCCTTCTTTCTGTCTCTATTTTTCATGCTTTGCTTGTTGGGGTCCGCCGGTCACCCACCCACCCATTAGTTCAGTTTTAGTTTTTTTACTTGCCATGATGCCGGCCGCCCCGGTGGTCTATTAGTTGGTATCCTCGAAACCTCCTAGAGGTCAGGTCAGGGTTTCGAATCCCGGCGTAAGCGAGCTTTTCTTGCAAAGTGAGTTTTTCTCTCGCTTCCGCTCCTGGCCTAGTGGATAGCGCTAGTTCGGGTGTACGCAGAGGGAAGAGAGTGCTGAACTCTTCTCGCAATAAAAATCGAAGGCAAAGTACCGCAGGAGGGGAGGGTAGAGAGGGGCTTTTCTATGTGTCCACGGGTAGAAGTAACGGCAGTAGTGCTGTGAGCGCTGATTTCAAGTGAAGACAAAAAAAAAAAAAAAAAGTATCGGTACTGGTCCAACTGACGCGGATGCCTACCGTGGTCACAGGCCAACTACCCAATAAGGGGTAGACTGCACCTTTCTTTCTAGAAACTCAAAGGAATGGGAAACAAGTATATATGCCCCCAAAAATAAATCTTGTCCGTTTGTTTTCCACAAAACACATGATGGTTGGCCACGAGATTCCCTGCTTGCGGCGTGACTGCTGTTCCTTTGATGTTGTGTCGCGGTCCCCCCCCCCCCCCTTTTTTCTGATACCACTGCTGCTGCTACTGCTAGGATTCCATCGGCAGCGCTGGAAGGACAAGGTTTTCGCGTCGTCACGGTCAGCCCTTCTCCGGTGGGATCTCTGCACGACAGGTAGGTGCGTGTTCACGTACGTACATGCACGAATAGAGAAACGTCGGGCCCATCCTCGATTTCTCGTTTCTTCGCCTCCGTCGTCGACCACAGGATATTTACGTGGAGTCCAATAGTGTATTGTCCACCGCCGAGCTGTGTTTCTGAACCCTACAGCTGTGTTTCTGAATCCTACAAGCTGTGTTTCCGAACCCTACTTTCCTAATTTTCGTGAGACACGTGGGCCTCTAAATCTCAGCGGAATTCTTGTTGTTTGCCGGTCCGTGTTGCGGTTCTATGTCTTGAACCGTTCTTTGAAGCAATCTATCACAAGCTGTCTTCAGCATCAAAGAGCACCAAACAGTTTCGTGGCACTATTCTCTTCATTTCAAGCGTAGTACATTGCAGTACGGGAAGGAGGTTGCCGGTACTCCCGTACCCGGTACAAGATGTATTGAGGACTTGCTGGTCAACGACGATCAATCAGCGCGCCAATGAATAGCCTTAAGATACGCAGGAGACGCACCCCCCTCTCCTGCTTGCGCCCGCCCCTCATCTGGAAAATCGACCGAGCAGGGCATGCGAGATTTTCTACGAGCTTAAAGGTGGCACTGTGTGCTATGGCCAGGAGCACTCCCGTGCTCACGGGCACGCCTGCCACGGTGAGACGTACGACGTCGGTTTGTTCTCCGCTTGGGGGAAAGACAACCCTGTCCACGTGATCGGGCACAGCTACGGCGGGCAGACGGCGAGGGTCTTGCAGCACCTGCTGGCGACGGGTGCGAGCCCGTGTCTCTGTCTTTGGATCGATCGATCGATTGGTTGCGACAACCCGCAGGCCGACGAAAATACTAGGTCAATGTCATTTGCGAATTTGGATGAAAGCAAGCGTCAACACGAGTTCGAGGCGTGTTCTAGTATGCACTGTTAGAGGAAAGGGATTGGCAAGCATTGCTACGTGGCGCATGAACTTCCTACGTTCTACGGTGCCATCTTGATCTATGAGTGTTGCCCAAACCTCTCCAGTTCGCGGGATACCCCACCCTGGTAAGCCGCAAGACTACGTCTGTACTAGTCCTCGCAGACATGTTGTACTTTGCCGATTTTCTTTCTACCCCCACCCCCCACCCCCGTCGCTGGCTCCCATCATCAGGGTTCTTCTCGAAACCTGGCGAGTACCAAACGAGTGCGGCGTGGGTGAGGTGCGAGTGCTTTCCAGTTCAGGCTTCGAGAATTATCGGCTAGCGCTGCCGTCGTCGGTCGTTATTGGCCAAAAGCTAGTCCATAACGCCCACGACATACTGCATGTAGGAGGAATGAAACGGCGTAACCGGACATAAAGATCGTGTTCCTGGTGTGCGACTTGTCGACCGACGACCACACGCACGAACAACTGTTGCTTTTAACAATTGCTGTTTTGATATGTGTTGCGTGACCACGCAGTCAGAGCACCTGCGCACAAGTGCTGCGGAAGCAATGCAGCATGAGCTTTCCGACGACACTATTTTGGTGCGCCCTCCTCCCGAACGGGTGTCCTCGGCAGCCGGCCCAACGGCTCTACTCACTTTCCGACCAAGAAAATATTTCGCCTGCTTCATCACACAAAAATCTACTCCTCCTTCACCTGGCCCGCGCATGCCACACAAACTACTAAACCGGCGTCTTCTGCCTGTGGACTGCTTCTTTTTGTTACCGCTCAGGAGCGTGACCACGTGCAACTCGCCCTTGAACGGCTCCTTGCTGGTGTACAGCTTGGGCGAGAGGGCCGACACTGCTCCGGAGGTTCGCCTCGTTTCCCACGGCCACCTGCTCTCGGTGGCCATCCACGCGCTGGAGCTCCTGGACTGGCCGCTTCTGAAACGATTTTTCGACCCAAGGTAGTGGATACGTGAGACAGAGGAAGACAACTTGGGTTCCTTTATTGCTTCCCAGAGAAAGGGGTGCGTTTACTGCTCCCCAGAAGTGGAGACCGGAACGATTTTTGATGATGTGAAGACAAACAATAGAGGACAACGGGCGCCGTGTGTTGCTGTGGGCTGACTGCAGTAGTTTAGCGTGATCCACTTGGCGTCGTCATGAAGGCGATATAACCTTGTGTGGGCACACACGGGCATGCATGCGACGAAAAATCCGGACACATTCTGCTGAAGCCCCCCCCCTGACCCCCGGCGGGAGAAATTTCGAAAAGAACGCGATGAAACAACGGCAAAGTGCGGGAACCCCTCTGTGAGCGTCTTGCTCACCTTCGGACGTGCACGCGCCCACTCCGGAGGTCACCCTTGATGTACCCCAAGAGTTGTTTGTTTGAAGCTCCTGTTTCCGTTTTTTTTTTTCGGGGTGCCTTTCTCGGTGTTGCTGTCGTCCTGTCTCAGGCTGTCGCACTTTGAGTTATCGTGGCGGCGTCGCGGGTGGCGCCAGGGGCTCAAGGACGTCGCCCTGGCTGTGGTGGGCAAGAGCGCGATCTACTCCCAGCCAGACAACGCGGCCTTTGACATGACGGTGCAATCGGCGCATCGGTTAAATCAGGTGGGTCTGGTTGAGAAGAGAAGCAGATATAGCCGTTGGTTGTAATTCGCGGGCATCCTCGATGGACAATGGTCACATCTTGAGCGCGCGTGCTATTTAGGACGTTTTCAGAGATTCGAACGCAGCTGTCAACTTGACGCGAGCATTTTTGCGATGCGAACGTGCAACGCGGTGGCCGACAAACCACCATCCCTTCTTCTTTCTCTGTCTGATGTGCCCCGCCACCCTAATTTGCCGACTCATCACCCCGTTCCTCTGATGTGCTTTGCCGTCCCCGCTTGCCCCTTCGACAGGAGATCCAAACCAACCCCCACACCTTCTACTTCAGTTTGGTGGGTACAGGACCCAAGGAAGAGGACCTCTTGGTCACGCCTACGGATACTGGCCAGACCAAGTGGGTGTTCAGGGTTTGGGCGCGGCTGCTGTCGCTTGGTCCGGGGTGGAAGGGGTTGAAGACGAAGCTCGTGTATTCGGCGCTGAAACGGCTGCACTCGTGGCAAGTTGGGTGAGTCCAAACGGTTTTAGCTACCGACGGAGTGAGTCTAAAGGCTGCTGGCTACCGACCGAGTAGGGGCGAGACACGGCCTAAGGCGTTGGTTGCCTCGCTGCTTTGCAGCTGTTGATTCTCTGGTAGTGGTGCTGTAGCATCAGAGGCGTGCATGCTGCGAAGGTCCAGAGCATTCTTAGCATCCGGCATCCTCCCGCGAGGGCTTTCGGCCTCCTCACCCCCCTGCTCCGAGTTCTACACGTGCAAAAAAAACGCGTACTGTAATAAGGCGAAGCGTTTGGCGGGACGGCGATTGATTGGTTGACGTTTATCAGGTATGGCGCGTTAAAGTAGTGTCTTTGTCCAGTAGGCGTGTCAAGTAGTGTCTGGGTACTGGCTTTGCTTGGGCCCACGGCTTCGGTTTGTTTTCGTGCACTAGACCCTACTAACCGCTTGATGACCGCTTCGAAAACTTGTACAGATTGCCAAGTCCCGGCATTGGTGTGTCGCTGCCAGCATGCTTACGTCGTCCTTCTTTCGCTCTCGCCCGAATTAGCCCGCCTTCACCGCACCCCTCTCTGCCTTCGCATGCGCGGGAAAACTGCCAACGACACCACTTGTTCCCAAACCTACATCTCCCGTGTGCGAAGGGCCCATGCGAGTGCCATAGAGAGCCGCCTCGGAGTTGCCGCGGACTCGTGGAGTTCAGCGGGAGACGATGGCGTTTTGGAGGGGTATACTCAAAGCCATCCCCGTGTCCCCGAGGAGTGCGAAGCGCCTGTAAGGTGAGGCTCGGTTTGCGGGTGAAGGCTGGCACCCAAACAAGTTCCGACGAACGATCTTCGTGTTGGTTCCTCGGGTCCAGATTTAACTCCTATGGTCATCGTTTCTGCCGAATGGCGAAGCTGATCCACGCCCGTTCCTTGTCGAAAGGGCCATACGTAGCTCATGCGCAAGTCACTCGACTACGGTACACAGGGCGCCACCCGCTTGACCCGAAGATGCCGCGCGAGACACAGGGTCGAAACACCTCTTGCGGTTCATTTACGCACCTTGAGTGAGATCAAACTACTAATGGTGAGAACCCTATGATACTCACGAGGCGTGACGTTCGCTGCTACTGTCCCCCCTCTGTGGTTAGCCGGATACACAACAAACCCATGGCATATCTGGTTTGGCAGAGCAAACGCAAGGATGATGACACTATCAGCTTCTGGCCCATCCTGTCAAACGTAGCGTGGGTCGGCGAAACCCGACATATCGCTGCGTGCCGGCATTACAGGGATATGCGAGGCCAATTGTCTAACGACTACGACGTGCGTTAACATGAGTCCACTACCCCGCCCTCTACCGGTACCCTCCCCCATGGCGCGCTTGACACGGCGGTATAGCCGTACACACGAATATCGACAACGAGGAAAAACACACGCGTTTCCGCTCCCCTCAAGTCGTTCTTCTTTTCCCCCCGCACGACTATTTATGAAGACCCCCCACAGACACGCCCCGCTCTTTCGTGCTCCCCTTACATGCATCACCTCTCCCCTTATCAATCAGGGTTGGCCTCCCCCGGTGCCGCTCCGCGCTCAAGCCCGGCGTGTGGCACTCCCTCCCCGTCCACGCGGACCACATGTGGACCGACGTCGAAGAGGCGTACACCTGTCAGGTCTTCGAGCGCCTGGCCCTGACCCTCCTCGGTCTGGTGGAGGTGGTGGTGGTCCCTAGAGAGTCGGCTTCCGCGTCACTCCCTTCGCTTTCGCAGGAGCAGCAGCAGCAGCAGCAGCAGCGGCAGCAGCAGCGACCCGGCCGTCGCGATGCTGCCACCCCTGTCCGGAGGAGCGCTCGCCTGCTAGCCAAGGCGCGACGAGCGCGTATAGACCCGCAGCGGGAGGGGACGACGACGATCCGATCTGAGTCTGCGGACGCGCAGGAAGATGCGGCCTGTCGTGGTGGCAGTAGTGTGCCTGCGGCGGCGCCTGGGGAAGCGGAGCTCAGGGAGGGGAGCGGGGTTCGATGCGAGCTTTGCGCGACAGGGAGGACAGCGACAGCGGCGGTTGATCCTGACGGGGTGCCGCTTGAGAAGAAGACCTTTCACCCGAGGTTGTGGGGGGTGTTGTTGTACGTGGCCGTTCTTGCGGCGTTGCTGCTCTCGTTTCTGCTTTTTTTTGCCATGCCGAACGGCACAACCGATTGTAAAACCGCCGCCGGCATGGTGGATGACCTATTTGTTCCCAGAACATGTTCTTCAGTTTCGGATTCCGTTGGTCCTGTGGAGGGTCCGGTATCCTCTGGCGTCGATTTTGTTTGCCCAGGTCTAGCGGGGGACTGATGCGCTCGGTCCGCAACGATGATATATCGGGTAGGGTGTACATACGTATGTTGGGTGCTGCGGGTGCAGTTTTTGCGATGGTTTGTTTGTAGACAGGTGCTCTGTCTGTCTTTGTTGTTTTGAGGTCTGTCAAAGGGGGGGGGGCTACATTGTGTTGTTGCAATTTATCATGTGCGCGGTGGATGGCCGTACTTGAGGACCAAAAAACGGAAAATACGGTGTGATGAAACCGTTCGGCATGTGCAAAGTTTTGTGATCGACCGTGCTTTGGGGGCAAAAATACCGAAATTTTGTGTGCTGAAACCGTTCGACATGTACAAAATGAATGAGTGTGGTAAATGTCCCGCCCTCTCCGCGAGTCGCTTTAGTGTGTGGAGCTCAGGCTGAGCAAGGAAAGGGCACGCGGGTCGCCAAAGCAGTTGGCATATTTACACATTGCCTTCGCTGTCTATCCTTCCCACCAGACTATGTCTTCGTGGCTTTCAGAGTCGCTGTATACGCGACGGGGTTGCGGCGGGGTCCGGCACTGCTCGCCCATCGAGTACGAGTGCAGCGTACAAACAGGATCCAGCCCCGTTGATCTGGAGGGTGATGGGAATCATGTGCGGAAGGACGCAGAAAGCACGTAGATAAGAGAGGTCCCGAGGACAGGTCCTGTTACTATGATGAAGAGGACGAGTATAACGAAGACGGTGTGGGCGACCCCATCCTGAGTTTAGACTCATCAGAGTCTATCCCAGGACGCGACAACGTTGCCCGCACCCTGGGGTCCGTGTTGTGGGAGAAAACGAAGATTTGGGTTTCCACCGCTACACCGGGAAGCAATGCCAACAGAACGGAAAAGTCCCCACAACGCTGCCGATCGCCTGCGGACCTCATTTGAAGTAGGCTACCTGTGGTATCATGAATGTACAACAGCAGTTTCGTAGGAATGACGGATCACCACTACTGCTGATATAGAAGGTGTGTGGTTGGCGCTCCATTTGCCAAGGGTTGCCCCGAACAGCAGTCTTGCTCAGTCTTTACCCTAGGTGGCGATGTGTTCCTGCTGTAAGTGGCGCTGGGCATGACGCACGTCTGTTGGATCTAGATCCGAATACCGCATGACATGTGTACATGTCAGCACAGCGAGATCAGCCGCTATGTATACAACGGTCAGCAGATACCCCGTGGCTTTTGTTGCTCCGCAAGGGTCTCTGTTTCTCTACATCTGCCGGATTCTCCTCTGATATCGTCTTTTGATCGGCAGCTATGCATACGCCAGGCCGGGGCTGGGGTCTTGAGGGAGTATTCGCACAATCCGGGGTGGTGCGATTTGCGCTCAGTTCTGTGTTTCCGCCACACATTGACAAAAAAACTCGAATAGCTACGAACCAACACGCCTATGAGAAAACTTTCGGTTCTTCTTTTTTTCTTGTCCACCTGTACGGTCCGCTGCGCCGTGGTCAGACGCCCACTCACCCCCTCCTCCCCCCCCCCACCCCCTTATCGAATCCTCTTCTCGTGTATCCAACACCCACCGACTCCCTGAAGGACGGCTCTAACCCGACGTTTCTCAGCCCCAAGTGCCGCACAAGGTCGAAGTCTACCGTGCTATCGATAAGCTCTGAGCGATACTCAACTGCCCGACACATATTATTCCAGGTTTTTTGGGGTACTCCTCCTTCCGGCGACAGCAGCAGGACGAGAGATGGGACCTCCCCCTTTCGTAGCGTCGGACGACCTCTGTGCTGGTGCCGACCGTGCAGGAGGCACGGAACCTCCCTGCAATGTCAGCGTCTCGATGTACGTCCGCGAGGTAGTGTCCGGAGCGTGCGCTGTATTCGAAGAGGCGCCAGCGGTCGGCCTGGTCTGCAAGACCCTTCTGTCTCTGGAGAGGGTTGTGTTCACAGCCAAGGGCAACCGCAAAGAGCTGGCCGTGCTGCTCGAGCTGTGCGATGTGGTCACGAGGGGCGCTCTCAACCAGTGGGCGATGGCCTCCGCTGACGGCCCCGGCGTCTCGGAAGGCGCGGCGGCGCTGCGGAGGCACGTGGAGGGCGCCAAGAGGGTGGCTGCGATGTGCAACAAGGGCAAGATCGCGAGGTTCGCTCTGGGTAGAAAGATATCCCGGTCGATCGTGTCCGTCAAGACCAACGTCGTCAACTTCGCCACCGTCCACAACCTGTCGCTCAGCGCAGGCCTTCATGTGAGAGCAGGGCAATGTAGTGTACGTGCATGCGCGTGTGTATTTGTTACAGGAGAGGCGAGACGAGCTAAGGCTTAATTACGTAGTACAGCCATGAGGAACGAGGAACATAGGCTTCTTTTCCACATGCAGTTCTGGAACGTACCGGAGATGTCGTAGACATGATCTGTCGTTGTGTTTCGTGTTTTTCCTTTTCTTGTGTCTCACAACTCAACGGCATTTCGTTTTTATCCAGTCAAAAAATCATGCCACGTGTAGTCTACCGCTGTACCTTGTATGCTATACAGAAGTTTCTGCTGCTGTTTGAGGTTGTTTGTTGGGCCCACTCCTCGGCGAACGCCGCTGACAAGGCCCGCATTCGCTGCCTGTCCAGCATGGGCGGATGGGCGGTCCTTTTGTCCTTTTCTGCCCCATGCCAAATGGCACTACAGCAGTAGAAAGTGAAATATCGGCACTTCTGTTGAACCGTTTTGGCTACGGTATAACATAAAATTAAAGTGAAATATCACACTCTTAGTAGAAAGTGTTGGGAAACAAATCACGCGTCAGGCCTCTGCAGTTTTGTTGCCTTGTTACAATATAGATGTGCTGCTACTCGCAGCTCTTGTGGAACTACAACACGAGCCCACGGATGCTCCAGCATCCAAGAGAAAATCCACCCAATCACCCACTGGACGAACCACTGGCTGCGTGACGCGGCGGCCTCCAGAAGCTCGATTTAACAGGAAATCTCAGAAAAAAGACAAATTTTCTGTTAACTGATTTTGGCCGTGCCAAGCCAGTTCACCTCTGTTAAACCCGGACTTTCTATTAAACATCTTTATGTTAAACCGTAGCCGCTACTGAATAGCTTCAGAAAAGCAGTTTGAAGTATGAAGCAAGCCGCATGCATTCATGACATAATGCACTGAGCGAGAGAGTCAGGTGTGCATGTATTTATACAGTATTATCGAAAGAGATACAGAGAGATACGGTGTGCATTTATTTATGTTGTAGTCTAGTGCTACCGGAGGATCTAGAGATCGAGAGGGTGTGAAATTGATGTTGCAGTCTACATACATACATTCGTGCTACCGGAAGAGATCGAGACCGAACAACCAACCGTTCCATGTCTGCTGCTGTGTTGTTTGGCCGAAAATTCATCAGGTCAAACTCGCAAACATGGAGAAGGAGTTAGCCGCCAAGGAGAGAGAGAGGCAGCAAGCCTTGGACGCGGCCGCGAAAAAGGCTTCTGCTGATGCCGCCTTGGGTAGCCAGGTAATCGTCCGGACGGTTGTGAGTCGAAAGGCTAGGAAGGCAAGAGACTGATTGAGTGCGTTAAGGCCAGAGAAGGAGGCAAGATACCTCTTGTCTTGAGAAAACGGAGAACGCATGATCGCATCGCATCGGGGGGAATTATTTTGAGTTGAGAGGGGTTTCGCTTTGATTAGGGTTGTGGCCAACACCGTTGCAAGCTCCACTTCGATGTTAATTATCATCACGCCACGTTATTCTTTTGTGCTCGTTTTTCATCGGTGTGCGTTCGTTCTCGCGCTCGCTGCTTGGCTGTAATAATCGCTCGTTGCCCTTCTCTTTTTCTTGCTATCGTTGGACTACCGTAGAGTTTTTTTTCATGTTTTCAAGCTTTACCCACTCCACGCACATTAATTGAATCATCCTCTCACACGAAAATTCAGTCAGTCACACGAGAGAGATCACAACGTAACTGCTGTTCTTAGACCTGTTGCACGCAGAGAGCTAATTTCCCCGTGTTGTACGAGGATCAGTAGCAACACGTCAGGAGGGTCTCGGGTCCTTCATCAAATCACAGCCGTGCTGCCCGAAACATTTTCGTCCAAGAGTATGGGGTAGGTTAATAATGCCTACGAGCCCGGCCACAGCCTAGCCCCTGCCGCAATCGTGTCGCCGGTTTTGCTGCGGTTGCAAGAGACACAGGACGAAGGTTTTTCACAAGACAGAGTTACTGGAAAAGGTCTCTTCCAGTCTGGTGGATATACAGCAATCGACGGTTGGTTAGCTTTGTTGGCCTGGTCTATTTAGACCGGTGTTTGCCGTGTGTCTGTGTGCGCAAAATTTCTTGTTGCCATCCCCTTCGCTTTTTCGTGGGGCCCTTCGAAGCAGTATGGCGTCAAAGAAAGCACGGTTGGCTCTCCCTCACCCCCCATCAACGACCCCGCCCGTGTTTCCGCCCGAACCCAACATTCTCCCCACAACAACCGTTCGCTGAAAAAAAAAAAAAACACGGCAGTACCGAGTCGTGGGCTTAGTGAAGAGGCTGGGATCGTCGGCTTCTGAGCGAGCCCTGAGCGTGCTGGACTGGTGCGACTACCAGCGGCAATCGTCCTCTACGATGGTGAAGGCCTGCGGCAAACGCCTCCGCAGCGGTAGGCCGGAGCTGTACCTGATGGGCGGCGTGCTCCTGGCGACGGCGGCGGCGGCGGCGGCTTGCGGCCAACACGGCCTCCTCAAGAGGCGACCGTCGTGATTGAAAAATAAATGATAGCATAGTACTCCTAATGGTGATGACTTCGAGTGTGAGCTGTTCGGGCTTGGGAGACGGCAGCTGGCAGCTGATTCGCACCAACACATGCTTTACTGTCATCTTGCATCGCACCTTGATGACAAGACTGATTTGCTTTATTGAGCCCACTCCAGAGGCGCTAATTGTTAAATAGGTATCACGTTTGTGTTGGATTTTGGAGCCCAAGCTATGTAGCTGGTCCGCCCGCGGGTGGACGGATGGGGGAAGAAACAGCCCGTCTTACGCTATTTTTGCTAGATTACGTTGGTGTGTTGATCGTGATGTTTTGTCGAAACACGAGGTGTTATAGATGTTCATGAAATAGGAAGAGTTTTTTGCAGGTATGCGTCGAACCGTTCTGTGAGTATGTGTCGGTGATTCTTTGCTGTTTACTGTTGAGATCTCTCATTATGTACGCAATTTTTATCTGTGTCTTGTGTTCGTTGGCCACGCTTCCGCACCAGGCCGTAGCAGGCGGGGATATCGATCCAAAAACAATCGATAAACGTTTTCCATGAATCCATGAAGAAGTGAGGGTTCCTTCGTTAGTCTTTTGCATGTGAGAATTAAATTGTCTTGCATGTAAGAAGTGGTTGAAAAACGCACGCTCCCAAATTTGTGTCTTACTCAGAAGGGTATGCAAGCCCCTCGTCCTCAGGCGGTGTTTGAGAAACCGCAAATTAAGTACAGTGTGACCTAGGCGAAAGAAAGTGTTTTGGAAAGACTATGGCGGTGTTGTCGTACGTGAGGCTCGGGAAATCGTTCTCCTGAAAGAAACACCTTTCATGTACGGATGGAGGTATATGCGTCGTGGAGTCACCGAAAAAATGGCCGAAAGCAGTTGAGCGGCTTGGACGCTTGTCGCCGGGCCGGAAAACTTCAAGTTTGGCTGATGTGCGGCAATGCATGCCAAACAAAGGGAAGGGTGTGGACACGTACACGTACCCCCCCCCCCGCTGCGAAGACAATGCATGCAGTAAGCACCATTCAATGGTGGCTGGTGAATACACGTGATGAAACAGACGTTGCGAGGTTGGTTCCCCCTCCCCCGCTCACGGTCCCTACCTTCTTGGTACCCCGTAACCTAGTAATATTAGTACATAGCTGCTCAAGGCTTAGCCTACTCATGGGCGCCGTTTATTTTGTCACGCACTACCGCACCCGACAGGGACTTCGGCTTCGACGAGGGAACAGGTGGTATACGTGATTAGGCTCAAAACAAGCAAACGTGATTTATGTTGCTAAGCTGTGCGGTGTCATCCCCATCATCTATTCTGGACGTGAGACGTCAGAGACAAGAAAAACAAAAACGGTTCGGGACATTGCTTGGATGCACCAGCTTCGGGGTGAGGCCACGACGTCATTTTTTTTCCCACGTTCCTCCAGCGTTGCCTGCTTTCAGTTTCTTGCGTCGCGAGAACGATGCAGCTCCCACCGCGCCTTCCCTCGTAGATGGCGGGAAGAAAGTCGAACTGGTAACTCAGCCACCAAGCAAGTTGTCAATCGTTCCTCCACGTTCGTTCGTGTGTGTTGTGCTTGAAGTGGTATGCTGGCAAGCAGCTTTCGACTCCAAAACAGTCGTATGACTCCTCCATCCTCTACATCCACATGCTTGGTGGTGCTTCCAAAGCTACGTACTCTCCTCGCCAAGAAAAGCACAGCAGACGCCAGGATCATTATGATGCTTGCTCGCGCCTTTTTAGCTCTCTCTCAGGAGTGGCAACGCTGGTTGCTTCCAAGATTCGTTTGGACCATGGGAACGAACGTGTCACAACCACCACAAGAGAGATGAGAGAGGTGCATACCTTAACCTTGAAGGTTGACTATTAAAGTTACGTTTCGTATTGACGTTTCAAAATAAACACGCCTCTTCCGGAAGCGGTTTTGGCCGCCAACACCACCAAGATGAACGCCAACAAAAAAAATTACCTACCGAGCGTCCCAATCGCAAATTTTGTAGTGCCTCTTTACCCTAACCAAAGCACTTTTTTTACTTCCGTCATACGCGACCAAGATTTCACCCCAAAACGCTTGTGGATGCGGAGCAGTATTGTTGGGGAACCAAGCAGAACTGCTTGGAACACAAGCAAGCCTGGCCTTCCCCCCTGCAATCCGTATTTCCTACGTTGCTATGGCACCGCCCCCTCCCCCAAAACGCCTCCTGGATAAAACGTAAAAACGCCAGCATGGTGGCAAGAGGGTTTCCCATCATCCGAGTACCTACAACGCGGTATCTTGCGTTCCTCTTGAATTAATAAAGTTTATATTACCATAGAATGACGACTTTCGACAGGGCTTCTTTGCCGCCCACTAGAACCATTGCGACGACATCTTTTGTCTCCATCCACTCCATCCCCTGCTTTCTCTCCCTGTGCGTGATTACTATCTCGCCACGTGCTATACCACCTCTACCCTCAAAATTTACAAAGAGGCAGCAGCTACATACACGATATATCTCCACCGTAGTTACTAGGCACCTAACAGCGTTTCTCACGGAAAGTGTATCATTGCCGTGCCACGGTACTGGTGGTAAATCAAGGTGCTTGCCGCCTAACCAAACCTACATGTAGCACAAGCAAGCGCACCAAAGCCCTGAAACCAACCTCACTCACCAACGCAAGCAAAATCTTAACCTCTTGTGTCGCCACGGGAACAAAGCTGAGCAGCGACGAACCGACAAATTTTGTACGCTAGCTAGTCTAGACGGGAATTGTAGCCAAAAAAAAACATTGCCGTCTGAACACAACGGCCATAACATTCCTCAACATCTCCCCCCCCCACTTCCCCAGCACCTACCATGCGAGCCGTTTTCGCTTCAACAACTGAGGGGAGGCACCGCAAGAGGAAATGTGACGAAAAACAACGTTATCCTTCCTCCTATGTGTGACCCCCGTCCGGTGCATCAAACATATACCGAAGGTGAACTGCCGCCAGAACAGAATAGATTGGGCGACACAACGACAACAGCAACAGTAACACCTCTGCGGAGTTCAATACTTTCCAAGGGTCACGCCACAGAGGAGTGTCCGTACCACATATCTACCCATTCTAACGCGCATCCCTCCCTGGTCTAACCGGAAAGGCACGCAAAAAAAAAAAGTACGCCCCCTCCGCAATCACTCCCACCCTTGTTTCCAATGACCTCCAGATCCATGTACACACACCATCGTTATGTAGCCCGGTCGATAAATACCGTCAACGATACTCTCCTGCCCCGCACCAACCCTAACCTCTTGCGCCCAAACACCTCTCCCGTCTAATACACTAACTTGTCTGCCCAAACACGAGCCTATCCTACTGGATGTGTAACTAAATACCGCCTCACGCGTGGCTCTTCTTGCTTCGTGCAACTCCATGCAATGCGACAGTCCAACAACATTCCTCCCCCCCCCGTTGGGCGTTTCAACAAGAAGCACGATGGACAGGCCTTCGCCAAAGACAACGACAATTGGCAACGACAATTGAGATGCAAAGATTGCTCAACATAAGACGACAGCAGTGCCAACAACCAAGCACATGAACATATCAATAAAACAAAAAAAAAGAACGTCGTTCGTGGCGTTCCGATCGACAAAACACAAATTCGTGCCTCCATGCAGAGTTATGATACTCCGCGAGGAGACGGTGGTGCACGGCTGTGCTCATAGGTCTGTCTCATCTCATGTATAACAAACTGCCATCAATCTCGCTAGAACACTTGATTGAACGCGGGAGTGAGTCGCCAACAAGCCCTTGCGGTACCTCGCTGCACACCACCCTGCCTAGCCCTATCCTATCCCCAACTACAAGCATATCTCAGAAATATACATAAACACATTTCAACAGGATTTCTGCCACCTTCCCTGCCAACGCTACTTCGGTCTGAACCCCTGCGTTCGTTTCGAGCCAAACTACAAGATTAAAGATCCAGGAGCCAAATAAGCGATCGCGCTATTCGAACGCTATCGAACGATCGATGGCATCCATCCCGAACCTTCCGACAAAACCTCTCCAAGCGCCCACGTATCACTGCTCACAAGCACAGCAGGAGGTGGACGCCTAGACCTGCGCCTACCTTCTCCAGGCATGGTCGGTCGATTTCTCTTGCCAGCGTTACATACGTCTTCAGCTCTGCTTCGTGTTCCACGGCTAGGGGGGGGGCACGCGCAGACAGTGACGACCCCCCCAGCACTCTTCTCCCCTGGGCCGTGGTCGCGGGCGGAGAATCCACACAGCATGCTCCTGTATACCCTTGGCTGGCTCGCTGCTACGCACGACACACAGACCGCCTTCGCACCCAGACGACTGATTCCGATTTCTTGTGCCCATCACAAAGCACACCATATCTCGCTCTCTTCTCTCTTCTCTCTCTCTCTCTCTCGGACGTTGAGCTAGCTGGAGACGGTTCCGATCCCTTGTGCCCATCACAACGCACACCATTTACCTCGTTCATTTATCTCGCTCGCTCGCTCGCTCAGACGCTGAGCTTGCGAGAGAGGGGACGCACGTACAGATCGCCGATGTAGCAAGGGTCGCAGCTCTTGCACTTCTTGGAGTTGAAGATAGCCGCTCCACTGTCGGGGTCGATGCAAAAGCGCACCCCTAGATCACACGGGTGTAGCTATTAGTAGACCACCAGTCATCGTGTCGTTTTTCAAAAGGGAGCAGGCAGCAGTCCGGGGGGAACGCAGAGGAGCGTGGGTGGGTACACGGGGTTGTGAGAACGACAATTCATGACAAAATATCTCTGTGGGATTCTTTAAGACAATCACCGCGTCCACTTCGTTGCACTTCATTCCCCTCCCCTCGAGGCGCTTGGACATGCTCCAGCACAGCAAGACAAAAAAAATCAATGATGGTGCCGTTGGGCGTTAAGCAAGCGCCTCAACTACTGCTGGAGTAGGTCGCATGAGACTTCGCACCCGCTGGGCCGATTTTCGAAGCTCGACCACTCTGCAGCAGAAACAGCAGTGAGAGCAGAGTTGGAACAACCTCGTCGAGAGCATTTCGAAAAAGCATGTATGATTTTAGCATACCCTTCGTCATGGAGCAGGGGTTTAAATTCGGTCAACGGGATGTAAACAGTATCATATGCATATGCAACCTAGACTAGCACAGCAGGGAGCACGAAGCAAGGCTGCAATCTTGACTCTTCTTGTGCTCTTTCTTCCAGGAAACTGCATCGACCATACAGCTACCTCGCAGCAGACAACAAAGTTCGATATTCTGCCAAGTCTGGCATGAAGTTGAACATCCCGAGGGACCGTCTTCGTCCCCCCCCCCCCGTGTATTCCGTACCATTTTGCGTCGCCACTCACGGCGACAGCCCCGGCCAGCACTTGCGGAATTCCGTCCAAAACATCAACAATCAATCACCAGCTCACCGGCGGTTCAACGCATGCGAAAGCACCAAAATTGGCCGACCAACGGAATACACAACGCAGCGAGCAAGCGACTACAAGGAGTATGCAAAGCAACGAGCGACTACAAGGAGCATCAAAAAGCGACTGCAAGAAGCATGAAAAGCAGCGAGCGACTGCAAGGGTACCCAAAGCGACTGCAAGGAGCATCCAAAGTGACTGCAAGGAGCATCCACAGCGTCTGCAAGAAGCATACACAGCGACTGCAAGGAGCGTCCAACGCAACTGCAAAGAGCATCCAACGCGACTGCAAAGAGCATGCAAAATCAGCCAAGCGATCGCTGGGCCTCTTACCAGGGTGAGAGCGTCCCACTCCTCCGGCGTTACCACCTCGCACACGCAGCCACTGCGGTCGGGGTCCAAGCCCCCCAGCAGAGCACGCCTCTCTCCAGACAAGAACTCCTCCACGTGGGGGGGTGCGAGCAAGAGGCCGTGCCCCTCGCACAGCAAGAGGGCGGTGTCCAGCGTGCGCGGGCTGGGGGCCCGGGGATCCCGCACGTAGGCACGCCAACTGGACATATCGGCGTTTCAACACAAGGAATGAATAAACAAATAGTCCAGTCTGCCAAATGATTGTTCCGGAAACACAGCAGTGCCAAAAACAAAACAAAAAACGATTCGGCAGCAGGCCAACTGGATGTCTTGGTGTGTCAACACAACGAAAAAAAAAAAAAAAAGTCGGTGACACAGCGGTGCGAAAAAAAAAAAAAAAATGACATCAGCACGCCAACTGGAAGGTATTGATTGGTGTGTCACACAAAGCGAAAAACTAATTGTTGATCGGCCTGCCAAACGGTTGTTTGTTTCGGTGTGTCAACGCCAAACGACAAGCGAAAGAAAAACCGTAAATCGCACGAGGCTCGACGTCTCGCTTGTACACGCGGCAGAGCTACACCCCGGCCGTAGGCACGTTGAAGGCGTGCTCTCAATGCTCCCTGTTGAAGATACTAATACTTCGATGCACCCCTTCCTTCCATCGGGATACTGTTTGCCTTTGCCGTGAAAGGGAAGTAACCTTGCCGTGATTGTATGTCTTCCAACAGGACAAGAGCACCCTTGCTGTGTTACTATTTTCTACTACAAAGTAAGGAATAACAGAAGAGAGAGAGAGTGTTAAGGATTGGGACTGGTAAACGGGACGCATTGATAGAGCGGTTTCCCGCCTTTGCCGGTGGCACGAGAGCACTCTTGTGTGGCCTCTGCTACCCACCGCCACAAAAAAAAAAAAGAAGGAAGACTTCTCCCGTGACGGCACCGATAACGGCACCACTTATCACACAGCGGAGACCCTTACATGCAAGAGCACAGCTTTGCCACTAAACGATCCCTACCTCCCCCGCCGCCACAACAAGACCCAACTCACGCGTTTAGCCAGTAGCGGGGGAGAAGGTGGTATATCCCGGGCAGCAGCGGGCATGCGGGTCGGGCAGCCGACGGGGGGCCCGCAGAGGACCCGGGGGTACCCCGCGGCGTCGACAAGGCAGCGGATGGCACCTGCTCTCCGGGCCGCGGGAGAACGAGGAGCACGGGCCGCAAGCGAGGAAAGCATGGCTTTTTCAATCGGTTCGTCATAAAAAAATCAACACGTTGGGTGGTTCCCGGGAAAGTTTTCTATTGTAGTTGGCTGTGTGTGGAGATCTCAATCTGTACCGTCTGTTGAGGAAGATTCCCACTTTTCACATTATGGTCCCTTTGCGTATGTACGTGTGGAGTTGACCGTTACGGCATGTGTGGCTACATAGAGAGAGAACGGTGCAGTGGTTGTGGCTTTGGTCCCACGCGTGTAGATAATTTCGCTAGCGTGCTCGGCTGGCCGACGGTAGGCACACACAATGGCAAAGTCGACACCAACAGCAGCAGCACACCGCAAGGTTCGATTAATTACTTGCGAGTCGAGTGATCCCCGCCGCAAACACGCTGCACTGCTGTAGCATCAAACGAAACAAGACAAGGGTAGCAACAACAACACTCCATGACGACGGCGACGACTAAATACAGCGACAAAAACAATTTGTGGAGCATTACACATAAACACCAACAACATTTGCAACATCAAACAACAACAAAACAACAACAGCAGCAGCATCGGGAACAGTAAACATCGGCAACAACACCCACAACAAATTAGAACATCGGACATCAATGACAAATAAAACAGCAACAGAAGCAACTTTTGGATTACTAAACAACAACATTCGCACCAAAACAGCAACAACAGAAGCAGCAGCAGCAGCGCAACTACGACAGCCCTTACCCCCGTCTTCCGGCCGTACAGCGCCCTAAGCACGGGCAGCGCGATCTCCTGCTCCCTCTGCCTCTTGACGGCCTCCTCTGCCTTGCGCTCGTTGGCGCACAACCCCCGGCACTCCGAGCACTCGACGCTCTCCGCGCGGAACGGTACCGCTGCCGGGAAGAACAAAACCAGCTCCCGCCACACGCGCTTGTCTACTACCTGGCGCTGCAAGGACAGGGAGGTCGGGGGGGAGGGGGGTACATGCCGTAGTCGTTAGACCCCTGACCTCGCATCCCTGGAAAGCCGGGACGGAGCACGCCATGTCTTCGCCGGGGGGAGTATTGGTTGTGTCTCCTCAGGACCGCCATGTGCATACCTAAACACGAGTCAAAACCCAAACGTCTCGAGCACGATGGCAAACATCGGGGGGACGGGGGGGGTGTAATCACAGCCGTGCATGCCGTAGTCGTTGGACCATTGGCCCCGCATCCCATTGGCCTCGCATCCCTGCAAAGCCGGGACGGAGCACGCCGGGTTTTCACCGGACCAGGCTCTCACATCACCAAGCTAGGGGGAGGAAGTATTCGTTGTGTCTCCTCAGGACAGGAGCGCCATGTGCATGCCTACACACACGAATGTAGACCCAGGCGTTACGCAGAAACTTCCGCCACCTTCCCTCCACACACCTTAGCCCGATTCCCCTGGGACGAGCGGGCGAGGCCCCTGTGCTGGCACATGATGTCCGCGTTCACGTCTTGCCAGGGAGGCATGAGGTTGCTCTCGGCACGCTCGCGCCCGCGGCTCCGCTTCTCCTTGCCCCCCGACCCGCCGACGGTGGCACCGGAGCCGGCGGCGGAGTTCGACGCGAAGGAGGGGCTGCGGCGGCGCCTGGCCTGCGCCTCCACGTAACGCCTCAGGTTTCCGGCCCATGACTTGGACAGGTAGTACCTGTGGTACGTGTCGGGATAGGAAAATGTGCGGCTTGGTTGTACGGCAGAACATCAACTCTAATTCCTCCACGCTGGTGTCGACGACGCGTGGATGACGACCACGCCGTGTTCATCGACACACCCCCGGGGCTTCGGTGGCGGGGGAGGCCACGAGTCCATATATCGTGTCTCTCGCACTCGCGGGACGTTGTTCAAAGGTGGCTCATGCGCACGCGCGGCCGCGATCGTCGGTCTTAAGAGTAAGAGCAGCGTTTTACATGCTCTGGAGGCAAGAGTGGAGCCGTGAGGATCGTCAGCTTATTGCGGAAAGCCTCGCCGTCGCCTACGGGGAAGGATGTGTTGGGCGCGGAGGAAACATTGATTTCGTCTCTACTTATGTCTTTCTGCCACAAGCTGACGATCCTTATCGCTTCATTCTTGCCTCCAGAGCATGTAAAAATGACTACCATGTCCGATGGTCGCGGACGCGCGCATCACCCCGGGAAGGTAAGCTCAAGGCGGAACCCGGGGGATCGCCCACGCGGGAGATGCAGCGTTTCGCCATACGCTGACGATCACGGTCCTCGGTCAGCAAGGGCAGAATTTTACTTGCACTAGTAGGAAGCATGGAGCGGCAAGGATCGTCAGCTCATGGCGGAACCCTCGGTATCGCCTACGGGGGGGTGGGGGGGGGCTAGCATTCATTGATTTCATCTCTAACCCATCCTTCAAGCAAGAAATTGTAGACCCTGATGTCCATGACGAACAACAGCAGTAGGCCGTTCCTCCCGTGGGAGGCGATGAAGGGGAGTCATGAAGCCCTTGATGGAAGTGTACTCCTTGTCATCGAGAAAATCGAACGAACGCAGGTCCTCTTTTTCTTGTCCGGGAACAACGACACGAAAAGCTACGCTATACCTTGCCCCCAGGAACACTCCCATACTGTGCTCTCCGAGGACGATGAATGTGATGCATGCGTCTTCACCTGAAGAAGAAGGCCATTATTATAGTGTCTTTGTTGCGCGATGGCGGTATGTAGGGCTTAGGTAGTCCGGCTTTCGCGGCATGCGACATGACAACTGCTTTCTCACACATGATGATTCGAGAGTCAGTATTTCTGCCCCGTGTCTCCGACTGACAATGTCCGTCTGTTCTGTCTGTCTGTGTGTCTGTCTGTCTATCTCTCTCGCTCTCTCTCTGTGTCTGTCTTCGTCTCTCGTGTGTCTGTCTCTGTGGTATGCCTGTCTGTCTGTCTGTCTGTCTGTCTCTGTCTCTCTCTATCTCTGCCTATCTGTCTCTCGGTCTTACGAAGTACTTCTATCTTATATATCTCACCCCTTTCCCGGGCGCTGAGGGCCGCGCACCAACGAAGCCACGTGGCTTAACTCGGCGTGCCTGAGGGTTTCCAGATCCCTCCTCCACCCCGTGTCTTCCTCCCTCAATGTGGGGTTAGCCCTGCCGTAGCGGTGCTTGACCAGAGATGCCACAGTTGTCTCCAGCACCGCCGCCGTCTCTGAGGGAATGCCAAAGGGAGTTTAACGCCACACGGTCGGTCTCTTGGTACAGCAGTCGTAGTCCAGATATACCGTGGTGTAGTGACAGGAAAACTCGCCGCGGTTTTATATATCGGGACATCGCACTTTTGAGTGTTGGGGAATATATAGCTTTTAGTATGGTAGCAAAATCCTGTGACGAGCGATATTCACCGCGGTATATCGCGACCCGCACTCGCCACCGCGGTAGGTACATCGGGACTACCACTGCTGTACTACGCTCGGCCAGGTGAGGGAGTGAGTGGCCTTCGTTCCAGGGCGCATGCCCACGCTTTTGTGGAACCTCGCATACGCCTGCCCGGCAGCAACGTTGGTAAAGGGAGGAGCCAACCGCCGTGTCGGGTATTCGGTAGAATTTTTGTCCACGCTGGAAAGGGGGGCGGGAGAGAGAGAGACCGCCACGCCTACATCAGGTACAGACTGGCAAAATCAATGCTGCTTTTCACAGAAGGCGGGTCCTTCGTCACAGCAAGTCTACCATGGCTGCGTGTGTACGAGGGTCACGTCAACTGACAAAATCCTCCGAAACCATAGATAACGCCATGCTTTCAACTCGCGATCTCTTCGGATCTTCCATCGTATACACATGCATACAGCAACAGCAGGTTCAAAGTTGCCTACACACCGAACGCACCATATGATGTTATGGATCACCGCAGTCACCCCTTTGGCATGCACGTGTCATTTTGTCAGTTCGCCCCCAATCGTTCCAACATGATGACACGCCTACATAATGTATAAGTCCCCAAAGAATTCAAAAGCACACCAGAAAATCGGCAAGTATCATACGAAGTAGTTGCTACTGGCGGGGCGCGAGGTCGAAACATAGGGTGCCAGACGCGAATTGGATCGTCGAACGAAGGGCGTGCAAAAACCAGCCTAAAAGAGTCATCCATCACCGGGAGACAAGTTTGTAAGTTTCCCAGCCCCGATTTGCGTTGAATGTGCAAGTAGAAAATAGAAAAAAACGCTCCGCAACCCTCCCGGGAACTATCACCCCGTGCGTATGCTACATTGCCGACGAAAACACACAATGGCAACACCATGGGAATAGACATGACGCGGCGCGGCATCTCACCGGGGGACGAAGCGGCCACGCTCGAGGCACGCAGCGCCGAGAGGTCTGTGCTGAGTAGCCACCCGAACAGGCTTTGCAGGACAACCGCCGGCAGCGGTCGCGGCCCTGCGCGCGGAAAGATTCCGGCAATCGGCTCCTGCCGTCCCCCGCCCCCTCTCTCTTCTGCTTGCGTCGGAACCCGTGGCGGCGTCGTGGATTGCGGCTTGGTGTCATCATCCCGTGGCGTTGTTGCAGTAGCAGTAGTGCCGATGGCGAGGACGACGGAGGATTTATTGCGGCCGCTTTGTTTCTTGCGTGCAGCTGCTGCCATCTTCTTCTTGCAGCGGAGGCGTGGCAGCTACCACCGTCAGCGGGCCCTCCTCCGTGCACAGCGGTGGTGGCGACCGCCGCGTGGGTGGTGCAACAACCGGGATTGCGCTGCCGCTGCCGCTGCCGCTGCTGCTGCCCGAAGGCTCGAGGATGAGGCCTTGCCTCTTGAAAGTGTAGCCCTATCGTCGTTCTTTGTGTGATGCCTCACCGAAGGAGGCAAACAATCCAAAAGATGTGAGTTGAACAACTCTCACAGGCAACGGAGTGCTCCTTGGCGGGAAAATGGAGCGAGAGGGAGACAAGGGGGGAGCTCTTTCTTTCGCGGATGGCAGCAGCGCACTGGGCGTTGGTCGTCCCTCCCCCTCCCGGCGGTACCGTGAGGGTTTGAAATGATTTGAAGAAATCTTCACGCACGTCCCCCAGTGGGGGCTCCGCAGTTGGGATAAACGCCTATTTTACCAACATGGGGTAGGATACGAATGTCAAATTCGTCTCTCGATCGTGCCCCAACAACAGCAAGTGCAACCCCACATGCCCCACCCACCACGCACGCCAAAACGGAACAGCAAAGCATACGCGCGCCACGTGAGACCCACCGCTCCGCACGACAACCAGCACGCCACACGGAGTGTCCAGCGCCCACCTACGCTCTAGAAAACAGAACCCTCCGACGGCAACACTTCCGCGCGTGTGAGTCTTCGCAAGCACCGCGATCAACCACGCGGCACAACCTCAGCCGTTAGGGGGAGAGAGAGGTCAGAAGGACGGAATCATGCCGAAAATGAGCGGTGCGTGGGAGAGCTTCTCAAGGTCCAGGATGGCCACCCTCGCGGTAAATGCTCTCCTCCTCAGTGCTGGGTCGCCATCTTCACGCGCGGTGGCGGCAGCGAGCGCAGCGCCGGGTTGGAGTGGACCGGCGTCGGCGGGGAAAAACATGATGCACCAAATCACCCATCATCTTCGCTACCACACAACGGCGGCTGCATCACCATCATCATCATCATCGACGCCTCCTTCAGTCTCTTCCACAAGCGGGAAGGACCTACCGAGACATCGTCGCGACAAGACAGGAGACAAACACGAGTGCGAGAACAAGTGTGCATCCGCTGAGGAACCTCAGAGGCGTTCGTGGCGCGGAGCGCAGCGAGGTGCTCTTCTTCCTCCCGGCCGCACATCCACTCGGCAAAACATGCGCAACAAGAGCAGCAGCGGGACGGCTGGGTGGGTACAGCAAGCCGAGAGGAGGGAGGGGTTGGGGGACAAGGTGCCGGGTCTCAGGGCAGCAGTGGCAGCGGGATTGGGCAGAGGAGAAGTAGGGGCTAGGTACGCAGCAGACGAAACGGTCGGTTCGAAGCACTACAGGGGATGGGGGGTGGCTGGGTGGGCGAAACGGTTGCGAGGAGATAGAGCGTCGTCGTCTTCAAGCTGTGCCGACAGCAGCAGTATTCGGCACAACCAGCAGCAACAGCAGCAGCAGCAGCAGCAGCAGCAGCAGCAGGAATCCCTGTACGAGAGAACGGCGTCGGCGATCAACACCATGATGAAAGCACCACCCGTGACTCCTGCTGTGGCAGGGGTAGCCACGGCAGCATCGGCCGCAGCCTCTCCTTCCCCTGTACCGTCCTACCTCCGGTGGCCTGCCAAAACGGCGGCGGAACCCAGGCAGCAGGGCGACGACGTCGAAGCGGACGGACAAAATCGCAACAAGATAGCGCTACCCAGGACTACGAGACGCGCCGCAGGGAAGTCGAACGACGTGGCCACTACGCCGTCTGCGGGAGAAGAAGAGGGTTCTTTGGGGGCGGCGAAAGCGTCGCGGGGGGGAGGCAGTGGCAACGCTGTCAGCTTAACGTTCACGGAGGCCATGTTCGCCGGCGCGGTCAGCCGGTCTATTGCGCAGGTGAGGAATAGCAGTGGTTCGTACGGATCACCCGGGGCGGAGAGTGCGTCCTTTGACTGCACTGCTGTGGTGGCTTGCGATGGCCTCGAGGAACCCGTGACGACGTTTTCGACGTGCTCGAAGTACTCGAGTAGCGCATCATCGTCATTGCCTCATTTTGAAATCACTGCCGTCATTGTTGTGTTTCCCTTCCGGACTGCTGTGGCATCGAGTGATGCTACGGTAAAAGGGGGTCACCTCATCTTGCATTGTCGGTTAGCGAGACAAACTCTACTTCAACAAATCTGTTGGCTCCGAGGATCTCTTGATATAGCGGTAACGCGTATATGTACCTGACAGGCGACGTGGAGATTTTCACGCCCTTTGGCCTCCTACCTACCTCGCCGTCACATCGCCGACACAGAGCGACACGTTGTGTCCCGAAAGTACCCGAAACGTGCACCGCCCTACCGTAGCATCACTCGCAAGCCCTCTTCGCCTTCGATTTAGGCATTGACACCTACCATCGTGTCTCTTGCGACGACCCATCCTTTGACAGACGTGCATGCAGCCGGCGAACGTGGTGAAGACGCTGCTCCAAGGGCGAGGCACGGCGTCGCAGCTTTCGAACCTCTCTTTCAAGCTGCTTACCCGAGGGGCCGGCGCGCAGTTCGTCATGAGCCTCCCGCACGGCGCGTTCAACTACGCGACCCTAGAGGTAGGTGCCATCCCAGTTATCATGGATGTCAGGCTTTACGCCTTTGGATGTATGTCCGCTGCGGCAACACACCCGATCGTGATGCGATGTCGACAACCCTTCCCGCGTGTCATGCTTCGCTGAGTTATTCCGGGCGTCAGATTTCATGCCTTTCGGTATGTATCCGTTGCGGCAACGCACCCGATCATAACCCTACGCCGCCAACCTTTCCCGCCTACACATGCTTCGCTGCGGTATGGTTGTCTCCCTTGGAAGGTTATCTTGGGATGCTCGGCGAAGATATTCCCGGACGAGTGGCGGGAGCGGGCGGGGCCGGTGCTGGACTTCTTATCTTCGAGCGTGGCCACCGTCGTGTGCTCGGTGGTCAGCACTCCCCAGATGGTTCTCACCGATCGTGAGTGGTCTCAGCTCTCGGCTAAACAAAATGTCTTGTGGTATTCACGGTTATTTGCACTTAAATAGATGGGTGTTTCTCCGGAACAGTGTGAGTGGGTGTTGTTGGAATTACCCGTCGGTTGTTGACGAGAGGCAATCAGGCGCCGGAGGCCATTTCCCGGAGAAGCGAGATGAGGGGGGCACCCGGGGAAAGGAATCCTTTCTGCGAAGCCCCCGGCCGTCTAACCCATGCTCGCAACGACAGACTTGAAGCGAGAGCCCTCGATTTACCAAGTTTGCAGATATCACTGGCTATGGTCTTGGGTAGGAAGAGATATCACAAGGGTATGGCTTGCACAGAAGATGGAAGTGCATACCCTTCTTTATTGGCGGAAGGAGGCTTCTCCTTTTAAGAGAAGGGGGGACAGCTTGGTACGCACTGTCGAAGAAACAACTCGGTGTTTGAATTGTTTTTCTGTCGAGCTCGTGTTGCTGATTCCCTGGGCGTCGGTTCTACGCCAGGCTCATCAACGAGATCGCATTCGTATGGATGCTGTTGGTATGGTGCCTATTGTACTATGGTACTGCTGTGGTGTGCGGTTGTCTTGGGGCGACCACGCAGAAGGAATACTCTAGGGTTGTTTCTTCGTCGTTGCGGAGCAAGAGACACTTGACCATGTTGTCGATGCGAGGGAAGTGTATGCTACAATCTAACTTATCTTCAATATATCGAGAGTTGGTGTTTTGGTTACTACCTATCTTATGGTAGCAAATACATGTTGTAGAAGATCTATTTGCCCACATCGTACATCAGTGGGTACATGGAAAGCAAGTTGCGTGCCTACTCAAAAGCTGTCGTCATTGCAAGATTCCATGCGTGCTGTTTTTCGCTAGTGTGGTGCTGCCCCCTCTTTACCTGCCAGGCTCATCTGAAGAATCGTATGGGTTTCTCCCTGAATGTATCACATCTTGGTTCGGTCTTTTTCCATGCCTTTACGATACCATGCAACAACAACACCTTGATGCTGAACAGGAATCATGGCGGGGATATACCCCAACCTTGCCAGCGGTGTGCGTGAGATTACGCGGACGCAAGGATTGCCGGGCTTCTACGTTGGCTGGAGCGCGAACGTCGCGCAAAAAATTCCAAGCTACGGGTGAGCGAGAGTCGTCTTCACTCTGAAGGTTGTGTCTGGAGCAAGGTTCCCGTCCATGTGCTAGCTCTCTTGTGTTGGTCTATCACCGTGGGGTTGCGAGCATACCACGTTATGGTGTTCCTCAGTCGGTGCACGGAGGGACACAGCGCGGACTGCGGCGATGTGTTGGAGAGCATTTTAGGGGCAACCGACCGCCGGCATCAGCGGCGGTGTCGTGCGTACTGCTACGGCGTGTCATCCACCCTGTTAAACACGCGTGTGGCCATAATCTTGTGCTTTCTCACATTCCGCGATATACTCCCGATAAACTTAGTTGGTTTAGTCGTGAAGTTCTGCAACTGAACAACGTCTTTGCGAGTGTTGGCATTTGAGGCCCGAAGTTCGTGACATCTGTAAGGCGATGGGCTAGCGGGAGAAAGCTTCCGTACCCCACCCAACCGGCAAACCGTTGGAATTCCTGATTCCGGTCTTGACCTCTTCCAACCTGCACCTTTCCTCTCTTTCTCCGCTGCTACTGCTGCGGCTGCGGCTGCTGCTCCGTCCCCCTCCCTCTTGTCGGCTATATGCTTCCGCGTCCAGGCTTACGTGGGTGTTCTTCCAGCAGTTCAAGCGCCTGCACCGCAAGGCCACCGACCGACCCCCCACCAACACGGAGAACTTCGTGCTGGGAGCGGCCGCGGCGGGGGCAACAGTATGGTGAGAGAGACAGAGAGAGAGAGAGACGCTTTCGGTTGTGGGCGGTTGAGGGGAAAGGGGTCCGTCACACGACAGTTTGTTGGAGGTTGTCCGCCACTGCGCCTTTGCCCATTTAAACGTGCAGCTTGGAAGGGATGTTAGAACAGCAAGCATGCTACGGTTTTCTCGTGGGAGGCTAGAGACCGGACCCGAGGATGTGTGGTATGTTTTGGACGGCACGTTAGCGGTATGCTTGAGCACTGCTGTCATATTTGTTTACTTGTACGGTTGCACCGCAACATTTGCATTTTCCGTCCAAAAAAATGTCAACATGAGGAATTTTTTTGGATTACGGAGGAGTCGATCATGGTAAATTTTTTAACGGGACGGACCCCTTGACATGTACCCCCCCTTTTTTTTTTTGGGGGTTGGAAATTTTTCCCCCCCCCCCCCCCCCCGATTGTCAGCATCATGATCCCGATGGACACGGTCAAGACGCGCCTGGTGACGCAGACCGCCCAGGCGGGAGTTGTGCCGTACAAGGGCGTTCTTCAGACCCTGACGAGGATCGTGAGGGAGGAAGGATTGGGCCCGATCTACCGCTCGCTAACCCCTCGACTAGTGTCCGTCGTCCCGATGATTGGGATACAGGTGCGTAAGATTGCACGGAATAGAACACGGTTCTTTTGAACTCATCCCTTTTTTTTTTTTTTCTCTCGAAACCAGAAGGAATCGACAAAAACTGCCGTTATAGTTACGACCTGAACCTTTCCCAAATGGAGGTGTGCAGTGCGATGCTGTAGTCGGAGGCGAGAAGGTCTCTGTTTTTCTTTAATCCGGTTCACGCACCAAGTGCGCTGCCTCGCTCAGCATCGTTTTCTCTTCAAGAGCGTAGAGATCTCGACTGCCGCGTTGATCCAAGTACTGCCCGCCCACCAACAAACTTCTTTTGTGACCCCCCACTGGATTTGTCTAGTTTAGCTTTGCGCGATTTCCAAAACTCGCGCCGTTTTGCGTTTACATGTACATGAATACCCCCCCCCCCCTCGCCACCATCCGTTCGGCGACACCTCCTTATCCCTGGTGACGTCATTCACAGTTCGGGATCTACGAATTCGTGCGCAAAGAGCTTATGAACCGCAAGGGTGAGGAGAAGAAGCCACTAGAGTGGCTGCACCCGGCCGTGCGGCGGACGCTTCGCATCGGTGCCGACCGCGGCTCTATGCAGCCAGATTTCTTCAAAGACTTCTTGCGGAACGTGTATCTGATCGAGGAGGAAATGATCTGATGCATGCGTGCCTTACCATGACGTGGGTGTATCTTACTTGAGAAAGAGTTCATTTTTTATGTTGCCTGCCATACGGTAACTTAGGTCAACGAATATTTTGGAGGTGACTCTAGCCGTGCAGTACAACGGGATTCATTCGTGAATAGCTGCAGGTAGTGCATCTTATTTAAGACGACCAGATTGCTGGCTGGCCCTTCCATGCAGCACGCCTCGCTGGCGTAGCTGCGTGCACGAAAAGTAGTGTTGGCAAGCGTTGGTTTCAGTTTGTCGCTATCCTCCATTTTCTAGGGTTAGAATGAGCGCAAGAACCTTTGGCGTGTTCTCAGCATGCCATACATGTAAGGTCCACAGCTCGAAATTTTGCTTGGTGTTGGTGTTTTTTTTTTTTTTTGTCGTCGCCACTCTCGTTGGATCGTCTTCGTCTTCTTTACGTCCTTCCACTGCTTCGTTTGGCTTGCTTGCTGTCTGCGTTAGATGGAACATACTTTTGTGTTTCTGCTTGTCTTTCGTAGACCCGGTGCGCGGTAATTTAGAGGGAGGAGATAGGTGTGGATAGGGAATGGTCGCGACACACAGCGACCCTACCTGCTACAGAGCAAGCAGGATGGGAGGCGAGGCCTTCGATACCACTACTGCTGCTGTGGCATGAAGCTTTCTGTTTTGTTGGGTGAAATATTAATCGGTCGAGAAAACCGTCCCGGACGGAAATCGAAAACCATTCCTTGGATGACGGCTGGCTTCATCCAAGGTCTTTCGGGGGACGGGTGACTTGCTTGACTTTTATTTCTACACGGGTGGCGTCCCGTGGATTTTTTTGTTTGATTGGTTAGCTAGGTGGTGGGTGATCGACCGCAGTAGCAGTTCAAATTGTGCACGTGTAATCATAACGTGGAGGTAAATCGTTGGTGGAAGTTTTATCGCTCTTCTTCTATCGACGATGATGGGTCGTTGCCACTCGTGGGAATATTTTGCTATTTTTCGTTCATCTTTACCTCCCGGCCGCCATCCCGCTAATGGACGGGAGGCGATTTCACCACCAGGCGCCCGTCCCGCCCAATGGGCGGACGGCCGCCACACCCTAGTTTTTGACTACGCTAGGCAGAAAGATAACTCCTCTGTGGTACCTTAGACTAGTAGAAGTAAATAGCAGTCCTTCTGAGTCTACAACCAACCGCGTGGGTGTGTGAGTGAGTGAACAGGACTCGAGATTAAAATGTTCGTTCAGGGTTGGTTCATGATGGGGTCTGCACTACGGGCACTTTGCCCACCACGGGCACTTTGCCCACCGAAAATTGCATGTGTTTTCATTTGTTTTACTTGTATTGTTTTGTGAAGGTTGTTTGGGGGATTCAACCGGCAGGCAAGGGTAAGGAATGGGCTTTGCTATCGACACACGACCAGCCTACAGCATTCATTTGCGCGCGTTGCCACCTCCAAAAATAAAGCCACTCTGTGTAAGAATCTTGCGCGCGTCCTTTAACTTCTCACCTCAAACATACAAGGTGCCACAGAAAGTTCTCAGGCCAATGTAAATTAGCGCAACAGGGCTGGTTTATCTACATGTACGGGCTTAGATCCTTCCTTTCTTTATGAATGGGTTTGATTCATCGCGCGCAGGCTCCCGCTCATCACCGGCAGCATCAATCTGCGCATTCTTCAAACACAACGAATCAATCAAGCCATCTCTATTTACAGATAAGAGTCCAGGACAAATTAGCAATGAACCGATAGCATTAGCGGAGCACTTATAATACTAGAGAAGCACACACACACACGAAAGGAGGAGGAGCGATTTTTGTACAACTAACTTGCATGCTTGTGCTTGCTTCTTGCTTGCATGTTGGCAGGGGTCCCGCAAAGGAAGTGCTGGTATCTTCGTGTTGGACTCTGTGAGCCCCCCGCCGGTGGTACGAAGGTCGACTCGACCTCCCTGCTCAAGCAAGAGACAGCCACGCAGCACGATTACTCCACTTCAATACTGATGGCTTGGTCGTGTCCATCGGAACTTCTGAAGGGGCTGTCTCTGTCGGAGAAGAAGAGCCTCGCTGGTCTTGTGGCGGTGGGTGCTTGACGGAATATTTGGTCCTGCTGCGCGAGATAATTATGATTTGCCCATCGTTTTCAAACCTTTTTCCAGGAAGAAGAGTGTGGTTGCTCCGGAGCTGATGGTCACAGCAGCCTAGCAGCGGTACACCTGTTGTCGGCGTATGGCTTCGGTTCCTCAGTTTTTGCTGGTCGTGTTATGCGTGAAGGTTTCCGTAGATGATAGCTCATCATGACAGCTGTATTTTGAGAACATGGTTTAGAAATCACGCCGCAGACCAACGAGCTGCAGTTCTGAGTTCTGATGTTCTGATTGCCTTTGTGTGTAATTACTCCGCTCCCAATGTCATCCAAAGTTGTGCAACGTAAGTGCAATCGGTCGCTGAAATCCAAAGCCCGAATGCCCCACATCCTAGAGGGCACGAGAAATCGGTCAGTGCGTGCAAGGAAAGACAACCCTCTTGGCTGCTGTGAGTGTGAGTGTTGAGGACCACGATGACCACTGCATCACCAGACTTGTGGTCTAGTGTTAATCGTGCTTCTCAAGATGGAGCAATCGACCTTTGACAGCAGTCGGTCTTCGGGTTGTGTTGTGTGATCACTCGCACCTTTTCGGTAGGTAAGATTGCTTTGACGTCTGGGCCTCGGGGCCTTGGTAAGCGTAGGGGGAGGATGAGCGTGTAAGAACACGTGTGTGTTGGTCTCTACGCAACATGCGCCGGTGTACGTGAAGGTTCATCATGCCTTGTACCGGCTTCACCTATGCAAGCGTACCCCGCGTATGTGTGTGCACATTTGATCGACGTTTGTTTGTTGTGGGCTTTGTCCTGCCGCTCGCGTTAGTGAACTTCACCATTCTGTTGCACGGGGCCATGGGCCATATGAAATCCAACGCATCACATCCCCTTCCTCTCCTCTCTGTTGCTTTCGAATTCAAGACTGCCAGCATGCAGCACACTGCGCTGTCATCGTCGTCGTAGATAGTTGTCATCTCTCTGACGACGTGTCGCTTGCAGTCACTTCTCGCCTGCTTCACGGGTGTCATGCCTCTCAAACTGAAGGCATCTTGGCTAAGGTCTCTTCCCAAAACCTCCATTTGCATCGGATGACGAAGTCGACTACGGTACCCTCTCAGTCCCAACCTTCTCATTGCCCTATTTTACTCCGATTGCCGCCGACCCTTCGCTCTCTACTGCTGTTCCGGTGCCGATGCCCCACCATTCGAAACGCTCAAGGTGTCCTTACCGGCCGATGACCTAGCGGACGGGCTTTGGAGCCTGACTCTCCTCGAAGACATCTTGCAGGTACGTGTACCGTGTACAGCTGTAGGTTGGTGTAGACATCGTCAGCCATAGGTACTGCTACAAGGGACCGAACAGTAACACTGAAAGTACCCAAGGGGAGCCCGGAACGTTCTGTCTTCCACGCCCCAAGGTACCCACAGTTGTATTTTGAAGATGTATCCGGAGGGGGGGGGCGTACTCATGTTTTGCATGCCTTACAAACGCAGCCAACTCCTCTTGCATCTACCCTCTCCCGTTCTCCATCTCCCCCCCCGACTAACCACAACCCCAATCCGCGCTGCCCCTCAGCTTCTGGGCCTTGACAAGGACCTCGCGGAGGGGTTCTACCCAATCACAGAGCGATCCCGCCGGGGGCTGCCGCGGCCCGCGGACTCAAAGGCGGCATGGGAGGAAAGGGTGGAGCCGTTTCGCGTATGCCTCCCGCCCTTGGGAGAGCCGCGATCGGCGGTACTGAGGGACCTCATGGTGATTGTGGCGCTGCGGTGTGGCTACGATGCGAGAACGAGGTGAGTTTGCCCCACTTTTATAAAGTATATTTTTTGCTTCGGATGAAAGGCGCCACTGATGTTTCATATACTAATTTCATTCTTGGGGAGAGGGGGGGGGGCATGCGGGCACGTACGTATGTACGTTCGTACGTACCCCCAGGCACCGCGCCTGCCGTGCCCCTGGGAGCTTGTGGAGAGATGGGTGACGTGCCGGCTGCGGTGCCCCTGGAGGATGGGGTCTTGAAGCGTTGGGAGTGTCCGTCGAGCTTGACAGGCTTTCCTATCTGTGGGGTTCCCTCGTCCTCGTCCTTGCCTCTCTCGACCACGCCTGCCAGGGCTTGCAAAGCCGCGTCGGTTTTACGTATCTAACTAAGTGAAACTCCCACCGTAGGTTGCTGCGTAAGATGCCGATCCCCCTGGACCGATTTTCAAGGCTCGATTACTCCACGACGAAGAGGATTTCGAAATCAACCGATACGCGGTTGGAAAGCTCTCTCTCTCTCTCTCTCTCTCTCTCTCGGCGAGAGAGACGGTTATGTGGTCGCCGACTCTTGTTCTACCGAATAATCGAAGATTCGGCCCCAAGGGATTTGATGCCTTATGCATCCTATACTACGGTGTTTACTTTCACCCGTCCCTTGACCCAGCCGTGTGGACGGTTTACCGCTCTCCCATCTTTCATCGCCCCATCTCCTCCGCCCTTTCAGGGCAGCCTTCATCACTGCATCTCCCCCATTCCTCCTCTCACTCTCGGCCCTACCGATGCAAAACCCCGCAGGGTAACCTTCCGAAGGGTCTGCGACGCGATGCAAGTCCGGTGGCACCCGCGTGTCTCCGAGGTCGAGAGCACGCTCGCGAGGAAGGTCTACGAGCGAGTCGCCAGGGATCGGGAGCGTGAGCTACGCACCGACCGCTGGCGGGGGTTCAAGATTGGCGCCGCCATGATAGGGGGGGGTACCCTGCTCGCGGTCACGGGCGGTCTGGCGGCCCCCGCGCTCGCCGCGGGGATAGCGGCGAGCTCGTCCGTCATCGGCGCCACCGCGGCGGCTACCCTCAGCGGCTTCGCCACGACGGCCTGGATGGCGACGCTGTTTGGGGCCGGTGGGGCGGGGCTGGTGGGGTACAAGATGGACAGGAGAACCAAGGGTGTCAAGGTGCCGACCGACTGACTCGTGCAGCAGTTAAATAGTGCCCGAACCTCTATTGTAATTTTAGCCGAAAAGGCAGTAGGTTTTTCTGCGGGGGGGTTCTTGACGCAAGTGGTGCTCAAGTTTTTCGATTTTGATATTTTTTTCGACGCTATATCAACTTCTTGCAGTAGCTGCCGAGTGCTTCGTAGTAGCTTGCTACATTCGGCGTGTGGCGGGAGAGAGCGGAGTTTTTTTTGGACTGGTGTTACTGTCGCACGCGGCGAGAGTGTAGCGATCGCGTTAGAGGTGCCGTGCTCAGCGTATTTTTGCACTGCTACTGGCATTTGGGTGTGCGAAGGTTGTTGCCGTTTCACTCGCGTTACCTGTGGCTTGCTGTGGGCTCGCCCAACTTCGGCAGTCGGCCGGCTTGGAGCAGGTTGCGTACACGACGCTTGTGCGGACAGTCTCACCGAGTCAGGACACGAACCCAAGCTTTTCGATGTCCGGGAAAAGCGAGCCTCCACCAACCGCGGGCTCCTACACCAGCTTGCTTGCATCATGGGGAATCAACACGGATCGTGACTTTTCCCGCCGCTCTTTGAGCCGCGCTCTTTCGCCATCTATCCCCTCCAAGAAGAAAAAGTCGTTTAGCAGGAAAAGTCCCGTTATTACCACCAAGGTAAAAAATCTCCCCGCACGTGTGTGCTAGCTGTGCACGGTAACTCCCATGTGTACGCCGAACAACCCGTAAAACACAAACAACAGGAGTTTGAGTTCGAGTCTGAGACATCGGTGGGCGAGGAGATGTGCGTGTCGATCTGCGTCCCCGGCGTTCTCAAGGATAAAGCGGATCTGCAGAGGGGGTGGGGCGTGGAGCCACGGGGCTCGGACGTTTCCGCGAAGGAGCGATTGCGCCGCTTCTACTACGTCCACAACAGGGCCAAGGTGTGCCGAATGCTCTTCGAACGCTCTTCGACACTGCTGGAGAACCACGGGCTCCATGTCGGAATACTCAGGGTGTTTTTTTATTGTTTCTCGAGCTAGAAGCCTGCTGTAGATTTGGGTTTTTTCGAGTAGATTTTCTCAAGCTAGAATACTGTTCCCACGTTGTGGTTTGCAGGATCGTTTTTCCTGGACTTCATTTTTGGAGAGGGCGGTCGGATTGGTGACAGCACGACCCCCCCGCTCTCTATTTGTCCTCGACTTTGGCTTCTGTTAGTACCAGCAGATAGAGGAAGCAGGTTGAATGCAAGCTGCTGCGTATGCATATCATGAGAGCAAACCTGAGAGTCAATACTAGTCGCACTGCTCAGAGAGGAACTGGACGCCAGCTTAAGTGCCTTCTAGTCTCTTCTTCCACTAGGCGTGCGTCTGCATCTTCTGTCATACGGCAGCGATACATAACCTGCATCTCGTTCTCCTGGGTATACATGTGTACCAAGAACTTAAAAAACTGTTTCGGCCATGACGGTAAACAAAGACGTCTTGCACGCCTTGTCTTCTCTCTTTTCTTTTCAAAGGTGGGTGATGTGGAAGACATCCTGGTAGCCTACGACGGCAAGGAGTCGAAGCTTTGCAAGGCCCTCCACGACAGGTGGGAAGAGAAGGCAACGACGATATCAGTGCCGCACCTCTTTCATCCCAAGCAAGACCTGCAGCAAGCGTCGCTACCCCCCTGCTGTTCGTTGCTTTTTGTTCCTGGTCACTGCAAAAGCTCTTTCCGTAGCCCTGGCCTCCGTTCAGTCCTCAGACGTTGACCGTGAGCGACGGAGAGATGGCACCCCCGCTAGACCGATTTTCGAAGCTCGATTGCTCCACTACCGAAAGCTTGTACTGTACCGACAACAAAAATGGTGGATTTTGAAACATCTGGTCGAGTGGCTTTCGGTAGACGTACGGGGCTCTTCCCGCACCCACTTGGTTGTGGAGCAATCGATATTGGAAAATCGGTCTAGGGGGGGTGGCATCTCTCCGACTGTTACGGAATACCACGGTACGGTATACGGTACGGTACAGACAATCTTGGTCGTGGAGCAATCGATATTCGAAAGTCGGTCTAGGGGGGGGTGCTATCTCTCCGCCTTTTCGGTATGTTGGGTGGGTTGAACAAAGGGGTGTCACCTCACGATTCCACGGTGCCGCCGCGCTGTGCTTTTTTGGTGGGCTGTTTCTCCGTCGGTGTCAATAGCGTGTAAATTTCTCCCCTTGACCTATCAATCAGGGCTCTTGAGCGACGTCCGCGTGGCCCCCATCGGGAGCAGTCCTTGGAGTTGACGTCCTTGCCGCGGCGGAGCATGGTCCTCCTCGCGACGTGTGCGTGGCAGGAGTTGAGAATATTGTCACAGTAACTGCTGTGTGGTCCCCCCAGCGCAGTTCATGCCTACGTGCAGAATAACGTTACTGCTGTGACTGCTGTGTGTTCCCCCTCGCGTGATTAACGCCTCCATCATTCGTGGGTGGTGAAGGTACGGGGCTGACCCCAGGGATCCTCCCACGAGGGAGGCTCTGGCACGTGCGGAGGGCCGCAGAGTGGAAGGGGTCTCGCAGGAAGACCTGGCGAGGGATGCGGCGGCTATCGAGCAGCTGATGGAGGCCGTGTTGACGAAGGAGAAGCAGGAGACGGAGAAGGCCAAGGTCGGTCGTAGGGTACCTACCTACCGCATGTTGCCTACGATACCACACCCCCAGGACCGACTTTTGAAGCTCGATTTTCTCTACTGCAAAGAGGATGCCAACATCAAATGACATGTATTTAGGAAAGCTGTTGATGAGGTAGTACCAACTTTCGGCACTGCCCGTGTTTTTGCTGAAGAGAAATCGATCGGTGCTTGAAAAGTGTCCAGGGGGATGTGCTACCCTTCACAACTGCCGCTAGAATAGCTGTTTGGTGTATGCACACCCGGTCGTGGTACCGATCTGCGGGGCCTCTTCTTGGACGGGGGTATGTGATACTGGAGATTTCGATACGTCGAATCCCCTTGTTGCTCCGTGTGTCGTCCACACCCTCTCTCTCTCTCTCGTGGCGGTGATTGTGGACAATACAACACAAATCCGTTCGAGTCACTTGGGTTCTTGGCTCACTACTGTACCTATAACGGAGCTCACCTGACACCCCCTGGTAATTTAAACAGTAAACAGCCTCGCGGGCTTTGCCCAGAGACCGACTCGGGGCTCCTGCCGGTGCAGAGAATCAATCAACCAATCAATCCACCGCCGCTGGGCGGAGGCAGGTCCAGTGCTTGCCGCAGCGGGGGTGGGGGTAGGGGTGGGTTCCCTGCAACTCCCGCGGTAAACATCAGCCGTTGTGTGCTTCTTTCGCCCCAAAGTTTTTTTTTTACGCTCGCCGGCTGCATCGCGGGCGTCAATAGCTATTATACCAGTATCTTAAAATTAGCACTTCAATTTTTGCTTTTGGTGACACGCGCTGATTATATTGTTGGACGGCGTTCTCGGCATTCGGGGACAAAGCAGGCCAGGGCTGTGGAAGAAGCCAAGCTCGCCAAGGAGGAGCCTGCCAGAAACGCCGGAACGACCCTTTCTTCTACAAACCCCGGGGACAACCGGAGACCATCCCCTACCGCAAGGAACGCCTCTGGGCGGAAACCTGCGGCGACGACCTCAGCCTCCCGTCACGGAGGGGATGATCGGATGCCATCCCCGGCCGCCACAAACGCCTCCAGTACTCCAGCAGGAAGAGGTCCGAGCCCCGAAGTCCCCTCGCCATCGGACGGCAATCCTTTCACGGTCCCCGGAGCGGCGGGCACCGTGGCGCCCACCGCCGCCGCAGTCGCGCCCGCAGCAGCAGCCGCCGCAGGAGTACCGCCGCACCCCACCGCCGAGCCCCGGGATTCAGGGGGCAACAGCGGATTGGACACCGGAAGCGGTGGCGGCGATGGTCTCTTGCGGGACTGGGACCGGGGTCCCGACGGACAGGTCGAAGCTCTTCGGGGGGGGGTAGGGAGTATGTCGTTGGCGGCGGAGGTAGGGGCTGCTGCTGCTGCAAGCAAGGAGGTGGAGGAGGAGTCGGACGAGATCCAGATTTTTGTTGAGGCTGACGGCATCGGCGGCGCCGCCGAGGGTGCGGGGGGGGGGGAAGGGGGGGACAAGGGGGACCCTGAAAAGGAGGACAAGGATTTGTTGAAGCACCGGGTTTGGTTCTGGCAGGTGCGGAACCAGGAACTAGCTGGCTGGTCTGCAACAGGGTCATTTACGTAGTTGCCGAGGCCTTTGGCAGGACAGCGTGTGCGGTGCTGTGCTGGTTTGTACGTGGAAGGTCTAGGGTTGGGCCTTGTTTGCCGCTTCGGAGATTGGCAGCAGCAACATGGTGTGAAGTTTTTTGGACCGAAATCGAGTGTCCGCCCTGTCTCGCGGGAGAAGATTCTGAGAACGTTCTTCACCGTCGTGCTGTGAGCTGCTGTACTTTCCCTTTGGGGAAGCAGGAGCGGCAAGACCAAGTGTGATTGGTATGTTTACAAATTCCATCCCTATCGTGTTCGCTATTCTGCTGCCTGTTGTAATAGGCAAAAGTGTCTTGCTTGCTTACCTTTTGCCGTGCTTGGTTGCCTCTTGCCGTGTGACCAACTCAGGACAAGCTGCCGCACACCGACCAGTACGTGCTACGCTGGGAGAGCGACTGGCTCGTTACCCTGGGCAAGAGCGTAGAGGTAAGCAACGTACTGACTAGGCACCAGCTACATGCCATAACAAACCTTTGGCTGGGACGAAGAGATACCCGCTGACTATTCGTGCAATTGAGGTGCTACTGCTACCCTTGCACCCTGAAAGCGACCCGTTCGATGCGAACGCTTTCAACCGCAATGTCTAGGAGGATGATCGGTCGTCGTTCGGTCGGCGGTAGGGTTCTCCTCGTCTTTTTTTGCCGATTCTCGTCCGGTCAGTGCGTTGGGTCGGCGTTTGTCGGGGGGCCGCGTTGCCGCATTTCAAAGGAAAAACGAGTTCAATTAGTGAGATAAAACCAAATTTATCTCCTTTTTTGAGGAAAAATTTAGTACCGCTGTACACGCCAACACTCAACGAGAAGTAAATTCTTCGCTTTTCCCGAGGTTTTGTTTTCTTGTTTACTCTGGGATGAATAAACCAACAGCGACAATTAGTGGGTTTAGTACAGGAATCTTATCCGAGCACCTCTTGTCGTGGTCAAGTGCTTAGATAGCTCTTTTATATGTCTGAATTTAGTAACTCCCAAGTTCTTAAGAGAGATCAATTTGTCTCACGATTTTGACCAAAACGTTCTCGAATCTCTTGGGTCGGAATACAAGCGTTTCTAACCCCCCCGGGGCGACTGTGCACTCTACCTATGGCGCAGACGATAATCAAGAGCTTGAGCCAGAGCGCCATGCAGGAGACTCTCAAGTACACCACTCTGGCGGCGATCATGACGTCACTAGCCTGGCCGTTGGCACTGGTGAGTGATCCTTGAACGCAACAGTCGTCCTCATTTTTTTTGTCGTTTTTTTAGTTTTTTGGCCGTCGTTGCTGATCACGCACATTTTTTTCAGCTGCGGCCCTCCAAGCGCGCTTGGTGTCTTGATTGAATGCCTTTTTTACGTGAACCTGGCACGGCCTGCTTTTTTTCCGGACGTTTTTTCTTGCTGCTTCACGCTGTATTACGATGGCGCTGCTGTCCCTGCACAATCGCTACCAACATTCGGCGACCGAAGCTCCCCTCTCAAGCACGTATATCGTATATCGTGGCTACATAGATATCTTTTGATGAGCCCAAAGCTGGAACAACTACAATGACAACAAGTTACACGATATGTCCCCGGAAAACTTTGTCTCGCCAGATTTCGCTCTCAAGCATGATCGACGCTGATTGGACCATCGGGAGGGAGCGGGCGGACGTCGCGGGAAAGATTCTGGCCGACGCGCTGCTTAACAGGGAGCAGGTCAGATCCACAGAGGATGCACGCCAGGCCGTAGGTAGTAATTAAATACTGTCTCGTGTGCGGGGCCCCCAGGACCACGACACATTGTATGGGCTCTGGTATATCACACTTAAAATACATGCAATATGGCTGTCTGAACGCCCAATGTAGTCCATCCTACGCCATGCTCCGAAACCTCACTGTCGCGGTTTTGAGAAGAAACTTGTGTTTTTTTTCCTTCGCTGTCAACGAGGGGAGTTTACTTGCTGTTCTGTCGAATCGAGTCACGTGCGCTATGAGCTGCGCATGTTTTCCCTCTTGAAGCGCACTTACACTTGACTAGCTGCTGTGGTGGAGATTGCCTTTTAACAGTGGTCACTCACTTCTCGGCCACGTCTGTCGAGAACAATCCCCCTTTTCTTCACCTCTTTTTATCGAAGGAAAGAGGCGCGTTTGGAATCGCGCCGCATCTGTATCTCTTGCCGATAAACTGCGGGATAACTCGTCCAAGCGATGGTTCCTCCTCGATGTACTGTACTCCTGTACGTCGTTCTGTCCATGCATCTCTTGCGTTGTCACATGACCTGAGCGTCCGATGATATCATTTGTATGTTGGAATGACTGCATTTCGATGGCCGACCGAAAGTTGGAGCGAAAGCTGATTTGCCGTCAATGATCGTTCGAACGATTGAAGTGTACGTCTGGAATACCCCCAATCAACAGCAAAAAACACGTGACGCCAGAAACGACAACAGCACGAGTAACGGATGACCACATTAGATCGAGTAACGTCAATGCTTGGCTAGGTTTGTCGTAGGTGTTTTCTGAGACTGTCCGTCTGACGAAATGTTTTGCCCGTTTTTTGTTGTCCACGAACTCGTTTGGCCACCGGCTCTCTGTCAGGGGTGCCGCCCTGTCACCCTGGTGGGGACCTCTCTGGGAGCCCGGCTGATCTTCGCCTGTCTCGAGGAGATCGCAAGGCGACACGAGCTTTGGGAGGAGCAGGTGTGTGCTCTGCTTGGGGGCACCGTGCACCCCCCCCCCCCACCTCTCTTGACCTGCCACTTTTTCAGTCCGTCTGCAAAAACAGGAGGACGAAAAAAAATACAAGCCTCCCAAGGGTGCCCTACACCTGCAGGGGACAGAATCGGAAAAAAAAAACCCCCAGAATCATGCCCCCATGTTTTTGTTCCATGCCTCCGAAAAACCCCGGGCCCCATAAAACAAAAGCACCA